GCCAATTAATGGAATGGTTAATTATTACATCCTAAAAATTGTAAATTTTATACCGGAAATGATATTGCGAAACATACAAGAGATCGACTACTTTATAGCAATCTTTTCTCAAAATAGTATTCCTTATCGTTCCCAAAAAAAGTTACCTACCCAAAGTAAATATTTGTTATTCGTTTTTGAATGATTTTCTTGTATTGACAAACTCTACATAGATAAATTTCATCAATTACATAAGTATACAGTGCATTTCTTTAATGTCCCCCCCCCCTTTTATTTTTTGAACGGGTCAACTTAGAAAATTGAAATTTGGGATAATGAAACTAATGCATGATTACTATATTTTGGAGTAAAATTGACAGACGAAAATTTCAAGATGGCGACTGGGCGCCATCTTGGAAAATAAATTTAAATGGAAAGGGGGGTCTTGTGATACATCATTTTGAAGCTCCTGACAAATACTCTACAACCCTGAAATATAAAGTCAATATCTGCACCTGCTACAAAATGGCGGACATTTAATAATTACCTGAATAAATTGACGTTTAACGTCATAATTTGAGGAAATAAGCTGAGTTCTGTTCAAAAAAAGCTCGAAATGGTTGCCTTGAACTTCTTGATACAAGAACAGCCTATCCGAACATTTTCGAACATAGTAACGTCGATATTTTTACAAATATCTGTAATTATTTCTCGTATATCCAATATTGAAGCAGGTTTAGTTTCGTACACATTTTGCTTCAAATAGCCCCATAAAAAAAAGTCTAAAGGTGTCAAATCTGGTCAAATTCTGGTCAAATCCATTCCGTAGGACCTCGACGACCAATCCAACGATCCAACGACCAGCGAAAATAGCATTCAAATAGTTCATTACTTGTCTGGAGTAATGTGGTGGTGCTCCATCTTCCAATGGACGAGAATTGGCCATTTTAGAGTTAGTTGACGTGCTACCTAACTGCAATGAGAACTAAACAACCGAAAACTAAATGAAAATACTTTGAACACTGGGAAAATCGAAAACTAAAGAGAATATTTTGAACACTAGGAAAACCAAAAACTAAATGAGCATATTTTGACTAAACAATTAATGTTCGTTGTTGTACTTAAATTTTTTGGAATTTTTTTAACCAAAAATAACCTGTCAAACCTTATCGGTTTGCTGGGATTGCTGTTTGCTATAGAAAAACAAATATTTCTAGAAAAATTGATATTATTTTGTTTGTATTCAGGTAATTATTAAATGTCCGCCATTTTGTAGCAGGTGCAGATATTGACTTTATATTTCAGGGTTGTAGAGTATTTGTCAGGAGCTTCAAAATGATGTATCACAAGACCACCCTTTCCATTTAAATTTATTTTCCAAGATGGCGCCCAGTCGCCATCTTGAAATTTTCATCTGTCAATTTTACTCCAAAATATAGTAATCATGCATTAGTTTCATTATCCCAAATTTCAATTTTCTAAGTTGATCCGTTCAAAAAATAAAAGGGGGGGGGGACATTAAAGAAATGCACTGTATAAGCGTTTTTTTAAGAAGCTTTTAATTCCGAGAAAACCGTTCCGTGTGTGCTTAGATTGGACGGGCGCTATTTGCATAATACAAACGAAGAGATGAGTCATCCGTTTCATTGCGATTATTCGCGACAAACCGAGGCATCTCATCTATTTCCGCAGGAATGTCTACGGTCGCGTCAGGACAACTTGCAATCGAGCCTCCAGGTTAACGTTTCGCGGCAGCCTCGAATGCTTCATTTCGTCGAATTGGCAGGATTTATCATCTCGCTCAATTCTCGAGATTTTAGTCTAACACTTGTTTGATTAGGAATCCTTCGAGTGGATTACATTACATATTCTCTTGTTCTTATTTTTGGGATTCATAACGTAACTGTATCTAACATTTTTTTTTTGTTTATATTCAAGGAGTTCTAGGTGACATGACATGACATTCTCAGAACCTTTCGGCATAATCTTGCGTTTTATCAATTCGTGTATTTGGATACAATTATGTAATTTTGTAACTTATCTTATCGTTTATAAAATTTACTCGATTTTTAAATAAAAATTCTAAGAATTTCGATAGAATGGGTGCGATATAAATCAAACATCTGGCCAGCCGACGCCGTTTCGTTATTTTTCTTTTTAATAATCCCGTTGACGAATCAAACGTAAAAATTAACCGGTCGATTAATTTTCCGGGAATCGAATTTCCGAAACCCAGGCGTGTCGAAAACAACGACACATGTACCGAGCGATTGGAATACGAAGTAACACGGATTGTGTTACCTACTCAAAAGATCGTTCTCACGATTTTTTTTTAATCTTACATCCGCCTTCGATTGAAACTACTAACCTAACTTTCAAAGCCGGCGAGTGTGTGTGTGTGGTGTATGCTGTATCAAACTACCTACGCTATTTGGCAATGGGCGAAATGCAACGATCTGTACAGTCGAGACCATTTTATGCGCTCGCATACGTGGCACCCACTAATCAAGAATGAAACCGATAGTGACGCGGCGAGGAAATTGTGCAATCAGTAAAATAGTAGTGGCAGTGTAAAGTGTAGGTAGCCGGTTACGGTACACGCATTCATTCTGTGTTGTTGCACTCTGCTGAATTGCATCGGCTGGCGAAGTGAACTCTCTCTCGGGGTCTCGCTCGTTCTTTAACAATCGACCGGGAATTTCGCGATTTTTACATCGCCGCGGTATGGCCGTTTCTTTTCCCCCTTTTTTTTCCAGCGAAGGTTCCAATTTTCATGCGAATTATCTTGCATTGAACTTTATGCGCTTTTCGATTATAATAAAATTTATGTATCTAGGTATCTACTTGGGAAAATAAATTGTCGCAATAAATTTAATGTCATCGTCGAGTAGAAGACCTTACCTATAAACTGCAGCCTCAATTGCAAGCATCATTTAATCGTTAGTAATCCATACAATAGTCTATTACTACGAATAAAAAAACTAATTTGCACTATTAATGAAGTTATAAAAAAAAGTAATTATACGAATTCTTCAAAAATTATTATACAAATCCGATTTTTCTTAGTACCGATCGTATATTTAGACCAAGGTGACTTTTATGCATTAGAACCGGGTCGGTATTTCACGTTTTTCAAATACCTACAGCTATAATGAATCTTACGTAACAAACGCGTGTAAATCTAGCAGTGCAGGAATTCCCCGCGTCTTCCTGCAACGCTGCAACCGAATGACGGATGCGCGCGCACCTTTGGCGGGATATACATGCATGCATAGCCGGCGTTTGTTTGCCGGCCGGCGCCTGCTACGTTATATACATTCCCATAAAACCTGAAGCCGATTCACTGGCCGACCGACGGTCGTTTTTTCTACAACCAGACGCGTCGGCCTTCCGAGAAGTTGTAAGGCGGCGGCGCTGGCAATTTATGCAGTGAGTAATACCGTGGATGAATAAATTCCCGAGAAAATTAAGTTTAATCACAATGTTCCGAAATGCCGGTTGAGTTTTTAGAGGATCTGCAGTCGGCTAACGACCGTACCAATTAAAAATAAAATAACATAACACACGTCGAGATGACGTAGAGGCGAGTTATAGGGAAACGGATGTACGTTTGAGGCATTGAGTCGTTGCACTCTTAACATAGAGCCTGAGCTGTTCGTTAAACAACAGAATAGATTCAGAATAAATGCATCGATTAGCAGGACATTTTCACTACAAATTGCCAGAGCAAGACACATATGGTATAAAAATATATTAAAAAAAACACAAAAACAAGTTGAGAAAATATGGAGGGGCTAGTTAGAGCTATTCTCTTTAACAAATCCATCGATTAGCAGGACATTTTCATTGCAAATTACCAGAGCAACTCGCGTAAGGTTAAATAAGAAACATAATTTATAGCTGGCATTGTCCATGAGAAAATCCGAAATTATCCGAGTATAATTACAATAAGCGAGTATTTTTTTTATCGGAATTAGTAGGCATTAATTTGACGTGTGTTTAATCCGCTGGAATTTTTCATTCACAACTTTTCTGTGAACGCATATTTGTCGATGAATAATTCTTCGATGATTTTATTAAAATTTATTAAATAAACAGCGAAGAGCGATTGTGGAATTGCAGCCGATGAAGCAGAATGCAGCAATTGGAGTAGTGTTGATATTTTTTTTTGTATTTGCAGCCAAATGTTATGCATTATATAACACAATAAACATCAGATAAAAAATTACTTGAATTCGGTTGTTAATGAAACGTAGTTTGCAAATAAACAACTATTGTAGATAAGTAATGATTAAAATACTACGATATTGATTGTTGCAATCATTTACAAACAATGATTATCGTATTTATATAAAAACAAACATTTAAAAGCGGAATTGTAAATACCTTATGTAATTTTCATAATCCAGATTCCATTGGATTTTGATGTTGTTTTTTTACTTAGAAATTGTTTTTTTACGATGCGAAAGGAATTTTTTGTGATAAGACATGTTTTTTTATACAGGGCGAATCGTACAGAAACATTCTCACCGATCATAGATGAGAAAACCGTAACACGAAATAGAAAAATTAACTTTTTTTTACTCCCAAAAAAAAAGCAGAGTATTTCCTGCTAAGCGAGAACCAAACATACTGCAGGTATTATTAAAATTCCAGTGCTGTAATGACGAAAAATATTCGTAATTCAAATTCTATCGCATTTAACTCAAATAGGTATTCGTGCCTAATGAGTCACAGTCTATAAATGTATCAATCGCGACAAAATAGACGAAAAAAATGAAAATAGTGTGAAATATTCATCATGAATTTGCATGTTTGTTGTATAATCCTCGTAGTTATCATGGTATTATTGAAGCATATTTTTGGATTTCGTCCTTACATGTTAATTATGTAACTTGATATATAAATTGATAAAGCAGGCGTGTATGTAGATTGAAATTGGACCCGATAAAGGAAGAGTGAAACAACGAAATCCAAAAATAGGTACATCGCATTGCAGGAATAAAAAAAAATGCACTCACCGGAATCCGAAGGAGTCTCGATGCCGAAGATGGGCATCTGCGCGTTGGTACCTTTGTGGTAACTGTGATCGCTTTCCGCCGCGAATTGATATACTTTGTTCACGTTGGGTTTTTCTTCCTCGACGACCGGCTCGGACGCTTCGGCCATTTCGAATTCCTTGATGTCCTTCTCCTCGAAATACTCGTACAGATCGCTGTCCTCCTCAATGTCGTACTCCTCGATGCTGCTCTGGAATATCTTCATCAGATTGACGGTCTTCGTTTTCGCCTCCTCGTCGTCGGACATCGGCGGCGTATGGGGCGTCGGCGGCGCCGGCTGGGCCGCCGGCGCCGATCGAAAGGCGGGCTTCAGGAGGCTCTGCTGGCCGGTGGCCGTCGCGCCGGCGGCGACGCATTCCTGCTTGACTTCGGCGGCGGGCGCGGCGGCGACGATGGGCGCCGGCGGCACCGGCACCATGCACGGCCGCGGCTCGTCGGCGGGGTGCTCCTTGCTGGCGCAGTGGCCGGCCCACATGCAATCGTGGTTGCGAATTTCGCACACCCTCTGCTGGTGGATGCCCTTGAAGAAGTTGGCGCAGTTCTCCTGCAGCGCGCTGTCGCGCAGGATCTCCTCGAAGCCGACCAATTCGGGAAAGTCCAATTCGAATTTCTTCCATATGTCGTCGGGCAACATGAAATCGTTGCCGCACCAGGACAACATCTCGTTGCTCAGATAGTCTATCAAACTCATCGATGGTTCCGTCTTAACAGGCATCGTTCGATTCGGAACGCTTCCGATTTCCTCCTATTGCTCGTACTTAATTCTAATATCACAATCGGTCCTGGCTGAGGTCAGGCTCTCCGCAATCAAGCTGCTGGCAAAAAAAGAAAATACTTTAGATCGTGGCGTTCGAACGTATGGCGAACGACAACTTATTATGTGTAATTTTTTGAGTCTGTAAAAATTGTATCACGACGCACACGGTTTATAATGGTGTCAGAGACCGCAGGTAAAGTAGTTGTTCAATGTAACCTACATAGGCAGATGTCAATTTGTGGGCTAATCTACGGCAGGTATACCTGGATTTTTTCGAATGTGGTTTCGAAACGAGCACTAAATTCACTTTACGTTCTGATATTTCTTCACTAAATTTTAGGATATTTTCTGAAACGTATTTGTTCAACTGGTTGAGGAATATGATTGCTTTTCTAGGACCGTTTGCAGATTTTATTGGTCAGGTATTTATTTCTACCTGCTTGTTAATAGCGGGCCATTTAGATGCACAAATATCCAGGGGATTATACCCATTTATTTTCAATAGAATTTTTATAGGAAATTGAAATTGTAATTACAGGGATTTTGGATTATCGATATCCAGAACCATTATTACATAATACAAAAATAGTTTTACAATACAATAGATAAACGTCAAAATTAATATCCCATTTAATAGATTTCCAAGATAATTATATGACTAGATTTCCTATTATTGGTTCTATCAAAATTGAAAGGTTAGGGAATTACTTCGGGGAATTTTTAAATATCTATTCAAACATAATTAAACAATGGTCACAAATATTTGTACTTAATTTTATTGTCAAATATCAAAGTAAATACACTTTATTCAGAACCTATCTTGTGGTTTTATCTTCGATTTAACGAAAATTAAATTTGAATAAATTTTGACTTTTCCCTAAAAAATTACGTTCCTATATCATAATCAATAGTATTACTATCGATTGTTTTGCATAACTATTTATAGTAGAAACTAATATGATTTTAAGTATTCTAAGCGAACTTTACAGAAGGAGTATAAATATTTGAAACAGAGTTCTTTAAATAAAACAACCTAGTGGGTAAGGTAGTGTATAAAAAATCGATATTTCGAAAAATTCACCTTTAAAAACATCAACATTTCGAGATATCCACATCCAGCAAAATTACACAAATAAAAGTAAAATACCCGAGTAATAAATGTTTATATACTATTTGTTTGCATAAATGCATATCTAATGAGCCAATTAAATAGTAAAAATTTGTTTGAAAAAAAAAATGATTCCTACAAAACTAGGGTAACAAATAATACAAATTCGACGTCCGAGAGGAACACCTTCCACAAGAAATCGCCTGCTGCTTCGACGGCAGCTGTCGAAGGAAGGAATTAACATTAAAGAATACACCAGCTGCTCCTCTCAATTATGTGACTATCTATCTTCTCGTCGCTCCAAAAAATTCTGTTCCTCAACCTCGATCATGATTTTTAAAAGTCCACATGCGGGTACATATTATGCACACGGTCGATTAGTATTATTTTCGTCGTGGAACGAAACTATGCGTGTGTTGGTCGTTGAAATAAAAAGAAATAAAAATAACACTTAAATAAACGCAGGAACTTATGTAAGAACGCTTTCTAGTCGAGGGGTATACGAATCTGAAATATGTTCCCCTTTTTTGTAGATAAAATGTACGAAAAAAAAAATCTGACTGATTATAAATTTAAAAACTCACTTCTGATAATCTATTTTTATGATGTAACTCAAACAGGCGACGTGAATGATTTATGTAAACGAAAAAAAAAAAAAGAAATTATCTCTTAAAGTAGGTACTTATATGTTTTATTTGTATCCAGCATCGCAGTTATCAGATTAATTGAAATGGGTCAAAAACGAGATTATAAAATTTGGCACCATAAAAATGATAAGAAATTTGTTTTATACGTCGAATTTTTTATCAAGGCGCCAGACAGACACATAGCATGTACACTGATGAAAAATCTTTGTTGATTTTGGTTAGTTATTAGAAATACAATGTTATCAGTTTACTAGGTAGAAAATGCATACAATATTTCAACTATAAATTTTCCTCCAGCGATTGTAAAATTTTTCTAGCCAAATGTTTTTGAGCTGATAAACGAATGTTTTGGTTACAGCTCTCTTGAACGTTTTATACTATGCATTTCCGTGTTTACTAAATTTAATAGAATAATGGAGTTGGAGAATAATTCATTTTAATGCCTTTCTGGAGTAGACATTTCACTTATCTTGTCCATCAAATTACAGATTGTTCAAAATGCGTTGAATTACGCTTTACTAAATCAAAATATCTAATGCAGGATAGATCCATTATTAGAACATTCAATGGAAGAATTTTAATTTCAATATAAATGTGTCTGAGCTTTCAACTCTTCGTGTGATTCCTGCTGGTTTCGTAATTTGTTTGTTTGTTTATTTCAAGTCCATGTTTGACAATCGTAGGTCAATACCGAAATTTATTGATTGACTAATTTTGTTCTTGCCCAACTATAAAAATAGTCGACGATCTTTCGCTCTTGGGGATTTTATTTTTTGTGGATTGAGCACAGGCAATTATAAATAGCACCCGCATACATTGACCAAATGATATTAAAATATAGAATAATTATTCAGATCGCATAATTTTCATTAATTGGACATTTCAACTGATAAAATTTGATACAAAGTAACCTAATATATGTGTAGATAAGTATAGTTTATCATTTTTTTAAATTCAAATTCCATGGTAATTTCTTTGGTAGATAAATTCTATTTCGTTCGCTAGAGTACTTTTTTATAAAATATATTAATTATTCATTCGCCCTTCAGTTCGTCTCACCCTATTTTGACGGTCAATTAAGACTTAATTGGCCAATCACTGTCAAATTTCTATTGAATCTTTGACAGTCAATCAATCAAGTTTAGCCGTAATTCTAATTTAAATTATCTAATTTATAATGGTTTGTAACAGTACCGAGGTACGTAAACCGGCGTACTTAAGCTCAATTACCAATGGGAAAACTTTAAGGCACTGAAGCGAATTGATTAGTATTTTGTGGACAGGTGAAAGGTATTCCAATCATCTACAGAGTGTGATTTAAAAGTATACGTTTTTGGAATTACGAATGCATTCAATATTCCCAGTACGATAATAACAGTACATTTTAAATGCAAATAAGTTTTCGATTCCGACTCGAAAATTACACACGCGGGTAATTCTCGAATTCTCGGTAACGTTTAGGAATAGAGAAACCGAAAAAATAGGTTTGTCTTCGCGTTCGGTTTGAGGAATTCATTAGCATGCAATCATTTTTAATTCTACCGACGAAAAAGATATATTCGAAAATCCGAATGGAACTTTTCCGCTTCTAGTAGGTATACATTTCAAGGAAAGGCATCGTACGTGCAAAAAATGACCGCTAGCAGGTAATAGGAACCTCTAATTTCGCATTGCAGTCAACAAACAGTTTAGGAATGATGAATATAACCCAGACAGTGGCCGAAATAAACAACACGATATCAAAACATGGTCAAGGAAAAAAAAATTCGCAGACTTCTGGTAGACTAGTAAATTTTGTTGATGTGGGATTTATCCCGCCAAAAATTATTTACTTACTTTTTGATGAATTTTGCTGCTTGGAAATTTAATTTATGAATGAGTTGATAATTATGAAGTATTTCAAAGGTATCTAGTTCTTGTATGTGTTATAAATTATTGTATATCGAAAAATATGTATTACGAAGTCAAAAATAATATAATAATTAATGTTGCCGGTTAAATGATGTTTTGAAACAATCCTATTGAATTGTCTTTGGAAACTATGCTTGTTGGAAAATTTTAATGTTATTGGGAAGTTACCGGTGTTGATACTAATGATTCGAAATAAAAGGAGAAGACTCCGAAAATAAAATGTAATATAAATAACATTAAAGTAAGTATTATTGTTCCAGTGTTTTGAATCCAAATGTACCTAATAAACGCAAAAACTATTATTATGTTTTCTTGTGCAATAGTTCCCAACAATAAAAATATCAGACATTGATGTAAAAAAAATTCGATGTATGTAATTACGCATTGTTATGAAACATTTTCATTAATTATTCGATGCCTAATTTAGTACAGAAGAATTGCTGTTAATCATTTAATTAAGTAACTAGATGTTGGAAAAGAGTTGGTGCCTAATTGCGGTAATTTTTACTTTCACAATAAAGTAAATAGCCATTAAGCAGATAAAGAGTAAGGTATCAATAAAAGAGAATCGCGAGGAATGCAAGGCATTTCTACAACTAATAGCAATGCAATTAGGAAAACTAGTAAGCCACGTCGCGGTATCGGCATTGAAGCCGCCCAGCATATTGTATGCACACGGACGAGAAAGCGCATAAAACGTTCGCTCTAAATCGCAATTAAATTTAATAATAAACCGTAATGACACTTACCTTTAAAGCTCTGAGTTATGTCAACCGAAAATAAACCACTAAAAGTCAAAGACAATCAATTTAACTGTTCTGAAGTTTTTTTCTAACGCACGGTATATTTAACAGCACGGAGAAAATATCAGAAGATACGGCGAAAACGTTGTTAACAAAACCACTTTCCTTTAATTCGACTATCAACTTCGTATACATGTCTCGGGTAAAGGAGTACCGGCTTGAAAATTCTGCCAAAGTCTTGCAGCAGCCAAAGCAGCCGATCGTGACTGAAAGCGAACTGTAACTGTAATTGAAAATGAAGAAAACTCGGGCTGTGCTAGACACCGCTGAAGCCGGTTCGAAGTTTGCCGGAGATCACCACGATCCACGAGCGGGAAGCGACGTTGCCGGTTCTACTAAGCGCTAAAGGTTATCTTACAGTGTGATCTTTTCACTAACCTTCCAAATCGCCATTTCAAAATTTTATCTACAACCTACGAAATTTATTACTTACTATTTCCTTTGATTCTTTTTGTTTTGATTTTTTTTATATTTGTAGATTTTGTGTTATACAGAGTATTAAATTTTGTAGTCGATATGGGTGCAACAAAGACAAGTTTCATTAATGTCATATAAAGGAAAAAGAAAGAGTGATGTTGTAGGATTTCAACTTTCTCACTCTAACCACTGCCTTAAAAGTCTTTCTTTGTTCAACAGAATAGGTTTCCATTTATTTTGAACATTCTAAGAAGGCCTTTCAAAATGGCTGAGGCTGACTTTACAATCTCCTTACAAAGCTCTTTCCAGGGGTTCCATCCTTAGAATTGTAATCTGTCATGAACAAATAATTCACTAAATTTATTATTACTAATGATTGTTGTTTTATTGTTCATAAAAATATTGTTTTTTTTATCTAAAAAAATTTTTGATTATCGTTATTGACATTGACAGATATAAGACTAAAAAGTTTTCCTACTTGGATATTTATTTTCGAAAATATGAAAATCTGTTTTAATTGTTCCAGAAATCTACACTAACTTCTGATTATAGAATGTAGATCTTTCTAGGGTTACACAACGTATTAACGGTAAATCTAAATTAGTTCAAATATTTCCATTATTCTAATAATTAATTTACTTGTAAGGCAAAATTAAATTTTATCTATGCGGCAAACGAGAATTAAAATAATTTCGTTATCTATGTGACCCATTTACGCGATTATTATTAAAATAGAAAAATATTCCGTACAATCGTTTTAAAATATTAATTTATTAAAAAAGGAATTTTTTTGCTTCAAGTAATAATTATCCAATAAAAAAAATCTTTGCATTTCTGGGATAAAAAGATTTCCGCGAAGCTTTGGCAACGCTCCCGATGACAGTGACTAATCGAGACGTGCGGGCGGTTCAATGCGGTATCGCTACTACCTCGATATCCGAATGTTTTAAATATTTTCCCACAAATAAATGATTTCGATGAATGATATATCGGAAACATCAATACCGTTAATGCAGGCTAATTTACTATGCAATTCCCATTCGGTGACGTTCCATACTTTCAATAAAATCGCTGTAAATGTGCCGGATCTATTTGACGTTGCGTAAAAATTGATTGAATGGGGGGAAGCTGTCTCGGAATAGAATTCCCGCCTTTTTAGTTAAGGCGTCAACTTATATAGGGTGATTCAAAAGGCGTTCAAATATGGGAGTTGATGATAAAAAAAATTAATCGATATGATTTTATTGAATGCTCCAAAATTATATTTTTTGCGTGTATTATTCGAAAACACGTTAATCTAAAGTTTCTATATGAACGTTGCGCTGATTTTGTCTTTTCACAATCCAAATTACCATTACCAATACATTTTACATTTTAATTGAATCAATATAATAAATAGCTGTCAAGCTGTTTGATATACAATATACAAGGCATAATTAAGAATGTAGAATTATACATGTTAATAACTATAATCAAACATAGTTGCTGCATAAAAACCCTCAAATTAATAATTGTTTTAATTAAAAGGTTCAAACTACTTAAGTAAAAAATGAAATTACATTTTTATTGTATTTTATACAGTAAGAGCCGAGCTCATTAAAAAATTGACATTATAACACTAACCTAAATATAAAGTGTAGAACTAAAAAGAAGAAGAGTTTGTTTTTAATGTTTTTATTATATTAGATTTTTATATTGTTTTCTATATCTAATTGATTTAATTTTACGTAAAATGTCTGATTTTTTAGCCGAAAATAATGTTTGCGGACAAGTGATATTAAATTTAGTTTCCAGAGGCAATGCTATAATTGCAGAGTTACTAAGACTGAAAGACTACATTCCAAAAGTTTACCAGTAATAGTTTTAATCAACGACACATATTCTTATAATTTCAAATCATTCTTTTAGGCTGAAATCCAAACAGGATGCCCAAAAATACGCCGACATCATTTTGGATTTCAACTATTTCAAAATATCCGAAAATCACGAACAGAAAATCGAAAGGAACGAGGTGAAGTGTTAAACGTATTCATTTACCATTCGATTTTGATTATAGATATCTTATAGATTCTTAGAGACTTCGATGAAGAATTTCGAGACAACTACATCGAAATTATCAAAAGGTTTTATTTAGTGTTCGAAGGCATACACACTTATGTTATCGATCTGAATCATTTCATCGAAGAAATCGAGGAAGGCATTTACATTCATCAAACGCTCGAAAATATTTTCACCGACATCGAAGGCAAACAAATAATGGTACTAACTACATAAACTCTTACGAATGTACTCGATTTGTTAACTATTTTTTAGTGCGAAGCTCTGTATTTGTACGGATTGATGCTGATGATAGTCGACGCCTACATAGACGGGGTGATAAGAGAACGTTTGTTAGTTTCCTATTACAGGTATGCCCCGGAAAGGCAGGAAGCCAAAAGTAGCATCGATGAAGTCTGTAAATTGCTGCGAGACACCGGCTACAACGCCCCCAAAAGGCCTTTCACTTACCCCGAGGATTATTTTAGGTACGTCCTAGCTTCAAAGCGATTCATTTATGTAAATGTACTTTCTAGGAGGATCCATTTGAAACCAATGTACGTGGATTACGTGATAGGCCACCTGAGATCCGATGATATTTACGGGCAAATCTCGGTGTATCCGCTGCCCAAACACAGAAGTATCGCTCTCGCTAATCAAGCAGCTATGCTGTACATTTGCTTGTTTTTCTCTACGGATATCCTTCATTCGCAAACTGCAGTAATGCGAGAAATTGTAGACAAGTACTTTCCGGATAATTGGATAATTTCCTTGTATATGGGGTACACCGTTAATTTGGTCGAGACCTGGGATTCCTTTAAAGCCGCCAAATCAGCCTTGAATAACACTTTAGAAACGGTGAATATTAAAAGGTAATTAAACTGTTATTACAAAAAATATAAATTAATAATTTACTAATTTTTAGTTATGCTTTATCATACGGCGACAGCGTTCCCAACCTCCTAAAACTAACAGATAATTTACTAAAAGAAGGTAACATAACAAAGGAGAATTTGTTAAAAGATATAAACAGCATTACAACGACAATACGGGAATGTAACGTCACCGTTCGTTGGCTGATGCTGCATACAGTCCTTAAACCAGGCCAATCGGACAAATCGAAAAGGTTGAAACAGTACCGTGAACTCGTTATGGCCGATGCGAAATGCGAGCCCGAATTGTTGTTCAAGTTGTTGCTGAATACGGCTCAATTGGAATTGTTGGTGAAGGATTTGTATAAAGAATTATTCCAGAATAAAGAAAGCCAATGGGAGGAGCTGAAAAGCGAAAGCATCCTGAGACTGTCGGAGTTATCCGAGGTGTTCAGCGGCACGAAGCCTTTGAGTCGAATACAAAAGAATGAAAATTTGCGGCTCTGGTTCACTGAAATATCCAAGCAAGTGCAATCGTTGATTCTGGTGAGTAAGCACTGAAGATTACGTAAGATTATTTCGATATATTTCGATTTTTTAGGAAGATAATAGTTCGTCGAGAAAATTAGTTCAATTGATACAGGCTTTAGAAGAAGTGCAAGAATTCCATCAATTAGATAACAACATGCAAGTGGTTCAGTTCTTGTCTGAAACAAGAAAGAATTTAGATCGAATGATAAGAATAATGAACGTTAAAGAGACTGTTCTTATCAATTTGCAAATTATAGGCGATATAAGCTATGCATGGGAGTTAATAGATTATTACACCAATATTATGCAGTCAGGTAAAACAAAAAATACACTTTTAACATAACAATATTTTATTATATTCACATGCAGGTATAAGAAAGGAGCCTACGTTAGTTATCAAACTGCGTGCAGTGTTTCTAAAACTTTCATCTGCCTTGGAAATTCCACTACTTCGCATTAATCAAGCTCAAAGCGAAGATTTGATCTCCGTATCGCAATATTACAGCAAAGAATTGGAGATATACATCAGGAAAGTTCTTCACATTATTCCTATTATGATGTTTAGGAAACTGGCGAGAATTATCGAAATGCAAACTACAGTGCTGAAAGAACTTCCAACGAGAGTTGACAAAGATAAAATCAAGGAGTACACGCAATTGGAAGAAAGATTCGAATTTGCCGAACTAACAAATTCCATATCGGTCTTCAGTCAGGGTAAGTGTACAGCTAATACACTAGCTTAGCGAGAAATTATTTTTTCTAATTTCAGGTATGAGAATGATGAAGAGTACGTTAGTCGGAGTGGTTTGCATAGATCCGAAAAAAATATTAGACGACGGCATCAGGAAGGAATTGGTACAGCAAATTTCCAAAGCGGTGGATGCCGAGCTGACTTTTTCACCGAAGCCCAAGCAAGATGAATTGGAGCAAAAACTGAAGATATTGGTGCGAATAATGGACGGATACAAACGCTCGTTTGAGTATATACAAGTACGATGCGGTTGTAAATGCTGGTTTGAAGGTAATTTAAAGACGAATTTCAGGATTATATCAACATAAATGGCTTGAAAATTTGGCAAGAGGAAGTTACTCGAATTATTAACTACAATGTCGAACAAGAATGCAATGGGTTTCTGCGAATTAAAGTGCATCCTTGGCAAAGTGTATATCAAAGCCGTTACGTGCCTATCCCGATTTATTCCACTGCAGAACAGAGTGTGAATTTCATAGGAAGATTAGCTAGGGAAATTATTAGACTCACTGATCCGAGGTAAATTATATTCTAATACAAGTGTACAGTTGCCGAATAATTCGTTTTAATTGTAGAACTTCGACTTATTTGGACACAACAGTAACTTGGTACGACATTAAATCGCGTAAACAAATTTTCAATAAAGAAACAATTGGATCCATAGCTTGTGCGATTGAAATAGCCGGTTTGGCGGGCTTAGACCGATTATTTTCCTTTATGATAGTCAACTCTTTGAAAAAAGTTATGGGTAATAGTTATTTCTGTTGTTTTGCTTATTCCTAATGATATAAAACGTATACTGCAGGTCATCTCGAACACAAAAATGTAAAAATTGCTTCTTGGACAAACGTATTGACTTCTATACAAAATGAAATAAAAACTGAGAAGTTTATGAATCCATTGAAAGTCTATCAGACGTACATAAACAGATGCACGAAAATTTGGAGTGATTTCCTCGAAAATGTGTTGTTAATTGGGCAGTTGCAGTTGCTCAGGAATTTGATTGCGTTTTACTTGAATACTTCGTGCAAATTTAATGCCAAAAATCTGGAAATGTCTTTGCGATCTTTAAACAAGTAAGTCTATAATACATTTGTATTTCATCAAACTACATATTTTTTGTTTTTTAGGTCAATTCTTATGGATTTGAGAAACGATAAGTATAATCCAAGTGAAAATTTGTTGTATACATTATCTAATTATTTCGACTATGCTGGATTGAATCAGACTTTCAATAAAATCTACACGACATCAAAGAATAATTTAGATCATTCAATAACGGTTTTTCTATTTGTAATATCTCATTTAAATAAGTTATTTATGCCACAAAATTCAGGTAAATATCTTCTTTGTTTTTAAAATGTAACCTTAGTATTATGTACATTTCAGAAAGCTTGAGTAAGAGGTCCCAAGATCAAATCGATGGAATATCCTTTTCTCTTGGAGTACACACTATTCTAAAACAGTACCACTTAAATTTGAATAAGAGCTTTATCCAATATATAAGTAATTATGTTTTGCAATTAACTAAACATAATAGTAGGTAAGTATTAGTTCATTTGATTTTGTCGGAAATTTTCTATTTGATTTTTAGTTTGAAAACTGTTGAGCTTCTTCCGGAAGTCAATTTGGCATTGAATTTTATGGAAAGTTACACCAATTATTCAGACGAATCTCGCAATTTTTATCGAGAATCGTTACCACCAGAAATTTTGCATATTCAACAATCGTTATGTTCAATCCAAACGTAAATTTCTATTATATAACATTAATTTATCCATTATATATCATAAAAATATCCATTATATATTATACAATTGTATTAAATTTCACTATTTATATGTTGTAAGAAAAATAAATAAAATTTTGTTACACTAAAAAAATGGTATAACTTAAACAACAGAAGCTATAGGAAAAAAGAAAATTGTCAAAAAGTGAAGTCAAATTTAATCTACTAAATTTCATCATTTTCTTATTTACACAACAATATGTAGGAAAACAATTCAAGAAATTGGTTGTTCATCCTTTGATCCAGTTTGTGACAAATGCCTGACAATATCCATCCAGTTCCATCCCCTGGGTTTATCACCTTTGCTGTCCACTTTATTCCACTGCTTCCTTTTTTGAGCCTTAGTTAATTGTTCCTTTTTTTCTTTTATTTGCTTGTCCTTGAATCAATAAACATATTACACACTCCTAATATTATAATTTATAAGCGATTAAATTCCTCGAAGGAAAGACTCTTACAGCTCTGGATAATATAGTACTTTTAATGGAGAAACTTACCTGTTGATTGGCTTCAGAAATACATAATTTATCTATATCTATTTTTTCTGGTTCATCAGGCTGCTCTTTGATAAGTTCCTCGAATTTCTCTTTCAAAAATTCAAATAAAGAGTAAGTCATAGACATGCCTAAAAATTGCTCAGCCTCCTCAGTTAGTACATCTATTATTTTTTGTTTTAAACCTGTCACGCTATAAAAGTGGATTTTAATTTACAACAGAATGAAATTTAATGTATTACTAATAATTTTTCTTCTATACGTACATATGTTTATTGTAAAATGTATCCATGTTTATGATCGGTAACTCGTTAGGATATTTCTCGCCCCATTTGATTTCTATTATGAATGACTTATTCGAATTGTGTTCTCCATACTAAGAAAATAATTGTAATTTATGTTAACTAACAATTCACGAGTAATACTATGATGACATTATACATACTTTATATTGGTATGAACAATTATCTATTTGCTTGAATAAGTCGTCTCCATCATAAATAGATAGCAAAGCTTCTTTTTCTTCCTCTTGCAACTCTTTTTCAGACATATTTAAATGAAATTAATATATAATTTTCAAAATAGTAAATTCATTTTCTCCAAAAATAAGATAGGTTATGTTGTGACTTTTTGCTGTCAAAATTTCTTCTTTAATTTAAAACAGATTAATTGGAACTATTTCGCGTTGACCGGATTCGGTTTTTTGCAAGAGGCAATATAGCTGGAAGAAGAAAAAGCTGTTTAGCTTTAAAGTACTAGGCCTTAAAATGACATTTGTGATGTAATCATTGTCCTTGTTGTGACATTACTAGGCAACAGATCGATTTAAATAACTCGAAACAAGATATTAAAATTTCATTCAAAACATACTTGATTTTACACGAATTCGTTACAAACATGGATAAGCAATCTGTAAAAATGAAATCGCGAAGGAAAATAGTGAATCCTGTGTTTCATTTACAAACCAAACAAGAAAATGACCAGCATATTACCAAGGACGTAATAAGGCTTGTTAAAAACACTGGTAAATTGAATTTATCTTCAAAACATCTATCAGCAGGTAAAAATTCAACTGTTACGAAATACATTCATAACTATTATGTTTTTTTTAATACTCAAAAACATATTTGTTACAATTCTAAATGTTTCGACTAACATTGTAGTGCCGGATAAAATGTTTGCCATGTATGAACTAACAAACGAGAATGAAATAAATATCGATTTAAGCAGAACTATCGATGAAGGCGATGCATGGTGGAGTATAAAGCCTCTAACACACCTCGATATTAGCTCTAATGTTTTAACAGCGATGCCAAAAGATATTAACATGTTTCAGGATTTATTGGTTTTAAATGTAAGCAACGCTTTTTTTAATAAAGGTCTCATTAAACAAACTGCCTAAAATAAATATTTAATGTAGGGCATACTAATTGGTTTATAATGTAGCCCCAGTTAAATTAAAATAATACTAGATAATACACGGTAATAAAGGTGGTGCTTAATTAATTATTATTTGCAGTTACAAGGCAATTTATTAACACAATTGCCAGAAGAAATAGGTGACTTGAAGAAATTAACCACATTATCGTTAAATCATAATAAACTGTCCGAGCTACCTAAGAGTTTTTTTAAATTAACTGAATTAAAGCAGCTTTTTATTAATGACAATAATTTGAGTGGTATATCTAAAGATATATCGGATCTTGTAATGCTGGAAAAATTGGTAAGTGTTCATCAAAAGACACAATTGTTAGTATAGGCATACTAAAATAATTTTGCTTGAAGGACGTTTCATAATAAAAATCCTGTTTGATTTCAAATTGGATATGTAATGAGTTGTACTGAGAAATTTGCATACATTAAATTTCTAAATATTTCAGGACTTATCAAACAACAAAATTTTAAAATTACCATCAGGAATCGGATTTTTAGTACGTCTCATAGAATTATCAATTTCACACAATAAGTTAAAGAAATTACCGCCAGATATTGTAAATATCAGAGGTAATGTTTAGAGGAATTCCAATTACATGTAAATGAATTTATATTTTTTTGTAGCCTTACTGAAATTAGATATTAGTCATAACAGTATTACCAGTTTACCGCCGATGGGCGAGCTTCGGAAATTACAGATTTTATATGCTCAACACAATGATATTACGGACATACCGAGTTTTATCGGTTGCGAACAACTGTACGAATTGCATTTTGGGAATAATTTCATTCAGGTACATCCCGCAAAATGTTTCTCTACACATTTCAATCGACTAAAAGTTGCATATTACAGGAAATTCCCCAGGAATTCTGCGAGTACACGACCCACCTCAAAATTCTGGAACTCCAAGATAACCAATTAAAATCTATACCAGCCGAAATCACCAAGATTGCCCGTTTGGAGAAACTCGACATCACTAATAATGATATCGAAGAGTAGGTTTATAACTAATTACTTTTTTCGTATTATGATGAATTGTTTCAGCATACCAAACACAATCGGTATAATGCCACATCTTCACTTATTCAAAATCGAAGGGAACAAATTGAAGCATATAAGATCAGACGTTATACGAGCTGGTACAAACAGAATTCTCAAGCTTCTGAGAGATACGATCAGCGATGAAGATATAGCGGCTTCAAACGTATCTTCAGATGTATCTTATGACAGCAAAATTTATCCAGACAGGTGTTTTTAAGCAACTTAAATGTATATTAAGTAACTCTAAAATTGTGAATTGGTAGGTATTCAATGAGGAACGGCAATATTTTAAATTTAGCCATGAAAGATATCGGAGACATACCAGAAGAATGTTTTGTAGAAGCTAATAAAGCTAGCGTTTGTAGCGTGGATATATCGAAAAATAAATTCGTAAACATTCCCTCTGGGTAAGCGCATTAATCGTTATAATTTTTGGTTTTAATTCTATCGTTTTTAGATTAATACACGTTTCTAAATTTTTAACTGAATTGAACGTGTCGTCGAATAGAATACGAGAAATACCTGAGTTTTTAAAAGATTTTACGAATTTGAAATTTTGCGATTTGAGTAAAAATCAATTAGAGACTCTACCACATTGTTTGAGCGAGCTCGTTTTTATGAGAGAATTGATTTTAAGCAACAATAGGTAAATAATTTGTAAAAAACATCTTCGTTTTTCACGTTTTGTGCTGTATTTTCAGATTTAAAAATATCCCTTCTTGCATATTCGGTATGATCGGTCTCGAGATTCTCCTCTGCAACGATAACGCAATTGAAGAGATTCCTATTGATGAATTGGTAGTTTTAAAGAGGTTAACTAGACTAGATTTGAGTAACAATAACATTAATTTCGTTCCCCCGCAACTCGGAAATATGACACAATTGAGGTAATCTATTAGCTCGAATGTGTAGTATTAAAATAATCAACAATTGATCGAGATGCAATTCTTTTTTAGGGCTCTGGAGTTGAAAGGAAATCCGTTCAGACAACCGAGGTATGCTGTTCTAGAGCAAGGAACAGAATCGGTTTTGTCGTATTTAAGAGACAAAATACCCACTTGAGATTAACTCTTCGAAAATTTAAAAGATTATCCAGAAATTACTACTAAATACAAGCTCTTCGCTGTATGTTTTTGTTAGATTATTGTATACATAACTTCATTGGCAACCTAATGTAACGCTAGTCATTTCAAGCATTTTTTTGTTATTGTTTTTATTATTTTATTAATGTTGTTTTATTAATTTTTAACTAAATGCGCCTGTTAGCTATTTTTTGTTATTGTTTTATTAATTTTTAACCAAGTGTGTGCCTGTTTGCACTCAATTTTAACGTTGATTAATAAACATATTCCTCATATCGAGTCCTTAAATTTAATTATGTAAATACCTACTCTCGTAGGGGAATTACCCAGGGAATATTGGGTACAAACTAAATCTGCAAAAAGTAATATTTATTATAAAGTTACAGTATTTGAATAGTGGATTTCATCGAAAAGATCAGTAGCACCTTCTGTTTCCTTAAGAGCGAACCTGTAGTTGTGTCTTAAGTGTATTGGATTTAATGGTATAAACGAACTTACATCTAAAAAGAACCAACATTTTATACCACTTTCGACTATAAAAAGTAATAGCAAAGCAGACTTAGGTACACATTGTGCTATTTAAAACACCCACATTACTGAAAGGTAATAACAATAAATACTCACCACTATCATTTGAATTTATCGTTTGGTTGTACGCATTGCAATAAGCACCTTTATGTTTTTTGAATAAAATTTCAGCAGCCGCTATATCAGGGTCGCTTCTATCTTTGTGCACGTTTTCGAAATGGTTTGTATTCGAATTTTCCGAGGGGTCCAATTTCTAAAATATTTTACGAATAATAAACACAAAAGAGAATAAGTACTAAATAACATACCCTTTTTCGCTTCCTTTGACTTTCCCGCTCGTCTTCGGGTACATCTCTTAATACAGACGAGTAAATTGGAGTGGTACTCGAAGTAAATTTTAACTGGAATGAATCTGTCGTGTTCTAGAATATGAAGAAATTTTAACGCAAGTCTAGGAAATATATAAACCTCTTACATTGAATCTTATTGAGCTATTATTCACGGGAGTGTTAACAACAATGACCGTGTCATCGTTATCGAAGTTTCGAGAGAAATCGTCGTCTGTAACGTACAAATGTTTTCTACTTTCTAGGTCTTCCGTTGTGTTTTGGATGCTCTGCTCGATCCACAATCTGTGCAAATCCAATTCGTGCTCGTACTCGTTCAGTTTGTGAATTTTCCGTTTGAGATCCGATATGCGAAGATTAAATTCTTGAGAGTTTGAGTCCGGTAAGCATTTGCAAGTGTAAGGCCTGGAAATTAAGCGATTATAATCGACGAGTTTGAATGAGTTAATTCGAAACTTGCTTCCATTGAATACTGTTTTTACTTTTCTTCTCTATCAATCCTATTCCTTCTAAAACATTGGTAATATCGTAAATTCTCCTTTTTTGCCTAACAGCTAACAAATCGGCAGCCTGAAAAAAGCTTATTAATTTTTATTGGGTACAAAAAATTGGTTTTACTTACGACTTTTAAATCTAAAACACCGCCACTGGATTTTTTTAATAAACCCACAAATTTCGTTGTTAATAAACCCAGAGACTTTTCGTATCTGCTATGAGAATGCTCTCCCATTTTATTTTTTTTACTTAATTTAAAATTTTGGTCACCTATCTACGAAATCAAACTTTCGTTTTGAGAAGCTCAGAAACTACAATGTCAACGTCATTACTGTCAGATGTCAATTGAAATACCTAACTTCACTGTTCTGCCAACTATATTTCAATTCTTTTATTACAGTTGGTAATAAATTAACCTATATAAATTATTATTTTGAAACTAATTTATTACATGATTTTTTTTAAAAAGTCTTAAAAAATGCAAAGAAGAGTAGTTGTTACAGGCATCGGAGTCGTTTCGCCAGTCGGAACAGGAATAAAGGAGGCATGGAAAAATATTGTATCTGGAAAATCGGGTATAAGTAAACTGGAAGGCCCGGAGTACGATGGCCTACCGTGCAAAATCGCCGGTATCATTAAAGACGGCGACTCGAAATTCAACTTATCTAATTATTTTTCAAAATCTGAATTAAAAACTATGGCCCCCGCAACGGGTTATGCCCTCCTAGCAACGAAACAAGCCCTAGACGACTCGAAATTGGACAAAATGGACGATAAACTGAAATACAGAACTGGCGTAGCTATAGGCATGGGAATGGTAGATTTAGAGGATATATGCAAGACGTACGAAGCTCTAAAAAAGGGCTATCATCACGTCAGCCCCTTCTTTGTACCGAGAATCCTACCGAACATGGCAGCCGGGCAAATAAGCATAAAATACGGTTTAAGAGGACCCAATCACTCTGTTTCAACAGCTTGTGCTACCGGCGCACACGCCATAGGAGACTCCTTTCGATTCATCAAAAACGGAGATGCTGATGTTATGGTTTGTGGGGGTAATTACTTTATAAACGTTAGGTAACTTTAAAATATATCAAAATCTTCTTTAATTGTTGCATAAGCATGTATTTAACTCTTGCGTGTATTTTTAGGAGCTGAGGCTTGCATATCGCCCATATCTATAGCGGGTTTTTGTAGATTAAGAGCCTTGAGCACGTCTTTTAACAATGAACCGGAGAAGGCTTCGAGACCTTTCGATAAGCATAGGGATGGTTTCGTAATGGGCGAAGGAAGTGCTATTTTAATACTGGAGGAATTGCAGCACGCTCTCGATAGAAATAGCCATATTTATGCTGAAATTTTAGGTATTAATAGTCAGAAAATATTAATTCCAGTCACCATCATCGCTATCTGTTTAAGGTTACGGGTTATCCGGAGATGCATCACATTTAACAGCTCCTCGTTCAGATGGTACCGGTGCTTTTCTAGCCATGGAACGAGCAATAAATGATTCAAAAGTTGAAATAAAAGATGTTTTGTATGTAAACGCTCACGCTACATCGACTCCCATTGGAGACTCCATAGAAATTAAAGCGATTAAATCTTTATTTGATACTTATACGGCAGGAATCGCTGTGTCTTCGACAAAGGGAGCTCACGGTCACTTATTAGGTACTAACGAGATTAAAATATTTTATTCATTGCATAATTGAGTGGCATTTTTAGGCGCTGCGGGAAACTTAGAAGCTGCATTCACGATAAAGGCGGTTGAAGAAGGAATTCTACCGCCTACGGTTAATTTAGAAAATATCGAAGACAACGACATAAATTTCGTTCCTAAAACAAGCCAAAAATGGAAAAACTGTGATAGAAGAGTAGCGTTAAAAAATGCCTTCGGATTTGGTGGAACAAACGCCAGTTTGTGCTTTGCACAATACATATAAATTTTGAAATTGATTCTAATAAAACGGCATAGTTATTTTATCACTTTTATATTTTTTGATTCTTACATATAATGTATGCTTATAGTGCATATTAAAGACCTATACAAAAAAAATCTATTTCAATTGTAACAATAATAACCCATTATGGAATGCAACAAATACGTTATAAATATAACTGTATTATATTTTTTTTATTTATCATTTTGAATCGTACACAAAATTAGGTGCACAATTTTTCATAACAACTGCTTTATATTTCCATAAGCTCAAATGCTTTCAAAATATTTTATATATTTAAAGTAATTTAGAAAATAATCTTATAATTTATTATTCCTAAATACTTTAGACCATTTGAACTATGGTTGTTCCTATAAAATATTAGGAGCACCTAAGTAAACAAATAATTTTTACTAGAATTTCCTAATTTTTATTGATTTGTGCAACTGTAAATACAAATTAAAGAAAACCAAAAAAAAAATAAATTTAAAAATATTTTAGATATACTTTCAAATTGAACTTGATAAAAATTATCAATCTATTGAAAATAATTGAAACAAAAAGCAACGATTGAAAGTATGAATGGTTAGTTTCAGTTTAAAAGTAAACCGCGAGAGATTACAAATAAACTGGACATTTAAAATATTCGTTTCGTTTTTTTTAGACAATGTTACTGTTTGCACAAAGTTACATTCAATAGATTATATGGGAAATCTAGCAGATCGGAAACAAATTAATTCGAAGCATATTTAGTTTGTAAGAATATATGTGGCACTGGTCCGTTTATACAAAATTGGGCGAATCTCTTCTGAAGAGTCTCGCGCAATTCCTTTCGTTTTTCATAAACCTGTCTATTGTTGCTTTTAAATTCTCTAACTTCTTCGGCAGTAATGTAGCATTCATCATCGTCTTCACTGTAAACCTGCAAGTACATTTTTAATTTTAACATTACCAATTTCTTACTATTACGATATTCCATACCTCTAGCATTTCCTGCAAACTCATCTGATGACCAGTTCCACCGTAAGACAGTCTACAGTGGGTAATGTAATCGTTATCGTGTTGGCAACAAGAATCGGAACAAGCCAGTTCTGAACCTTCGGGGGAACTGGGCAGGCTCGAAATCAACGAAGCCGTTTCCCAGCAACCGTTATTATTCTCCGAAGAGTAACCGCAATCGTGGGAGTGGTCGCTGTTCGAACCGCTCTCTTTTTTATTGTTACTGTTGAAATCTCCAATGTACGCTAAAGGTCTGAGCAGGCTGAAACAAACAAAAAAACAGCGAATTTCGCTATATAATATGCATCACTAATCGAATATGCGTATAGAATTTTTATGTATCGAATGTGACTTCGACTAGCAAACATTTTATCTTACCTATTATCACATTTACAAATGGAAACAGTTTTTTTGTTTTCTTTAACGTCGTTCTCGCAATCCTCTAACCACAAATCACCGCTACACCGTAGTTTATTCTTTTTTCCCTCCACGCCGCCTCCTCCTACGCCTGAAAAACAAAATCGCGTTGAAGATAAAATCGAACACAACATTAATCAAACGTACCTCTTTTATTATTGAGCTTGGAACAATGTTCAATGTCTCTTAAAGCGTTCGGCTGCAATTGCTCGCAATTGTAACAGCCCACAGAATCCGGATCCGTTTTGATGTTCTCCTCGGAACACGTGCATTCTTCGCTCTCCTCTTTCTCATCCTCATCTTGATCACAATTGTTACAATTCTCATTACCATCTTTATCCTCGCTCTTCCCTATAAATTATCGCACATTTACTACCCCACTCATCGCTTCGACGATCATCACTCACCTTTTTTACGCTTGCGTTTGATCTTCTTCTGTTCTTTCTTGATTTGCTTCTGTTGCTCTTCGCGAGCAAACTCCGCATAGAGCAATTCCAATTGGGAGATGCCCCGTATCTGTTCCACGGCCGTCTCGAAGCTGCGGCTGAGCGTGTGCACCGCCACGGCGGCGAACACTTGGCAAGTGCACTCCTCTTCGCGCATGCGCATGTAGATCCTGTGCAAACGCTCGTACATGCATATGCCCAGGCAAGTCAGCACTTCCTCCTGCGCTATTTCCAGCGTTTTCGCGTGACGTTCTCTGCGGCTGGAATTCAATGAAAAATCCCATCAAATCGAATCTTATATATCATATCATTTTTAGGAGCTAAATTCATTTCGGCTCACAATCGCGATTTAAAAATCGACCGCCATTTTGGAAATTATCCAAGTTGACAGTTGACGTATTTTCTTTGTCAATTTTCGTTCTTTTGCGGTCTTTTACTACGTCAGTGTCCAATACGGGTTGAAAGGGAGCGAAGGACCTTTCCGAGCGTTCGGCGAGTTATAGGCGATGTATTGTTTGTTTGTTTGTTAGGCGATGTAACTAAAATTGCAAATTCTATTTACCTTCCTAGAAGTTCAGGTTCGGCCCGGCTGATGAGCTTGGTAATCAAATCAGTCTTGGTTTGAAGATGAATATGCTTGTCTGGTAAACATCGCTTAATGCCAGCGTACAGAGATGACACGTATCCCTTTTCTTTGGTAGGCTCCTTCTCTTCCACTAACAAGGAATACGCTGCAACAAGAAAATCATTCGTTAGAGAGAGATTGTAATGGAGATAAACGTTGGTGAATAGTACCTTTCAAAACTTTCGTGCGACATTCTCCGCAAAATCGGTGTTTGCGCAAATAAGTTTCCAGGGTACTGTGTAGACTAGATGCCTCGATAATGCAAACGTCCTTTTTACATTCCTGTTTCATGCACTCCCAGACGTCTCTCCAAACGGGAGTCAGGGGTCGGTTGCGTTGGGAATCTAGCGAGTGCAACAAGCATCTAACGCTCTTTTTGTTTCTTTTCGGTTGATTTTCGATTAATTTCGCCAAACGGGTGCTGGAAAATGTGCGTGAATTAATTCTGTTTGCTTTGTTAAGTGTTAGAAATGCAAGACGTACCCGTGATCGTGAAATATGGAACCCAGAATCGGATAGGCTTGTTTATCTTCCCTGATTGTAATAATACCGTCTGGTTTCACAATTAGTGGATCTAAGGTGGGATGTCCAAACTTGAATAATTGATAGTAAAGCCTATCAACACTAAAATACACCAGGAAATTATTATAAATTTGTTATCGATATATTTAGTGGTAGAAAAACATCATTATAAAAACTTGCGATGAATAGATGAGTTACTGTGATCGGAATTAAATATTAATTTAACAAATGCATGGCGCAAATGTTTATGCGAGAACAAAGCATTAATTTCATAATAATACCAGTAATCAGTGGTACAATGTGATGAATTAATCAATGGAAATGTTACCTTCTTCGACAACCAACACATGGCACATTTTGGTTCAAGACGTGCATTAACTCCGATTTGGTTATTTGCAGGGCGTTTCTCAATTCGCACGGTGGCAAAACGCTCCATTTCAAAGCGAATTCCTCAAGGTCCTTACCCCTCAGAACTTGGTTATCACAAATGATTCCGGAATTTTTTACATCCATTATGAGCTGAAAAAAGGGTTTGGATGAAATTTCTAGGTCAGATTGTTTATAATCGTAGTCGTGATTTTACGTTAACGAATCAATGAAAATGTAAAATTAATAAGATTCGAGAAGTGATAAAAGTAGGACATTAAAAACTTACCGTTAAATTTTCATCAATAACTAGGGGCAGTTGCCTCCTGCATAAAGGGTTTGATGGGCGATATACATCCACCAATTTTGGCAGCTTCTCTTTATTATTCATATTAGAAGAATTGCAATTATTTCGCTTATTCCGATACTAATTAACTTTTAATGTCAATTTTCAACAAATAAATAACGTAACTACCTCAGAACATGACACAGTGACACTCTGCCATTTGCATTTACAATTTGATGGACGATTACTGTCAGTAATGTCAATGTCAAGTCTTGTCAAATTAATGAAAAATGTCATTTGTCAATACCAAGAAATAGGCCATTTCGAATTAACATAATGGTATGTAGCGGTTTTAGTATTGGATATGCAAACAAATGAATTAAATAGAAAATATTGTGAGAGAACATATATTTAATTCTAATTTAAAAATACATTGAGTAATGGTGATAATTAATTTCAAATATATAATATTAGGTGTCTTCTTTTTAGGAACTAAAAAAAGGCCTGTTCTTTTTAGAGAAAAGCGCCACCGCACCGCCCGGCATTTTTCACTTTGCCTTTTTTATAACAATTTGCTTGGAATACGTATTGAAATGCGGATTTTTCTTTACTCTAAAATGAAAATACAAGACTTCGCTTATTAGTGTTAATATGCTGATTACGTAACCAATTAAAAGCGCGACGAGAGCGCCCGAAAATTTCTTCATATTCATCAACGCCTTGGTGCTTTCGGTGTCTTCTATTTGTATCTCGGCAATCAGAACCTTCTGCATCACATCTCCCAGCCATTTTTTGATAAACCCCGCTTCCAGGACGCGCCTGATGTACTTATCCATGCGCGCTTTCAGCGGCGAGTTTTTCTGAAGAGCTGAAATTTTTATCCAGCCAATGCCACATTTCTCTAGGTATATGATAGTCACCCTGAATTCCCGCTCCTTTACTATCTATACGAGTGGAATGGTGCACTAGAAAAGGAGCGAGAATTCAGGTTTACCGAACATCATACCTATAGAAACCGGAATCTTGATAATGCAGTCCTCCATAATGTGCAGAGGCCTGTCGTTCTGGACGTCCTGCAGCATGGCCTTTCGTTCTTCGCTGGTGGCGTTCGTGGCGTTGGAATTAACGAAGAACGACCGGAACCTTTGCTGCCTCTTCACTATAGCTTCCTTTAGAAAATAGGTGTTTTCGTAGAAAGCAAACGAAGCCTCGGCCACTCTGTCGACGGCACCGTTCGAATCGTTCACGATAACAAAATTCTCACCGATTTGTTTTACGGCGGGGTCTTTGGACGTTTTGAAGAAATCCAGGTTGATTTCGCCCCATCCTCCGAACGTTAATTTGCTGTCTACGAGCTCTTGCACGGTATCGATAGTTACTCTGAAGTGAGATGTGGGTAAATGAGTAGATAGGAAGCTGGTGAAAGAATACTTACTTTGGGACCGGCCTGGCCAAAATGGCAGTTAAGCTAGCTCTGTAGGCGGTTACAACTAGTAAACAGTAAAGCCAGTACCAGCCGGTTAGCATTCTCAAAGACCAGCCGGTTGGTAATTTAGGTAAAGATACTAACAATAACATGCTGTATGTGTAGAGTGCATTATTTACTGGTTCACTAAATTGGTATAAACCTGTAAAAATATCAATAATTTTATATTACACATAAAAACTAAGAATTTTATGTGCTTATATAACCTTCTGGTTGTCCTTCTTTCTTGATGACTTGGTATTTTTCTTTCATAAGTACGTATTTGGTATTGGGATCGATTTTTTCAAAATCGGGCTGCAAAGACAACGTTAAGACTCTTTTGAATTTGGAAATTGAATTTGTTTGCGAATCAGGCGATTTTGTTTTCGAAACTTTCACGTAATAAGTCGCTAGGTAATGGAAAGTTACCATACAGATTAACAGGGATATTATTAATCCTCCCCACATTATTGATCTAAAATTCGAGGAAACATTAAATTTGAGAATTTAATCAGAAATTCGCGTTCTTACGAAAAGGGTAATATTAAAGTTTTCCAGGAATTATCCGTTAAAGCTTCGGGAGTTACGAAAGTTAGGCATTCCGTATTGTAAGGTACCGTAAGATCCATTAGCTCGAGCAAATACGATGTGTAGTAGAAATCTCCTACAGCAATATCAGCTTTCGTGCTGACGATTTCCCCTATCACCCCCGTATAAATTCCACCGACTAATTTTCTTCCCCACAATTCTTCCTCCGCTCCCTCCGGTTCGTAAATTTCGCATTTAAAATTCATCGATTTCGAAATCGTTTGTAAAATCTGCAGTATATGAAAAGTTCATCAATTACTCTCCGGGTAATAAAATATTCTTTTGGGAAGTACCTCAATTTCCGTGCCGGCGAAATAACTCGTTTCATTATGAGTGGTGCTCATCAAGGCCCTCATGTTTTTACTTTCACTGTTGTTGACTTTCTCTACTCCCGGTAAATGGCGGAAAATCGCAACTTTAAGTGTTTGGTTTTGAAGATCTTTAGTTTTGTCTCGGAACAAATCGGCACCTACAGGTGCACAAAATAATTTCTAATTCCGGATTACTATTGAATTATAAATAACTTACCCTTTCTAAATTTAGATTGAGCCCATATGTCTACTTTCTTTGGTATTAGAATGTTGGTAAGAGGAAGAGGAAAAGGTACGGTGGTAATCTCAAACCAAGCATTTTCTTTTGTACTGTTGGTTATTTTAATTACCTTGCTTTCGAATTTTTTTATGAATATTACATTGATGATCCTCTTCCAGAGGTACAGGAACCTTTTTTCGAATAACCTGTTGTCGTGGAGCAGGATAAATTTGGTAAAAGTTGATATTGCACGGTATCTATGCACATAATAAAATATAAAGTTTTATGGAGCGAACATAATTACTATATTTACCTGTCGCCGAATTTTAATAGTCTCCTCATTTGAATACCGTTTGAAATTAAGAATATGTACAATTGGCAATCTCCATTGTTAGCAACGTGTAAGCTAAGTTGAATTTCAGGGCTCGGGGCATAGAGATCATCGTAATCTTTTACTTTTACCTAATAGAGGATTTTTAAACGCTTGTTTTACTAATTTACGGGGGAAATTTTTACTTACTAAAACGTATGAAACTGCCGTTCCGAATCTTTTGAACCACTTTCTTTGAAACACATCTGAGTTTATTTCGTCAGTAAAAATCATTATGCACTTGTAGGGACTCAATGATTTCACTATTATTTCTTGCAGCAGAAGACCGAATGTGGTGTCTTTGGTAGTTTCGGCTAAATCATCGTGAATACTAAAGAGTAGATACATTAAAAATAGATCATCAGTTTTAAAACAATAGTTAAATAGTTATTAATTTAAAAAAGACCACAAATAAATAAGTTAATGCCTAATGCAATTACCTATATCTTTAAAAAATATATAGCACTTTGTCATCGACATTCTGCAATTTTTTCTTCATCAAGTTATTAATATTTTTTAAACTCACCTATACATTGTAGTTAATTCTATAAGCAAAAAAACCGTTAAAAGTTCCAATTTCATTTTTTGTGGAAAACTAAAAAGTTTTCTATTAAGTAACGAATGTATGCCTACAAGTTTGCATGACCGGCATAATTGAGTTGATGTCATCAAAGAAAAAAGTTCAGAATGATAGGTAAATTGCTTTTTAATAATTAAAGAGAACCTTTCGAATGAAAGACGGGTGCTACATAAACCTTAAAAACATTATACATTTTACCTATATTTTTTATTCACTTATTATTTAACCTTTTTATTAATTTATTATGAATATTTTTCACTTTTCATGCGTTTTAAATTTTCCACGTATTCTTCTTTTTTAACATGTGGACTGAGCATATGTAGATATTCGGTTATTTCAATTCTACTAATGACCTACTAGTATTAAGAAAAACCTAATCCGGTCAGCCATGGGTAAAATGAACTACTCACGTACGTTCCGAAAACATAACCTCTCAATTCAAAATATGCACCAGGTTTGAATTAAAACGAATCAAATTTCGATCAAATAATGAGCGATTCTGCTGTGGTAATCAAGGCAAAACCGGAGAGAAAAGTGTTCAAAGCCAAGAAAGTCACGAAAATCCCGGAATCGATATCGAACAACGCGAAATTGCAATCAGCTATTTCCCTGTTACCGAAGAACTACAATTTCGAAATTCCCAAGACCATATGGCGCATACAGGAATTAAAAGCGAACACGGTGGCTCTGCAAATGCCGGAGGGTCTGTTGCTCTACTCCACGACTATTGCAGACATAATCAAAGAGTTTTCCGGAGCGGATTCCATAATAATGGGGGACGTAACGTATGGAGCCTGTTGCATAGACGACATAACAGCCAAGGCATTGGGAGTTGAACTACTTGTACATTACGGTCACAGCTGTTTAGTGCCCGCCAATCAAACTTCCGGAATCAAAGTCTTGTACATATTCGTAGACATTAAAATAGACCCGTTGCATTTCATCGAAACAGTTAAATTGAACTTCAAATCGTCCACCAAAATAGCATTAGTTAGTACAATCCAGTTTATCACGACTATACAAGCGGTGAGCAAGCAATTGAAAGATGATGGTTACGATCTTTACATACCCCAATTCAAACCTCTATCGCCCGGGGAAATCCTAGGATGTACGGCTCCGGTTTTGAAATGCGCCGAAGTTCTAATTTACATAGGCGATGGACGGTTTCACTTGGAAGCAGCTATGATAGCAAATCCGAGAATCGAGGCATACAAATACGATCCATACTCTAAAGAATTCACGAGAGAGCACTACAACCATGAAGAAATGCTGAAGATTAGACTGGAGAGCATTCAGGAAGCTAGAAAGGCCGGAACGTTCGGTGTAATAATGGGTACTTTAGGGAGACAAGGTAATCCAAATGTAGTGGATCGTTTGAGGAAACGGCTGGAAGAAACCGGAAAACAAACAATCGTCATACTGCTCTCCGAGATATTTCCAAACAAGCTGGAATTGTTCAATAAAATCGACGCTTTCGTACAAATCGCTTGCCCTAGGTTATCTATTGATTGGGGAAGGGCCTTCAAGAGGCCCGTGATAACGCCTTATGAGGTTTCCGTGGTGGTCGGTGACGCGAAATGGCGAGAGGGGAACGAGAGTTACCCGATGGATTTCTACGCCAACGCCAGTTTGGGGCCTTGGACTCCGAATCACAAACCTGACACTGATTTGGTTAACAAATGTTGTGGGAAATGTGTATAGTTTAAGATATTATGCCTCTAACGTTAATTCTACATTTTAATTATTGTACCAACTTATGTATAGTCTAGTGATTGCCATTGGTTTGTAGGTTCTTGAAATTGAATAAATTTGCATTAAAAAGGACAGTCTTTTAAAAATTGGGGGATCATAAAAATGCGTTGTTTATAACAGCTGATAGAAATATTTAATTATTTTATATATTTGTAGAATAGATAGTATTTTAACAAAACAATGGCAACTACAGAAACCGCAATTTTCGTTTTTACTAGTCATAATTTTTCTTCCTCCTCTGTCGTTTTAGGTGGTAACAACTGAAATTTAATGTCCGAACCTTTCTGTCTCTTTTGAACAATCCTTGCTTCTTTATTGAGCGAATTTTCTATTAGCTTATACACGGATTCCGCCTTTTCGGTGTTGTTACTGTCGCCATTGATAACGATTCTCACTTCGTACCTTTTGCCGACCCATTTTTTTATTTTGTTTATGTGAACTTGCAAATCATGTTCAGCTATGTTTTGACCAATCATCAGCACCTTTTCGCCTTTTATCGACTTTTTTCGTAACTCTTTCTTCGCAGCTTTTTGTTTAACATCTTCGGCATGATATTCAGTGGCTGTCATCATCTTGTAAACTGGCCTCTGAGTTTTCGAGTCCAAATCGTTTATTTTCACAAGTTTAAGATCCCTTCGTTTCGATAATTTCTGGGCTTCCTCCAAAGTGGTTATAGTTAAATTATCGCCAGAGAGTAATGTGATTTTAGGAATAGGCACCGTTTTCTTTTTCTTGACTGTATCTTCAGTTTTTGTCTCGGTGGAGTTGGTGGTAGACCATGATCTGCACAATGTTGGTAGAGCATTATTATTGGTATTCCGTATATTATTTAAAAATGCACCATTATTTATTAGATTTCGTAATGGAAAAACGGGCAATAAATAACGCAAAGACATATTTTTTTTATAATTTTACATGACAAGCCATGCAAATTTGTTGTACTGTCAAAATCATAACCTAATTCTTCTTTTTTTTCTTTCAAAATCTCAAATACAAGATAACTACTACAAACCACAAATTGCATATGGCATTTTATTTGTGCAGTACAAATTAATTTAAAATTTCACGTTTTTATCATATGTAAATTACTATATAAACGAAGCGTCTATTTATACATAAAAAACTGGCTGTATAATGCAAATATCAGAGACCAGAGGCACCTCTCTTGAATTTATTATTTTCAAATGTCAACAAATGGATAACCCTAAAAATTTCAGTCAGAAAAAGTAAACATGTTAAGTCGAAATTCTATAATACTTTCAAGATATGTTTTGTTGCAATCATTGAATATATATGAAAAAAAATGCATTCAGCAAAATGGTTAGTGTTATTATATTTGTTATTCAAAGGATGACAATGTTATTTTACAAATAATTTTTTAGTACTGCTACCACTATTCAATTTAATTTTCACCATTTAAATTTCAGTTAGGTACATTAATATATTATGCAGACATGAAAATAGATACGGGTGTCGTTTTCTATCCAAGAGCGAGTTCTTGGGCAAATCGAAAAAAGACATTGAAAATTCTCACAGTGACATTGAACCAAACGACAAGAAAACCAAATTCATTAAAGAGAAACCAATTATCGAAGTTCTGTCGCCGGATATTAAAGCTTCCACGCAAGATAAAAGTGTAGTTCTAGAAAATGTCAAGGAAAAGAGTTTAGAGGCAGACAACGAGCCTGGCAAAGCGCCCCAAAAATTGGATTCCATAAAGAAAATTAAAGAGAAACTCATCGGCAAAGTTGAAAAGGAAGTGGAAAAGGGTAAATAATCTAACACATAGCATTTATGAATCTAACATAAGAGTTTTTAGTAAAACCTATTAAAAAGCGGAAACGAGTGGATTTATCCTCTCAATCATTGGAAAGGAATTTCATTACACCAGTAAAAGCCATGTCCGATTTCTTACTAAAACCATCAGACTTGGAAAGCCTCCCGAAGACTAAAAGACGTTCCCCTTACGAATCCGAACCTCCCATAACTGTTTATTGGAGAAAAGACGTCGAAGCTAAAGCTTTAGAGGTTTGGGGCAGTCAAGAAAACTTACAGAAAGAATTACTAAAACGTGATATTGAAAAGAAAAAGTACCAACAGAGTACGTACGAAAACTTGCTAATTTAATCTCGTCAATTCGATTTGATTCCAGATATTTTCACCGTCAAGAGAAGACTACGAGACTTCAGGCGTGAAATGGGCAGATCTACGGATGTCATCGAAGAAGATTCCGGACTGATGGGTAGATCTGGAAAAGTCGTTCTCACAGCCGTAGCTATGTTAGTATAATTAATTTATTTAACGATAATTACTGATTAATAAGGAATCTACTTTTTTTTGTTTTATTCGTTTATCTAGGTGCAATGAATTTATTATGTAATATTTTTAAGAAATGGTGCTAATTTTCTGTTCAAATTGTGCGCTTGGATTTATACAGGATCGCACAGCATGTTTTCCGAATGCATTCATTCATTGGCCGACACAATTAATCAACTCATTTTAGCCTATGGCATTCACAAATCAGTTCAGGTAATACATTAGCTAATAATAACAATTAATCGGTTAATAATTGTTAATTAGATTGCAGATTCCTACCACCCGTACGGATACTCCAACATGAAATACGTGTCATCTCTAATATCAGGGGTTGGAATATTTTGCGTGGGAACCGGTTTATCTGTTTACCATGGTATATCAGGTTTATTGCATCCCTCACCTATAGAAGACTTCTTTTGGGTAAGTTAATTTATTATTGCACTTCTACGAAGTGAATATGCCTTATTTGCAGGCGTATTTCATTTTGGCCGGGTCTCTTGTATCCGAAGGAGCAACTTGGCTGGTAGCATTTAATTCCATCCGACGAGGTGCTAGAGAAGTAAATATGCCAGTCAAAGAATACAGTACGTCCATTATACTTTATTTTATCACATAGTATCTGGATACTCATTGTATGTTTTAGTTTTTAGAGGCCAGGATCCCAGCGTGAACGTGGTGTTGCTGGAAGATTTTGCTGCTGTGGTAGGAGTGATAGTAGCAGCTGGTTGCATGGGGGTTTCCTCTTTGACTAACAGCCCGATTCCTGATGCTCTTGGTTCGTTGTTGGTGGGTTGCATTTTAGGTTCTGTCGCTTCGTTTATAATATACACGAACGTCGCTGCGCTGGTAGGAAGGTATTTGAAGATGGTAGTTGTATCTCGAACACTAGGTAACGATTTGGACTGTTATTTAGATCGATTCCCGAGGAGAATTTGGAGAAAATCAACCAGGAATTGGAGAAGGACATTATGGTTCGGGCGATTCACGATGTTAAAGGAATCGATATGGGTAGTTATTTAGTGAGGTACAAAGCTGAGTTAGATTTTGATGGCAGGGAGCTTACGAGGGCCTATTTGGATAAAATGGAGTTGAATGACTTGCTAGAGGTAGATTTTAGTAGGATTAAATATTTTATAGCGATGTTATCGGAGAGTTTTGCAGGAGATTAAGGCGATCGATAACATTGACAAGTTGGAGGAGTTCATGCTAAAACACGGGGAGAATTTAGTCGATATGATGGGTGGTGAAATTGATCGAATCGAAATGAAATTACGGGTAAGTTATTCAATAAATATAGGATATTAAGAGTTGCGATAAATTTCGTTTTGTTGTAGAAAAAATACCCGGAAATTCGACATTGTGATTTAGAAATATTGTAAGGAATAGGCAAACCAATTTTTATTAAGTGTAAATAAGTGTTAATTTAATTTCGTACTTGGCTGCGCAGTATTGCAAATGATGGATTTAAATTTTAGCTAAAGCGAAAATTTTGTGTATTTAATATAATAAATTATTGATATCCTTATTGTGCTATGCTTGTACTTACGATGCCAGTAAAAATCCGGTTTATTTCGACCACAGTTTTCATTTTGCTCCCTAATATTATTAAAATTCAACTCAAATTACGTTAACGAAAACCGAGAAAGTTAACAATAGTTTATTCGCTTAGTTCCTTTATAATAATTTGCCAGAGATTTTCTCCATGATTATTACCATATAATAGTTTCCAAAAAAACAATATCCATAAAATGGAATATACATAATATTAAACAAAGTCTGTAATCGACTACAACTACGTTATTACGATCCGAAAATGTATTTTATCGATGGTTGTAAAATTTGAACGAGAAGTTTCCTACTATTAATTAACTATCTTAATGCGAAAACGGTGCATTTTAAAATTATTGCACGTTCTCCAAGTCTGGTAAATATTGCTGTTGAGCGACAGAAGACAATTCCATGTCTATGGGTTTGGTGTCATCGTACAGAGCGGGGGCTTCGCAAAGGATCGAAATGGTTCCCGTAATGGAGATTATGAAGAAAATCCACAGAAACAGTCTATCCAGAACCATGGCTACGAAGCCCCAATCTAAGTCTTCCTGAAAATTACATACAGTACACACTCGATTTATAATATTCGCGTAACTTACTGCGTTAAATTGGTCTTGTCTCTGTATATGATGTTGTATAAACATGACATTGTGAATGGCCTTTTCCAGTTCGAACGGGTACTTTTTCCTCGTGCCCGAGTCGCTTTCATCCAATCCAGAAAATACCGAGGGCAACCCATTGTAACACAATCGCTCACTCAGAGTCCCAGCGAATCCTCGCAATCTACAAACCCCTTAATCAACAAACAACTCACTCTCTCATTCCACTTTACCTGGCCGTTGTAGAACTGGAATGCAGCCCGTTACATCCGCTAGCCCTGTTCAAAGAGCTGCTAGAAGTGGTCGAAGAAGACGACCTGCTGCTGGGCATAACATCCAAATCCCTCTTTTTCATGGTCAATCTATTTACCGGTATCTTATTGGCCGCTAGTTCGGTGAGCAAGTCTTTGGGTACTCTCATTAACAGCAGCTTCGGTACGCTCTTTATGAAGAAGCTCCGCACCCACGGCGCCATTTTGTGGGTGCTCGGCTTTCGGTAATGCACGTTCAGAATGATGATGGTGATGACTACGGAGAATCCGACCATCACCATGGTGAATAATATGTATTTTCCGAGCAACGGCAGCGCCAGAGAGGTGCTCGGGATGATTTCGGATATGAGCAGGAAGAACATCGTTTGGGATAACAGGATATTGATGCAGAGGGCTATTTTTTCGCCGGAATCGGCTGGTAAGTAGAAAACTAGCACCGAGAGGTAGGAAATGCCGACGCACGGTACTATGAGGTTCACCGTGTAAAATAGAGTTTTTCTTCTTAGGGTTATATTGAAGAATATGTCTGTAAACGAAAGATATTTAGTATTCTATCGAGCTCTAATTGGTGTTTATTATAGTACCTGGATAAGGCTCAGCGCAGCAGGGATAGTACTTTTCATGTCTTTCGGCGGGGACGCCCAGGATGTCCCATTCCACGCTGGGATAATATTCTCTTAAATCTATGCCGACTTCTACCTTATTTTCGCCCACTTTCTGATTAATATGTTTTAAATCAATCTACAACATTTAACACTAGTTAAACAACTCGTTTATTTTAATAATAGCGCTTTTACCTGATTGCCATCGTATGTCCACGAACCGAATTTCATGAAGCAAGTCTGCTGGTCGAACGGGAAATACCTTACATCTATTTCGCAGGAAGACTTGAAGATCGCAGGAGGAGTCCACAACACTTTTCCCGTGTGCCTTAGCACAGCTTTCGTCATTGTAGTCACTACGTATTCTCCATCGGCGCTGGAATTTTATTTTATTAGCTCAATAATTGCAGGAGTTTGATGATTAGAACTTACTTATTGTATAGTACGATATCAGGTAGCCAAATGTGTTCTGATGGGACGTACAGCTCCGTGACTCCCCCGTATTCTTGGGGATCCCACATGAATTTGTGGTCTTGCCATTCCTTTAAATTATAGAAAAATTAGACGGGGTGTTTCGGAAAGCACGTGGAAATGTGAAGTTATTGGTGAGTTATACATTTTCAGAGATTCAGTATTTATAGAATTATCAATAGGTATGAAATAATTTACTCCCCTGCAGATTTATCTATTTTTTTGTTTCACATTTTAGTTTCTTCCAATCTTTCTTTGAGGACCTTTTGTGTAATGTACTAAAAGATTAAGTACTTATGGAATATGATGTTTCCTTATTCCTATTTGAATAAATAACTTTAATTGTAGTTAAATTTTGTACTATACTCGTAATTTGAATACAATCAAATATTGAGATTATAGAGAGTTTGCTAAATAAACGTGCTTTAGTGTAGAAACGGATTTGCACTTAGTTAATGTAATTAGCATACAGTTTTTTAAATGTAAAATAACGATTGGTTAGTTATACAATGTCTACATTTACGTACTAGAATAAATATTAGCACATTGGGTATTCTGGTAATGTATTGTAGAAGTTTAAATATTTATGAGTATTATTTTTGAAGGTGAATTAATGGTGACAAACTGGATTGTATATTTTTAAAAATCCGAAATTAATTATTAGTTCTTGGTGTTGGGCACGTTATTATTTTGACGGGATAAATATTGTTTACAAGTTGATAAAATTCTGATTGAAGTTTTCACACGATGGCAATTTTGTTGCTAATTAATTTTTTTTAAAAAGCAGCGACGTTCTGTCGGTGAATAAATAAAATGCGCGACTCTCCCATGAACTGTTCGGTTATCTCATCTCGAAAAATAGCCTTGTTGTGATTCGGAATTTTGCATACTATTAATATAATTATCTAATCGACAATTTTATCAACAAATATGCGGCTTAGCGAATATCTCATAGGCGCAACGCAGACGCGGCAATTTCTGTTTTTTTTTACAAAAGTGCGCCCACATATTGTCGGGCCGGCCCAATTAGTGACTTCATTATTAGCTATTGTATTTTCAATTCAATAAACGATTTCCTGAAACCAAGTCAACCGTTAAAAATAACGATGCCTATAAAAGAATTTTGTTTTTTTTAGAAATTATTTAATTGAGTATGCTCAAATACGAGTCGATATTTTTCATCGGCCTCGATATGTTGGTAATTTCTTTGTGCATTACCCATTCTATTTGTTTATGAAAAATTTAGTAGGTACTTTCGGTATATTTCACGTGTAGCATTGGAAATGAAACTTTTTATTAAATCATCGCCAATTAAAAATTTATTTTTCTAATTAAGTTTCGTTCAAGAAAGGGTAAACTCTCCTCGCTCTACTAACATTGCCCTTAATTAAAACCCTAGAGAGGAAAATAAATGTTCTGTACAAAGTTCATTCAATTAGGTACATACAATTTTAAAAGCAATACTTACATGCTCTAGCCATACGTTCGTGGTAAGGATTTGATCTTTTAAATTCTAAAAAATATTAAATTTTATAAATGGTTTTGTTCAAATAGATTTTTTATCGCTTACCAATTCGATCAACTGCGATAATCTCAAACCTAACTTAACTAAAACCGTGTCCGTGTTATTACTGACCGGCCTAATCAGCCTATTGTAATTACTCAGGAGATCGTCGTAGAGTCTTTTGGCATCGGGATTGCACCAGCAAAATTCGACGAAATGGAAGAGGAATATAATAAGGAGCACCCACGCTAATTTCATGATTGCAATGATTGTACAGATATATCACACCGGCATTAAATTGATTCGTTCATAATTGTTTTTATTTGGTTCGATTTTTTTAAATGTCACAAAGTTTTGGTCGGGGTCATGATGGTGGAATGGTGTGAATGTGTGTTCTCGGATGCGTATCCCGATCCAGGATGCCTGGATCAATAGTGTTGCGCAGCGAAACGGGATTGCTTTAGATATCCCAAAAATTATACTACGAAATAAACTCTCTATGCATTTACCTAGAGTTAGTATTATTACAAATTTCGTTATGATATAGTAAATAGAAATTTTCTACAAAATGATTCGAGTTTTATTTGGTTTTTTTTGTTGGAGAAGTTTATTTAGAGTAAGTTTGAAGTATTGGTGTTAATGTATGCTTTATATTTATTAGTAAAGTGTGCTTTATTAGTCTTTTATTAAAACGAATTATGTTTAATTAATGTGCCTAGTTTCTTTTCGTGTGGAATTTTGTCGATTATTTTAAATTCCTCATCAATGATAAAATCGCTGTCAATAGATTTGATGGATAAGCTTTTAACTCCCAACAGTATTCGTGCGAAAATTTAATAAATTCCTATTTCCCTCTGGATTAAAAATTTTGTGTAACTTATGTTGATGAAGCACTTAGAAAATTGCCAAGTTTTTACCGAATATCCTTCGAGAGATCGATTATAAAATCTACACTTTATGAATCAATATTTTTTTAATCCCATTTGCCTACTTTCCGCAGTAGGTAATATAATTTTTCCATTATACATTAAAGCCTATAAATACAAAGAATTTTGGCGAGAAACTCTACCTGCGAAGGATAACTTCGCGAGCGCTCGTGTTTTTACAGTGTTTACATTGAAAAACCAATCATTGAATTGTGAAAAAACGTGTAAAAAAATGACGATTATCTATAAATAACAATCCCGATTGGATTAATTCGAAGCTCTTTATCCATGCACCCAAGGTCGAATGGAGCAATTAGAGAGATAGCGACGATAATTTAGCGGAATATATCCGATTCTTTTGTACGTATGGCAGTGTAGCGAATTCAATTCTCACACAAACGTTTACCTACGGATAGAGAGGGACAGGTACGAAAGGAAGTAGTGGGAGCAATACGTTCACCTGATGGAAGTAAACGTCAGGTTTCAGAGGTGCACCTAGGACAAAGTTATGTTCCATTTCGTATACAGTATGTTTTGCTGGTTTTGTTTGTGAATTTTTTTTTCTCTAGCGACCGTGCGATACTGTTCGATTCGTATCGGGAATATGGTGGGTTTTTGTGGGATGATTGAGATTAATTGCTGATTTGGTGTTAGTGCCTTGTAAGTACCTATACTCTACCTGTATCCTGTTTCTTTTTTCGTTCGTTTAACCGTTGAGTTAACGGAATTATTATATAATAGAATTTATTTTTTTTACATAACTAAGGAAATTTTATTAATGTATGTGTAGACCGAGTTATTTGCGTAAATTAAAATTTAATCGAAATTATTCATGTCGGCGCTTAGATCGATATTATTATCATTATCGATCATATTTTGTGAACTGTTCACATAGGCGTCGATTAGTAAACACTTTTTAGGTTTTAGCAACTTCAATTATTTATTTAAAAAACATTCCAATGTTTAAATAGCTAAAGCAATCAATTTATAAATAAAAATTAATTGACCTAATTTACAATCAATGGGCTTTTACTGTATCTTGTAGATTATCTAGATAAAATAAGAACGAATATTCTGGGTAGGTAAGTAATCAATTACTACACAGCTTAATTTAGTTCAGGGTTTTTGGTTAAACACCTGCCTTCCTGTGCCTATTATAAATTAATGACCTATTGTGCATATAAAACGATACAGAGTAAGCGGAGTGGTGTAATAAAAAAAACAAATATCACAGGTGTATAGTTTCCGGGCCACTTATGGAAGAAAATGTTCTGGATAAAAGTCTAATTTATGTTTCAAATTACTTGTTCATTATAAAGCATCTGCTAGGTAAATGAATTGTTTTAAAACATGAAATACGATTTATCACAATTAGCTTAATTAAGTAGCTTCATTTGAATAAAATAACATTTCCAAGAGTCACTTAAAAAAGGGACTTGTGGAGCCAGGTTAAAAGCAATGTTAATCACGGGAAATTTTATAATAATCAACATAACAAATAACCCTCGTTTGCTTTAGAAACCTTTTTCAGACATAAATAATTCGAATTTTTCTTTGTTTGTAACTTAATTTTAACCGAATTATTATTAGAGTATAATTGATGCATTAAAAAAATATGCCAAAAATGAAAACGTACTTATAACGTGTCTGTAATAGGCGTACTATCCGAAAAATTAACTATCTCTAATATTTTGTTTGTTATTCATCAATTGCAAAGTATTTTTATGAACCGAAATACTCACCGAAAATCGTATTTACCAATTGGTTAAAGCTAAATCCGGAATTGGAAGTGAAGATTTTGTTTTTTCTTACACTTGTGTACAATGATGTATTTGAGAAAAAAATCTAAAAATGATACACTTGTGGAATTCACGTAAATTCATACGAAAACAATCCACTTCAAAAATATTTGTCAACTTTAGAAAATAGTTTAGACTGCGTGTTGAAATATGTGCCAAACAAATTTAATTGAAACCTTGCAAGAGTTGCAAGTGCACCAATTTCTCGCTGATTGCAATCAGTTTCTGGGTTACCTACACTTGTTAGTTGAAGTATTTTGTTTGAGTGTAGAGACATCCAATTGGTTTATTTATGAAGTTGATGAATATTTTTACTGAGGTCATACGCTTATACTTTTTCAAAGGAAGTTCTTTCAACGCGAAATAACTGGTAAATATTAATAAAGCAAAATTATTATTAATTTGTTAGTTAAAAAGGCAAAAAATCTAGCATGTATAATTCGTTTTCAATTTTGCATTTGCGATGCAAACAATTTTTATGTCACATTAAAACTAATAGCATTCTTCGAAACCGCAATCATTATTCAAATTTCATTCCGTAACGGGTTTTAACTGGAAATTTAATTTTTGTGAAGAATACTTCCCATCGTTGAAGTCAAAGAGTGAAGTAAATAAAGCTATATGCACGCTATAAACTGGTTCTAACTAAATAATGAAACTGTGAGAAAATGCAGGCCTTCTCTGCCCGTCCTTTTGTTAGAAACGATTTTTCACACATAATTAATACTTCTCTTAGTGTCTATCCACCCATTCATTTCGGTTTGGGAGTAAACCTTTTCATTTTTAATTTATGTAAATATTTTTTTCAGCGTTCGCAACGAAGCAGTGCAATTAATTCGTTACTAATGTCATTTTGATAATGCAGCTTCGCAGCAATTCCATGGAGTCACCAGATGAAAGCCGTAAGTATCTCGATCCAACTAATTTTCGCCCATTTCTAAACATCTCGTCCAGCTTTAGAGAACGACGGGAGTCGAATGAGCGCGTTGGAAAAGAAAGTGAGCGACCAGCAGAACGAGCTCATTTGCCTGAAAGCCACGCTCGCCGAGGCCCTGCGGAGGCTCAACGCCCTGGAGGTGGCGCAACAGACGTCCCGCGTGTCCCTCATCCCCTCGGCGAACACCCCGAGGCGGCTGAACCCCATCGGCAACGACTATCCCAGGGAGAATCACCGCAGCCCGAGGCCGGAGGAGCCCAAAAAAAATTACATCGCGTCGTTTCTGCCGCAGAGAAAAGCCGTCCACTATCGTTCCACGGGTAAACGACTGCCTTAATTGCATTATGGAAGTTTGTAGTGTAAAATTGCTTGGGTATTAGGTAGCCTGCATAGCGACACGCAGAGTTCGAGCAGCGCCAGTCCCATTCCCACGCCGTCTCCGAGGTCTACTCCGCTTCCTTCTAACGTGAAAAAGAACTCGTACAATTCGAGGTACTCCTCCAGGAGCACGCCGTCCTTGCACAGGAAATGGAACTCCACGGGGGATTTCAACCACATGCCTCACAGTGATCTGCATTCCAAGTGAGTCGGCGGCTGCTGTTCCTCGAATAAATTTTTCACGAATTAGACATTCTAGGATAGAGTAGTTGAGGGGATGGAAATGAAAAGCGATGTGCCCGGAAAAACCCGTTAGATCAGGAGGGGGCGTTCTAAAATAAAATAAACGGTACAATTGAGGATTGTTGCTCAGGAGTGTTATGTCATTATGGTAGTTAAATATTCGAAATTTAATAACTTTCTTTTTTATAAACCTCATTTATTGTTTATTTAAATACTGGTATTTTCTAAACATATAATTTAAATGCGAGTTTAAAAGTAGTAAGTAACTGTTAATTACGTAAAAAATAATAACATCATAGAACTAATCTAACCGTAGTGAAAGGTTGTATAAAAAATTGAGTTTATTTTTCATTTGGGGTCAGTATAATTAACTAATTGAGTAGCACTAATTAAAAATCCGTCATTAGCTTAAAAATAATCTTAAATTAAAACTTAATTGGGTACTTACCTACCCTTAATTTATCTAGAGTAAAAGGCTAAATAAAAAAACGCATCCTGGAGGAAAAAGAGCAAAAAAATACTAAACATAGGGACTTTTAAAAATTGTCCAATTTATTAATGATACATCTAAATCTTCTATTAAATCCTTAGGCATTGTATAACTGTTATTTGCAGAGCAAAAGAAATGTCGTTTAACGATGAAGAAAAATTCGTGAAAATGTTCCTCAGAGGTAAGCCTATAATTTTGTACGCGCCGAGTATGCAAGAGAACTTCGAAATGACGAAAGTATCGAAAACTCCCAGTAAGAAATTGAAACTCGATTGGGTCTACGGCTACAGAGGGAAAGACTGCAGATCGAACCTTTACTACCTTCCAACAGGAGAGGTTGTTTACTTCGTAGCCGCCATCGTTGTTTTGTACAATTCCGAAGAGCACCTGCAAAGACATTACGCCGAACATACGGCGGACATTAAAAGGTAAATTAGCTGAACGAAAAGTCTCCGCGATTCCCGAATAAATTCATTCCTTCCTTCCAGCTTAGCGATCCATCCGAATAAAATGGTCGTTGCCACTGGGCAAGCCACCAGCCACATCAATGGCATCGAAAAAAGGGTAAGTACAGACCTAGCAGGGATATTTTGCGGGGCAGGTAAATTATGAAATTAAATTGTTGCAGGCACACATAAGGGTGTGGAATTCCGTGTCCCTTCACACGCAATCAGTCATCGGAATGAATGAATTCGAATCGTCCGTTTGCTGTTTGTCTTTCGGGAAATTCGACGGGTCTCTCTTACTAGCCGTTGATGATGTCTCAGATCACAACATTTCCCTGTGGGACTGGCAAAAAGGCGAAAACGGATATAAAATTACCGAAACTAAGGTAAGAACATTACCTTCTTGAATCTACTGCTTTATATTATATCTACATCCCTTCTGGTTGATCTGGATGATCTCCAAGATCTTTACAACAAGCTGTAATTGGTACAAATATTTCTTTATTTTAGTGTTCTGTAGATACAGTGGTTTCGGCGCAATTCCACCCGCTGGACAGCAACAGCATCGTGACTTGCGGCAAATCCCACATAGCCTTCTGGTCGATACAAATCAACGGGAATTTGTTCAAACAGAACGGCATTTTCGATACGAGAGACCGGCCGAGGTACGTAACGTGCGTCAGTTTCCTGCAAACCGGCGAAGTGATCAGCGGCGATTCGAACGGGAATTTGGCCATTTGGGGCACCACCAATACGCTGTTGAAGTACATGAAGAACGTCCACGACGGATCGGTGTTCTCGATTTGCGTAACGAAACAGGGGAACGTTATAAGCGGCGGAGGAAGAGACGGCAGGTTGATCGAATTCACTCCCAATTTGATGGCAACAGGAAGAGTCAATCAGGTAGGAAAAACTGGATCCACGAAAGATGCCATAACTTGATATGTTGATCGTTTGTCAAAACGATGGTTGGTGCATATCAATTTATGAAATCAATACGTAGAAATGTCCTGCGAATGTGGTGATATTCTTCCCGTTTTCATTAGATCGAGAGTTACTTTGGAGGCATCAGAATTGTGTCGGAGGGAAAGGATTTCCAGATACTAATCGGTACCACGCACAATTGCATCCTGAGCGGTTCGTTGGAACTGGGATTTCAACCGATAGTGCTGGGGCATGCGAGCGAAATATGGGCCTTGGATTCCCACCCGAAGATCCCCTATTTCGCGACGGCAGGTTACGACAGAGTGCTGCAATTGTGGGACTCCATGTCGCGCACGATTTTGTGGAGCAAAGACGTGGAAGTGAGTGTTGAAATGACCGGTTAGCGCAGTAACGATGTAAAACTACATTTGAGAAGTAATTTCAGGAACAAGCGCAGAGCATATGCTATTTCCCGGACGGCTTGTGCCTCATCGTGGGCTGTGTCAATGGAAAATGGATGGTGTTCGATGTGCAAACTCGTCAACTTCTGGCTCAGCACGCCGACGGCACAGAGCCTATTCAAGTGATAAAGTAATTATTCGTATTTGATGGTTATTGCATGTTAATGAGTGTTGAAAATTTAAGGTTTTCGCCGAACGGGTCTCTAGTCGCTATTGGTTCTAGGGATAGTACCATTTATATTTATCAGATTTCTGGTAATGGTACGAAATTCACTAGAGTTGGGCGATGTTCAGTAAGTATACAAACAAAATTGATTAAGGTAGTTTTGATTTATTCATCGTTTTGTAGGGCCATTCCAGTGCCATTATTCATCTCGACTGGGCAGTGAATAATCAAACTCTTAGATCGAATTCTGTTGACTTCGAGTTACTCTTTTGTAAGTAACATTAAAATGGTGTGAATCGGAACATTTACGAGTTCCTTGAAATTTCTAGGGAATACTGAAACTTGCAGACAAATTCCCCAAGCTAACGTACGAGATGTCGAATGGGCGACGAATACGTGTACCTTAACGTTTGATACAATAGGAATATGGTCGGATTACACAGAAGGCCTAGACGTTATTTGCTGCGATCGAAGTCACGATTCCGAGTTATTAGTTACCGGAGACGACTTTGGGAAAGTCAAATTGTACAGTTATCCAACAAGTCAGCCTAAAGTAAATATTTTGTACGATTTTTGTTTATAAATTAATTATATACGAATTGTTTTTCAGTCGTTGTGTCATACGTTCACTGGTCATAGCAGCTATGTAACAGGCGTTAAATTTATGAAGGATAATTCGAGAATCATATCTGTAGGAGGGAACGATACTGCTGTGGTGCAATGGAGAGTAACCTAATTGCAAAATGCATTAATCACTTACGTGCCACATTTTTAAATATACCTTGATATAAAAGTACTATGTACTTACGATTGTTCATAACTCATTTAATTTGTATAAACTACTAAATCTACGAATAAATTTTAAGTGTATAAATTGCGTTTTGTTAACATTTTATTTAAAAAAAATTACTATGTACAAAAGTGGTAATTAACAATTAAACTATTTACAACAAATACACCTACAATCTGTCAGTTCTTTTTTTCCCTGTTGAAAAGATTCAAGTATTTTCCACGGGTTACTTGTTTTGATTCTTCGACCCCTAACTGATAAGCAATATCGTGTAGTTCTTTTACTTTTCCTATGAGAGCTGGTGCTGACAAAGTAGCCAGGTCTGAAAGCAAATAATAACCGTTAAAATAAATATAAGATAAAAATATTAAGATATTGCTCGATATCCTACATAGGTTATGAACCTTACCCTATTTCGATAAATCTTAATTATTTGCTTAAATTATTAAGTAATATTGGAAGAACAGTTGAGAGAACAGTGTTTAGTATTTGTTTGTAAAAATTGTACTATAATTAGTGTATTAATATCAAGTAATAATTGTCTGCGAATAGAATAATAACAATAGTAAGTAACAGGCAAGATGTTTGCAAATGCGCTAGTTACCTGGGCTAGTCGATATGTAGTAAGTTTATAAATACAAATGGAAACTGCAGTAAAAAATCGACATCTATCGTCAAACCGTTGTCACATTTTTTGACAAATTACAATATAGGTAAGAATCCGATAAATTACATTAAAAATAAACGTGTACTTACGATGCAAGTAATGTTCATCTTCTTGCGTAAGGTCTTTAGAATATGGTAACTTTGTTGCACTTTGTGGAGTAGATTGGTAATTGCTCATCAATTCTGTTATACCTGGAACTTTTAATGATCGTTAGTTAAGTGTAAATTATAGTAAATTTCTATTGCTTACTTTTCTCAGGCCACAATTCGGGAGATGTACGATCCAAATTCTCCATACTTAACAAATTGGTACCAAATTCTTGCAATTCTTCTTGATCAGCGATCGAAGCTGCAGCAAATAAGTTTGACAGATGTAGTCGTAATGGATGAAATAACATTCTATTCGATAGAATTAATATGCATGCTGATTAGTACGGTTTTTTCATTGAATTGCATTTAGTGGTAGACTAGATTAGGGATTTATTCAAAAAATGGATAGTTAAGGATATGAATATCGTTTTAAAAGCTAAAAATGATTACCTTGTTGAAAGCTCCCGGGTTTCTCGGACGCCATCTTGCAATACTACCAATTTAACTGATCACGAAAAAGTAACTAAATTTGAATTTGAAAAAAATTTTATTGTAATATAAATTATGTACGTTTTAGAACAGGTCTTAAACGTTGTTGAGATATTTAAATCTGCTATTTTTGTAAGAAACCTTGCGAAATTTCAGTCATTTTAATATTTTAACTCGTATTTTATTAAAAAATATGGGAGAAGTGGTAAGGTAAGGTGTTTGGTTGGCCAACCTGCTCTGCTCTTTGTCAGTGTGTTGACAACTGACAGTTTGACTTTAACCTAAAAGATCCTTTTTATAATCAAATATAAGTCTTAATTTCATTTTTAAATCAATTAATAAACACCAGTAAATTCATTATATTTCACCGAGGTATTGTATTGTACAATGATTTGATTTAAACCACTACAAATTTTTTATCAGGTAATTTTTTGTACAAATCTACTAGATGGATTTTACTTCAATAAATAAATAATGTAATGTCACTTTTTTTACGTCGTAAATGTTTGTTTGTTATACATATTAGAAATATAGTCAATACGTAACTTTATTTGTTTTTAGAAATATGGGTCAAACTTTATCCGAACCAGTTACTGCAAAAGACACTGCTTGCTGTCAAGATACTTCTTACAGAGTTGGATCAAGCTGTATGCAAGGATGGCGAATAAACATGGAAGATTCCCACACTCACATACTCTCCTTACCCGATGATCCGAATGCTGCATTTTTCGCCGTGTACGATGGTCACGGTGGCGCAGAAATTGCGGACTTTGCTGGTATACTTAATCTAATTTTCCTATTTTTTGTGGTTTTTAGTTATTTCTTGTGTTTCAGGTAAACATCTACACAAGTTCATTGTAAGGAGACCCGAGTATAAAAATGGCGAAATCGCCGAGGCGATGAGACAAGCATTTCTTGAATTAGATTCCAGTATGATCGAAAATGAAGTATTATTCAACAAACCTTCCGGATCAACTGCAGTAACGGCTTTAATCAAAGGAAATAAAATTTATTGTGCGAACGTAGGAGATTCTCGGATAGTGGCCAGTATCAATGGTCGCGCAGAACCGCTTTCAGAAGATCACAAACCTTCCCTTCAATCAGAGTACAATAGAATCGTGGCTGCGGGGGGCTGGGTCGACTGTAATCGAGTTAACGGAAACTTGGCATTATCGAGAGCTTTGGGAGATTTTGCATTTAAGAGAAATACAGAAAAATCTGCAAAAGAACAAATTGTTACAGGTATTATATGATTTTTGTTTAGAAGAGTTTTTTTAATAGTAATTTGTTATTTTTTTAGCTTTTCCGGATATACAGGAACATAATATAACACCAGATTGGGAATTTGTCATTTTAGCTTGCGATGGTATTTGGGATGTAATGAGTAATAAAGAAGTGGTGTCTTTCGTCCGAGAAAATATTGCCAACGGTCATGAACCGGAAGAGATATGTGAAGAACTAATGATGAGATGTTTAGCTCCTGACTGCCAAATGGCGGGTTTAGGATGTGATAATATGACTGTGGTTCTTGTAACTTTTCTTCACGAAGATTCATATGAAAAATTACAAATGAAATGCAAACAAGCGTCTATTCAGGAAGAGAACAATGATGAAAGGAAAGATGTTGATCTAGATAAGGAACTTGCATGATTATGTATTATTTTTTGATAGATATCGTAGAATTGTTATTAACTGGATTTGCGGTTACTTACAACAATAACTTATAATAGCAATAACATAATAAGATTTTGTACATTATTATTTCTATATCCGAAAGTCAAAAAGTAAATTATGGTAACTCATTTTAATAATATTCTTGGATTTGTACTATGTAATATTCTTCTATTTGTACTTTACTAGTTATTTTTAAAAAATAAGTATTTCATTACAAAAAAAATCTGATAAAAATTTTCTGCATTGCATTACTGGGAACCCATATTTATGAAAGCTTCTCCAATTACCTTATTTATTTTTTGACTGTTTAAATTATTTTTGATTGTACCTATTAAATATATTGTAAAAATATTGTATTTATATATTAATAATGTGAAATAGAACTTAACTGAAGTATTTTTTTATTTAATACTACATACAAAACTATTAAAATTCTTGTATCTATTTTATATTTCTAATTTGCTTCCACATTTTATTCGATTCATAACTGAACAATTACAAAAACTGTAAGGTGTTTCGAAAATAATTAAAAAAAAATAGCTTATAGGGTTTATTAAAGTACAAAATACTAATTTTACAATATTCCTAATGATTTTTCCATGACAGCATGAGGCTGGCCAGACAATTCCATAAATTCTGAAGTGTTGAATACGTCTTTTGGCCCAATATCAAAATCATTTCCAGTTAATACATCGTGCATAATATTCGACGATGGCAGAAAAGGCAGCCTGCCTATTTTTTTGGCTGCTTTCATTTCAACGGCAATACGAAGGGGTGCGTGTATCCCTTGAATGTTACGAAGAACTGTCATATTCATCTTGTATTTATTTTCTTCATTCTAAAAATGCAATTGGAGTTAAGCAATTGTAGATAACTTAATATTGGTTAAAGTACCTTAATTTGAGATGCCAAAGGATGTGATTCTTGTGTATTTTGCTTAATTGAGGAGAGCCCATGTCTCATTAAATCATGTCCTCCAAAAGAGTCTTCTTGGATACTAAAACTGTCCGGTACCGTTGTCCTCGGTTTAACAGAAGGCAATGCGAAACTCTGGAAATTATACAATTGTATTTTAAAGGCTATTGCTTATACATTTTAGATATACAGAAATATATTTGAGGAAAACTTACCATTTTAAGAAAAATATCTTCGAGTCACTCTCTTTTACTGTGTACAAAATTCAACAATGACTTACAAATTAAAATCTGTCATTTCTGTCATTAATGCTTGACAGTTTCTTCTTTTAAGGCACCTTTGTGTCGAAGTTTTCTGTCCTATTTAGCCCATTTTCTAGTTTGGATGATTAATTATCAAGGTAATATTTTATAATATCAAAATACAGAGAGGCTTCATATAAATTATGAATATTAAGGTAATTCAAATAAGTTTCTAAGAAACATTTTAAATGCTAACTAGTTTCTGATTTAGGTCGTAACCTTTGAAAAAACGAAGAAATAATTTGACGTTGACACAAATGACAGTGACACTTGTAAGTGACGTTTCCCTAACCTGTTTCTTGTTTCTAGTTTCGTGGATTTCACTTCATATGTTGTTTAAATATAAAGTATAAGTACAAGATTATTTCTTTATTGTTTAGATGAAGATAGAAAATACGTTTATCTTTCCTACGTGGTAATCTAATTGAGTGAAAGATAGTGTAACATAAAATCTACAATCTAATTGTTATTATTAGACGTAATGTTTTAAGCAGTGATTTTAACATGAAGCAATTTTATAAGAATTTTTTATTACCATGCGTACTTATTTTTACAAATATTCTCGTGATATTGGCGGATTCCGAACCCAAGGAAGATGACGAGAAGGAACTGCTGGTAAGTAAAACGGATTGATATATTTTAATATCTCTAACAATGCATTTTTTAATTTATACTTTCTGTGTATTTTAGTCCGCTACTATGACTGCACCGGACAGTACAGCGAATATGAAAAATGTGGGGTTCTTGCATGGCTTCGTGGCCTCTCTCAGTGTTATACTTGTATCCGAAATCGGAGACAAAACCTTCTTCATTGCGGCTATCATGGCGATGAGACATCCCAGATTAACTGTATTTGCTGGAGCCATATCAGCATTAATATTAATGACTGTTTTATCAGGTATTATTTAATTTCTTATTTAACTTACACAGTGTTTGTTTCCCTTTCTTACGCCTCAATATTTAAACCATTCATTACATTTTTTATGTGTTAACTCTCCGTTAAAAGTCATGAACATGTAATAACAAAGAGGATTTTATTTAAATAACTTAATAGAGATAAAAGCAATGTTTCTCTGGGATCCTATATTATTATTATTCACTTAATGGACACTAATTGGAAAAAGTTGAAGAAAAAAATATAACAATGGAGCAGTTATCGAGAATAATTCTGTAAAATTATTTATTCCTGCAGCTCTCTTTGGATGGCTGGTAACTGTAATACCTAGAGCTTATACATACTACATAAGCACCGCGTTATTTGCCATATTCGGATTGAAAATGCTGTGGGAGGGATACCAAATGAAGAAGGACGAAGGTCGTGAAGAAATGGAATTAGTTCAATTGCAGCTGACAAGAAGAGAACAGGAAGAGGTACCAGAAATAATAAAGATAACTGTCCAATTTTACCCTTGATATTTTAGCACGAAAGAGATGCACTTCCGGACGTCGAGTCGGGTAGCGTTAAAAGAACCAAATCTGTCTGGTATGAAGTTTCCAGGATATTATTGCAGGCTTTTACCTTGACATTTCTAGCGGAGTGGGGAGATAGGTCCCAGCTGACTACTATTATTTTAGGAGCAAGAGAGGTAATTTGAAAATTTCAAGATATGTATATTCAATTGCTAATTAATTGAATTAATTTTTAGAATGTGTATGGTGTGATATTAGGTGGAATATTAGGGCATTCCGCTTGCACTGGAGTAGCTGTGCTGGGAGGAAGGATGATTGCCCAGAAGATATCTGTGCGAACTGGTAATGTGAAAATTTCATAATTAAACATTTTCTTTTTAGTAATACGATTGATTAATTTATATTATTTTTTTGTAGTAACTCTCATAGGCGGCGTCGTGTTCTTAGTCTTCGCATTTTCCGCCTTGTTCTTTGATCCCAACGCGGCGTAGAAAGAATTTATGAAAATAGTTGTAAATACATTGTAGGTAATAAATAATCAATGTAAAGTTATTTTAGGCATATATCAAACTTGTATATTTAAAGAAATTAGGTTTCTGAACGGAGGAGTGGTATTTTGAAAAAGTACTTAATCGAAAGCTTTAATTCTCATTTTGAAATCAATTGCACGTTTTGATCTCGTTGAAATTGATCAAAAAAACTATATTTTATTATGAAAGTTTTCATTAGATGTCCTGCAAGTTTAGTAGTCTTTGTACCATTCTTCTTAAAGGAAATAAAAAGTTGCTTTTAATTTTTAAATGTACCTAAAAAGAAATAGGTATCTACTTGAGTGAGTGTTGTTAAACCATAATTTCATATAGTCATATTTTTCTTTTATATGTTTGTACTTTATAAATACCACAAAAGAATAACTGAAATTAACAGTCCCTTGCATTTTTAGTGATAATAAAAGCATTGTATGTATTCATATATTTTTTTTATTCTCCTATAAGAGTTTGAACTCGCCTTAAATGATTCCCATTGTTGAATTTCGCTCAATGCTGAAACGGCCACGATGATAGTCAAGAATAAAATTAATTTCATCTCGATTGAGTAACGAGCCTTTCTTTAAACTTATAATCGGACAATAGATAAGAAATTAATGCAAAATAAATAAAATAAATTTATTACTGTTGGATGCTTATAAAGTTTAATTTAATGTTTGAAAATGAGCTGATATGGTATGAAGATCCATTTAATAAGGCAATTCATCAATAAATGCTGTTATTTTAGCTGTTTTTTCGGTAAATTCTTCGCGTTTTTTCCTTTTTAAAAAGACCAGCGTTGCAGCAGTCGTGGTCGTCGTTGTGACTGAATTGGCGTATTTGGACTTGAGAGCTTGAACCAGTTTCTAGAAAAAGAAGGATTACATATGTACCTAGTATAAGCTACGAGCACACGCCTCACTCACAATTACTAATTTAATTAAAAATACGCCGAAGGTAAGAAATCCTATCGTCATTAAAGCTCCTTCATTTGATGGAAAATCCATTTCGTGATCGTCGTCTTTCAAACCTCGCGCTCGGGGATTCCCTTTAGGATTTTTCCATAAAATTGAAATGTGGGTATCTACAAGAAATTAGCAATATCCCAAGTACTAAATATTTACATACTTATTAAGTAAATAAAATACTTACGCTTATAGAAAACCGGTTACCTTTGCGAAAATTAAATCGAATTTTGTGATATGAGATAATATAATTATGTTTAATACTACAACCGATTCCGAGATGAGTGCATGTTATAATTTGACCTGGATGTTTGGCCAATTCAAATAATTTTAGTAGATACTCACACAGGTTACTCAGTAATGTGTCTCGTAGATTTTTTAGAACAGAAATTTTGTTTCCGTGCGAAGCTGATTTCAATAAGTTCTCTTGAATTATTTGAAGGAAAGCGAAAAATCCACCGACCGGCAAGTCGCTCTTGTGCCCTTCGCTGAATAAACTCTGTTTGCTATAAACATTGTTTTCCATAAACTGTTTCTCAATAAACGTATGATCTTCGTAATTCTCGTAAGCAGGAGTTGTAATTACAACGTTAGTAGAAACGGGAGCTCTCATTATGGATTCGTAATCTGGAGTAGTGTGGTAAAACGAAGGTGTACTTACTGGAAAATATTCGAAAAAATTTTTACACAAACTACTGGGTAGTGTCTACGTACTTATCGATGAATTTTTTCCATTACGAACGGGCGCTATTTCAACCCAATCCCCTTCTACGTAATTTAAAAATAGAAGAATAGCACCAAGCATTCTACTGCTCTCAAATATCTTAACTGATTCTCGACAATTCGGGATGGTGAGACGACGTTAAAAATGCAGTTAGTTGGGACGTAGTGCAGAACACTTTTGATGGAACTAAACTGTGCAATTATTATTATATTTCATTAAAAGTCATATTGTGGCATGTATGATAGTTATTGGGGCTTATAAAGTTTTAGACATAAAATAAGATATACCTAACGTAATTGATAACGGTAACTGCTATTCAATGTATCTAGTACTGCGAAATATACCTTTGTCGCAGATAAATTAGTATTAGACGCTATAGTATTTTTTCCAAAATTCATAAATAAATTAGGTAATGCTCTTATGTTTTCTTATAATGTTCAACAGGCTTTTCTTGCAACTTCTTCTAACAAATGTAGAAATTTGAATAATTTTAATTGCATTAATTAAAAATTAATTTAATTTGTTATTATTTGAACTTAACTACAATATAAAAGGGAAAAGGTAAGAAAGAATTTTATATATCAAACAATATTTATTTATACGTATTTTAACATTGATTGTTAATTAGAAAATTGATGTCACACTTGAATCGTTTTATTTTGAATCTTCTCAAATCTTTCTACTGGTAACCTCTGGGATATTACAGATTCTGAAAAAATAGGTAAAATCAGTATTTCCCGAATCAATAAAAGTTGATTTTATTTACCATTGCAGTTTTGGAATCACGATGATGTGTTGTCGATATTCTCGATAGTCATGTCTCTTCAAGTCCTCTTCGGTAATTCTTTTTAGTTCGTTTTTCCAATCAGTTTTCCTTCTTCCTTTGCTGAAATACTATTCTTCATCTTCACTTTTCGGGATGACTATATTCCTTCGATTCTCACTCGATTACACCGCTTCTTCAGCTTTCGGTATTAAAGATGTTATCGATGTCTCTTCGGTCTTCGGATTCCTGGATTACGCTGACGTATACACCTTTTTGGTACTGGATCTTCTTCAAAAGCCGCTCGCATATCACAAATTGGCGCCGTCCTCCTCCTATTGGTCGCAGTTGGTGTAAATCTTACATGTGCCTCTCGTAGATCTTCGATAGATCGACATTCGTGTGGATCTTCCATGTACCAGCATTCGTAGTTCGCTTCCGTGGGTTGCCTCTCCTGTAGATCTTCCGTGGGTTGGTCGCCTCTCCTGTATGTTTTTCCGTGGGTTGGTCGCCTCTCCTGTATGTTTTTCCGTGGGTTGGTCGCCTCTCCTGTATGTTTTTCCGTGGGTTGGTCGCCTCTCCTGTATGTTTTTCCGTGGGTTGGTCGCCTCTCCTGTATGTTTTTCCGTGGGTTGGTCGCCTCTCCTGTATGTTTTTCCGTGGGTTGGTCGCCTCTCTCGTAGAACTTCCGTGGGTGGGTCGCCTCTCTCGTAGAACTTCCGTGGGTGGGTCGCCTCTCTCGTAGAACTTCCGTGGGTGGGTCGCCTTTCTCGTAGAACTTCCGTGGGTGGGTCGCCTTTCTCGTAGAACTTCCGTGGGTGGGTCGCCTCTCTCGTAGAACTTCCGTGGGTGGGTCGCCTCTCTCGTAGAACTTCCGTGGGTGGGTCGCCTCTCTCGTAGAACTTCCGTGGGTCGTCTATCCTGTAGATCCTCCATGGGTCGCCGCTTCGATGGTTCGCTCCAATGGTAGCCGCTCCGCCGTGGTTCCTTCTAACGGCCGCCTCTCCCTTGGGTCTTCCATAGGTAGATGCTTCGGTGGATTTTCCAAGTACTGGCACTCCGGAATGGCGAGTGGTTCCCTCCAATGGATTCAGCTCCGGTAGACTATTACTATGGATCCGGTATGGACGCCACCGTCGTGGTTCCCTTTCTTATGGACGCCGTCGTCGTGGTTCCCTGTGATGGATGCTGCCGTCGTGGATCCCTGTGATGGACGCCGTCGTCGTGGTTCCCTTTCTTATGGACGTCGTTGCCGTGATTTCCTGTGATGTACACCGTCGTCGTGGTTCCCTGTGATGGATGCTGCCGTCGTGGATCCCTGTGATGGACGCCGCCGTCGTGGATCCCTGTGATGGACGCCGCCGTCGTGGTTCCCTTTCTTATGGACGTCGTCGCCGTGGTTCCCTGTGATGGACGCTGCCGTCGTGGATCCCTGTGATGGACGCCGTCGTCGTGGTTCCCTTTCTTATGGACGTCGTCGCCGTGGTTCCCTGTGATGGACGCTGCCGTCGTGGATCCCTGTGATGGACGCTGCCGTCGTGGTTCCCTGTGATGGACGCCGCCGTCGTGGATCTCTCTTATGGACGTCGTCGTCGTGGTTCTCTCTTATGGACGTCGTCGTTGTGGTTCTCTCTCTTATGAACGCCGTCGTCGTGGTTCTTTCTCTTATGAACGCCCTCTAATGGACACCGTCGTTCCCTCTAATGGTCGCCGCCGTCGTGGATCTCTCTTATGGTCGCCGCCGTCGTGGATCTCTCTTATGGACGCCGTCGCCGTAGTTCCCTGTGCTGGACGCCATCACCTTGGTTCCCTCTAATGGTCGCCGTCGTCGTGGATCTCTCTTATGGTCGCCGCCGTCGTGGATCTCTCTTATGGACGCCGTCGCCGTAGTTCCCTGTGCTGGACGCCATCACCTTGGTTCCCTCTAATGGTCGCCGTCGTCGTGGAGCTCCTTGGAACGCCCCTGTCGTAGACCCTCTTTGGGACGCCCCTGTCGTAGACACTTTTTGGAACGGCATGGTCGTAGACCCTTTTTGGAACGGCCCTGTCGTAGACCCTTTTTGGAACGGCCCTGTCGTAGACCCTTTTTGGAACGGCATGGTCGTAGACCCTCCTTGGGACGCCGCTGTCGTAGACCCCTTCTACGTTGGTACGGTACGGTCGTGAGTGTTTTCAGACTGAATTCCTAATCCCCTTTATGATTAGATTCCTTGCTCGGTTAAGAATACAAATGGGACACGATTGATCGGTTGAAAGAGGTCACCCTTTAATGTCGTTTAATTGGAACTCGTTATTCAAAGCCAAAGATTCAAAAAACTTCTTTTTCGCGATGCCTGAAACAAAGCAATTTTTAAATGACATTTTTTTGGTATTTTTATAGTGTACTTACTTTTTAATGGACGGCAGTCTCCCAAATTTGGCCAGTTTCAGATAAAAATTCAGTTGTCGAGAAAAATTTCATTTACATTTTCATCTTTACCGTTAATATTACATAGTTGTTGCCGTTTCAAATTTTCGAATATATAAATACTACCCGTATTTTAAATATTAAAATATGTTAAAATATATAATGTAGTTAGATAATACTATTCTTGTATTTTTCTTGCTTGCCTTTTATCTTGAAGAACTTGCTCCATCCATTTCATATCGTTTTACAGGGATAACATTTTGATGCATTACTTTTAAGTTACTCGAGCAGTTTATTTATGCGGAGAACAAACTTTTTCAGGGGGCGTTTTCTTTCTTGATTCGTGGCCTTTTTCATATGATATAAAGTTCACTATGAAGCATTCTGCAACGAAATTATTTACCCAAAAATGGTTTACCTTGACCATAAAATGTAGACTTTTTGAGTGCTCATGTAGATTTTTGCAGCAGGCTTGTCACGTCTTCATAATCTTGACTGTATGTACGAAATTGTGGTTGAAACAAAAACAAATTACCGGTTCTAAGTCCTTAACTATCTACAAAATAAACGCTATCGCCCAAAAATATCTAATTTTCACTTTCCTTGTAGATTTTTAATCTTCCCACTTGGAGTTTTGATCTAATCTATTTTCAATGGAGTAGTAAAATACTTGATTTTTTTCTAAAAAAAATGTTAGGATATCCGACAACAAAACTACCATTTTACTTCGCAAAATCTCCATTACTTTTAAACTATTCCTTCAATATTCTATAGTTAGATTTAGTATTAAGTTTGTATACGAACGCTTGATCGTCTTTGCCTTGTTTTTATAAAGTATACGAATTGTATTTCTGAAAAATACGTTAGGGAAACCAATAAATTTACAAGCTTTTACCTTAATGCAGCAAGCTATTAGTTATACCGAAACAAAGAAAAATAGTGTTGAGCTGAATGTTCTAAAACAGTGTTAATTTCGTATGTTATAAACCTAAACAAACGATACCTATTTTTCTTAGGGACCCACACTTGTTTTGAAAGACTTTGTCGACTGAAATGAGCCTGAAAAATATGTTTAAAATGATGCAACGGTGAGGTGGCGCTTTACGCTCCTTAGAAGTAGATGAAAGCCTCAACTTTTTCTAAAAAAATATGTTAGGATATCCGATAAGAATCATTTTACCTTAATACAAGGCAGATTCGTAGCCCCCTCAACAAATTCTAAAGCGTCGGATTTGGAAAAGAGCACCTTTGATTTAAAAAATTCATCATATTTTTGGAAAGGAAATCAACAAAAAACGTTCTGAAAAATACGTTATGGTACCCAATAATGTAAATATTACCTTACGGTGGCTGACAACACAGATTAAATAATTGCAGATGAATATTCTACAAAAGTTTTAAATTGCATATTTTAAGAATTGAGAAATAACGATACTTATTTATCCTCGAGCTTTGAAGAAAAAGTAAAATTTTATTGCGGCTTCTTAGTAAGTGATCAGGTAACCTTTGAAACGGTAATTTTTTTCTAAAAAAAATATTAGGGTATCCGAAAACAAGCTAATTTGTTTACCTTATTTTTTAAATCATTTTTTTAAATAGTTCCTATTAATTTTAGGGGAAGCGCCACGTTTCGGAACACTCGATTTCAAAAATTTTAACTTAGTCATCTTTGTTAAAAGAGCATAGAAAGTTGTTCTGAAAAATACGTTATGGAACCCAATAGTAGTATTTAAATTTTACCTTATTGCAGTCATTTGAACGATCGTAGAAAATAGTTTTTAGAAAAATGTTCTGCAAAATTAGTAATTTGATATTTTATACAACAAAATCTACCTATACTTATGCTTTTAATTTTCCTCACTCATTAAATATCTTGTTAAAGAAGGAAGGTAGATTATCTTTCTAATTATCTGAAAAATACTTTTTAGCGTGGCAAAAACTACATTTACCTTGAATATTTTGAAGCCGACCTAGGATTTGAATTGGACAACGCGGAAAAGAGTAAGTTTTTTAATCCAAAGTAGATAAAATATACCGGCTTATTCCCAATGAATGGGCTATACTGGGAATAGATGGAATTTCTGAAAAATAGTATACTTTCCTAAATAAAGAAAATTTTACCTTTCAGCCGGGCCACTTTGCAATAGAATGGGTTTGTAGTTGCTAAATACAATAGTAGTTTGGAAAGTGTATTACTAATCTGACGATACGAAACCTGCACCTACATCTCGAAAATGAAGATCACGCGATTGGAGTGAAAAAACGGGGCGTATCTGAAAAATATTATTGCCCCATAGTAAACAAACATTACCTTAACGGATTTTGCCGACATTCTGAATGCCTAAGGACTTATCCGCAGATGTCAGAAGTACTGAAATTTTAAAACTTTTCATATTCGGTAAAACAAGGCAATAATGATACTTATGATTTCCTCTAGCGCAAAAAAATGCCACCTGAAGTTCTCGATTTGAAGAATAAAATTGCTAAGTACAGTAATGAGGGCACGCTCTGAAAAATACAGTTAATGCCCAAAAATAAGTAAGCAATTTTTACCTGAACCAAATCAGCCGATTTTGTTCAATCTATTACAAGAACGATCGTGTCAAGGCGGATAGCTTTCGATTTCTAGAAAAGTTCGCAATTTCACAAGTGGTCAATTGTCATAAATGATACTTATTGGTTTCCCGTTCGAAGTACAACCATTCTCGGCGTAAGGAAAATGTGGCCCCTTCTACTTCTAGCAGTCTGATCGAAAAAATCGCAGAAGTTGAACTAGAAGTCCGGAACCAAGGCCACGCAGGAAATAATTACTCAATCTAGTAAAACAAACTGGTCGCAGATACGTAACAAATTGTAAGTACAAGTAGAATATGATGTTTAGTAACAAGTAGATGTTTGTTCATGTGCATATTTAGGTATTAATTGTTCTTCAGATTGTTTCTTCAACTTTTATGTTAATTGTAGATGGTTATTCTTTATTGTAGATTACTGGCAAAGATTGAAACTCTCCTCAGGGTCTTTGGAACGTACGTTTGATAGTTTCTGAAAATTTATTACTCGTTATTGTTCCAAATAGAACTTTTTCTGTTTGTTTTGTTTGTTACTTTTTACAGATACTCAAATCGAATAATTACTACTTATTTAGATATATGCGATTACGAATTCTTTACATTACACTAAGACCTACTCCACCTACCTTCAGTTCTCCTCAGGGCTAGGTCTCATCAACTAATAATTTCTATTGTGACGGGAGTAAATATATCCGTTAGATATTTGTAACCACAGAATAAAAAACAAAGTGGGTACTGCATTAATGAAAATACACCTATTAGGAGCTGCAATAGAAATGCCAGGGTAATTACAATAAACAAGTTAATTTAGAAGAATATGATTAGTGAGTTAACCAATTATCTTGTTTTCACAGGCCTAATTGAAAACAAGGTAAGGAAAACATTAATCATATTGACTAAATTAGATTCAACTTCAATGTGGTCATTACCTGCAGTTGAAAATCCTTACTCATCCCAAATTCATCGTGATTTAGGTAACTCGTAAAATCGACATTTGTAAACGATAGTCATAAATATCAGATGGCATGAAAAAAACGTGCACAGAAATCATGGAACAAGGTGAGTGTCCGTAGTCAGCAAAGCACCTTGGTCATATAGTAGTGCTCATTGAATTTGGCCTAATTCTATGCGGCTAGTTGTCGGAATAAGAAATGTTGGCAGACACAAAGCCCCTCGCGCTTCATTGCCAACCTAAAGAAAATCAGGATTCTAATATAATCATGTTTAAAGTAGATTAAAAATTGTTCACATTACATAAATCCCATTGAGGTAATGTATTGCAATTTAAATAAGCACCAATTATTTCAAATTTACAGTAAGGTAAGTTCAATATTTTAAAAATATGAGAAATATTACTACTTGCTTTGTACTGTCGCAAATAAGGAAATGGCCAAAATTTAAAAACTTGTGCAACATCTAGGAGGCGGCGGTTTACATGCGGAGAATATCGTTGGAAATTATGTTCAAATCGTAGAATATTAGTAAAATTCCTCATTAGATGTTAAAATTATTGAACAAAATTCATAAATTCGAAATAAACGGTACTTACTGAGGGACAAAACGGCAGTATACCCATAATCCTGTAGTCTTTTATCAATGTCCTATTATAGGGCTCCATTAGTTATGCTATTCATCCAAAGGACAAAGTGACCAACTTTAACCAGGTGCATCTGCAGTGCGTGATATCAAAGAATTTGATTGAGAAACGGTGAAGTTACTTTCCGCAGCCGCCATATCGTGTGAACTAACATGAAATTTAAAACAAATTAGTACATAGAGGAAGGAAAAAATTATCAAATACAATATTTTTAAATAAAATTCACTTTTATTACTTGGCTACAATTACAAAAATGTAAAAAATTAAAAATTCATTAATTTACAAACCAAATAAGGACCTTCTTGGCTCGGTGACTAGTTGTCCCCCAGTAAGGTGACTGTAATAGAAAAATTATACATAATATCACAGATAAACATTACAATACAGTCTTGAGCAAAAATAAACAGGTTTATCGTACAACAGGAAGATTAACTTTTTTCAAATTTAACAAAAAATTATCTATATCATTTTCTATTTCCTCGCAGGTTTTCGACGCGCAGGGTTCCCTATCCCAGGATTCCTTTCGGGAGAAACCTAATGAAGATTTTAAGTGTTGCCATCTCAATTTTCGCTCTCGTTGTTTTTGTCGCAATTCGGATTCAGCTTTACTAAGCGCTTTGTTTAAAACGGCTTCGACTAATAGACTTTTTCGACTTTGGCATTTAAAATTCAGCTTTTTTAACTTAATTAAAGCTATCCAATCGGACAAATCGTTATTTCGGAATGTATTATAAACATTGGTTTTATTGCGTATGCCCATTACAACAATTTTTGTTGTTTTCTGAAATTTCTATTATAAACACACCTGTATTTAACAAGTCGAATCTATATGTCGTTTGCTGCGAATGCTGCGGCCTCCAGCGATGAAGATTGGTCTGCTAAATGGGTCGTCGTTTGAAAATTTTCGACACACACAACACGCACTGGACGTCGGGCAATTTGGAAATGACGCTTGTCGAGGCGTGGCTGTCTATTTATACCTAAGCACGTGCGACGTCATCTTCGCAGAATGTATTCCTACGCTGCTAATGGAAAAGTAGTTCCCTCAATGCCGGTTTAAAAGAGAATATTTCAGTTATTTGTGATATATTATTAGCGATTAATGCTTATTTTATTCTGATATTTATTGTAAATATGGTTAGTGCTGTTATTGTTGTTGTTTTTATGAAATATACGGGAAATTACGGAATTTTCCTTCTTTGTCTGATATACGGTATATGGATTTTTTGCTTTGTTCTAGAAAAAGCGTTATGCGCCGCAATAAAATTCTAGATTTTGCAATACTGGGAAATAAATGAGTAAACAAACCAAAACGTAGTACCGTTTCATCGCGCTTCCAGGAGTTCCAGGACAGTCTATTTTTTAATACCTTGGTATAATTAATAAATGGCGTTTTTAGGACAGTTTAGGAAAAAAATATACCTATGTCATACTATACCTAAAATGTATAATTCTTAATTCTTTAATCCTAAAAGATTTGGAAAATTGGTAGTATTAATTGTTAATTCATTGAAAACAGTTTCGAATTTATTTGTTTATATTAGCGTATAATCATTGTTAGATTGTTTCGAATACTTCATTAATAAAATTTGGAATACTTTTAAGCTTTTTGCAAAGGCTACTGAGTAAATTTAAACTAAGTTATTCAGACAATAAAAATTTGAGAAAATAATGAAATTAAATTTCGTCCATCTTGCTAGAAACTGAAGCAAAAATAGTGTCTCCCAAAATCTTGCATAAAAAGTACATACGATTCAATTTTCTGTTTTGAAAAATTGAAATATGGGAATAGAAAAGAACAGTCATTTTTGGGCCTCCCTTGTATTTTTATTTAAAACATATACATTTTTTATTTAACATTAAGTAGTACCTTTAATATCACAATTTTGTGAAGAATTCACGTGGATGCTTCTTCTATTATCATATTCTGAAAAGAAATAGAAACGTATTCATTAAAGTATATTACAAACAAACCCATCATAAATAGATTAAATTTCTAAAAGACGGAAACCTAACTAAAATGCAAGCATTACTATACTCATTATAGATCTTCTGGTTTCATAATAAAATTATTTTGAAACGGATTAATTAAATATGAATAGTACCAAATGAACAAAAGAATTATAATATCCTGAATTTATCGTAAAATTACACAATTCAGTTTTAAATAATCCGCAAATTCATGAGAATTACCTTAATCGGAAACAAAACATCGGTAGCTTGTAAACCCAAGCTTCTTACAATTACAACAGGGGTACTATCTGTTCTATACAACCTGTACAACCCTTCCACGGCGATCATCATTTTCACATTGTATTTCTGCCGTTCGCTCTCGTAGTCTTTGAGACAGAAAACGTTACCTGAAGATTAAAAACAATTACTTCTAATCAACAAACTTCAATTACAAACCTAACGAGCATCCTACGTAATGGGCTTCGCCTAACACTTTATTCAGACACTGCACGTCTCCGAATCCCAAATTCACACCTTGCCCCGCCAAAGGATGCACTCTATGCGCAGCATCTCTAAAATATATTCAACATAAACATTCGGCAAATGTAACGATGTATTTGTTTACCCGACGAGAGCAACCCCTTTTGAAATGTAATTCGTGGCATGGCCGAAACCCAGAGGGAAACTAGCCCGGCTTCCTTCTTCGAGCGATTGGATTTTAGGCGGGTACCTGCGGCAGACGTCTGCAGGAATATTCGCAGCTCGCAGGAAGGAATCGAATGATTTAACCAGTTGATCAACGATGCCGTAACGTTCGTAAACTTTCCACTAAAAAATAAACCAAATAAACGGGTTTGTATTGAAATAGAGGGTTCTTTAGATTATCATTCAAAAAGCAAGACTGTCTTTGTTCGAGAACGCTTATTGTCTCCACCTTAAGGTTGAAAATAACTATACTTTGGTGCCAAAATAACTGGCAGTGACTCATTTGTCAATATGTGAAAAATGGTCTGGTCAGATTGCTCCTGCACCATTTTTCTAAAAAATTAGCGATGAGTCACTGCCTGCTTTTTTGGAACCGGGGTATAAGTAATATTTTAAACATACACGTTGAAACGAACAAACATCCATTTTCCAATAAGCATCAATCTTTTTCATGATAATGCGAGATAGAGTTGAGTAAATCACTTATTCGTGTAAACAGTATTACCGGTAGAAATCAGTGTTATCGTTAGGTGTATTAAAAAATGTGTACTAACTAATCCTTCGTTAACGGCTTGTACAAATTGCTCGTCCGATAGCTTCATTAGTTGTTGAGAATGTGCTATTGTTGTGCTCCAAACTAATGAACTCATATTACTGGTGAGCTGGAAAAAAAAGAATTTACAAATTTAATAAGTAATTTAATTAATAAAGTGTGGAAGAAGCCCCAGGTCTCTCCAGGGATACTTACAGGTAACAAAGCTATGGGACCAGTTGGTAACAAACGCTGCCAAGCAATGCAGTTATCAATTTCCTGAAATAATTTCAATTAAATACACAATATGATGAATATATATTTTTTTTAAAAACCACCTACTTACTTCATTAAATTTAAGAGTTGCCACGATTCCAACGTTGTCATATTTCCAATTCAAATAATTCACACCCATCGCTTTCCTGACCTGCGAATTTTGCCCGTCACAACCAACCTGGAAGTGAAAAAATAAATTTATTTCCAAACAGTGCAATGTTAAAATGAAAGTCAATAAATTCCATATGGTTATAAATATTTGAAAACAATTTTTTATTTGGTTTCCCAGTAACTCCAATTGTGTAAATATTTGTTTGATTTCCAAGTGCCCTTTACCTGCTATTTACAGCTAATGTTATTCTAATTTTTATTTTTAAAATAATTAATATAGAATTAATACAATTATTAACTTTAATAAAACAATGAATGATAAAAAATTATAATTTCGGTGGAAAACCAAAAAGCAAACTACAAAACCAATTTTAGGGTACATAATCTAATTTGTGGTAAATATGTAAAAAAATTGAAAGGCTGACGCCGCATTTGAAAAACCTCAATGGATAAAATTCCTCAGCAACAATTAATCCTGGACGAGTGTATACGGGAATCTCGAGCATTCACAGACACCTTCGAAGAAATTTAAAAATAGTTCAAAACTCGATTTCGAATTATCCACATCGTTCAGTTTCTTAGTGATCGTGATGCGAGAAAAAACAATCCGATATGCGCGGAATAATTCGATAAAAAAATCTTTTTTTATACGCGAAAATCGGCGAGAAAATAGCAAGAGAAGAGACAAGAATTTTCGAAAATGAGTCAATACTCGAATCGTAAGTGCGTGAAAATGTTTAAACAAAAAATATCCTTTACTAAGCTAGTAATAACTCTATTATGCGTTGAATTAATATTGTTCCAATAACATGTAATTTAAGCAAGTAAATAAGGGCTGAAAAGACAAGCTTTTAAAAATCACGTTTGGAGATATTGGTTTACTTTTTATCGAATCACTCTGTATATCTCAAATGTTTCTATGGTTTATTTTTAATTTTTGGAATTATTATATTATATGCCTTTGCCAAAGATTTTAAATTATTATGTCGTGGGTTGTTATAGTTGTAAAAAACATAATCGAATGGTTTTCTCTACATGATATAACAATGTTAAAATGTATCGTTATTTTGTTTCCTGTTTTACGATTTTCTAATAGGTCTCCGGTTATTTTGAGGCATATTCGTAATTTATTAAATTTATATGAATTTTCTACAACAATGTTATTATATCATATTACTATACTAGAATAGGAGTCTTAAAAATATTCAGTATTTGCATATTTTATACAATAAATGATTTAAAATGAACATTAAATTTGATCAATTTTATAATGTGACCCAAAATTGATTTCAAATTATTAATTTAGTCGTTTTGAATAAAAATAAAAATACTCTAAATGACTTCCACCTCACAGACCTACATTGAATGATAAATAAATATAAAAATTCATCGTTCCATAGACCTAATTAAATAAAAGGCAATTGAGGTCACCTAAACTTTCAATTTCACCTTGGGGATGTGCCTCTATACATATTTATAAAAGCTTCTTTAATGATAAAAAAAATAAGCTAAAATAGAATAAAAAGAAAAACCGCAAAACTTTACATTCACTATTCTCTTCCTCACTTTATAATACCAATATTAAAGACACAAGTAAATGAAGAAATTAAAACAATAAATCGCTTTCCCTATTCCCCAAATTACTAAGTATTTCCAATTTTTACGCGAATTTTATTATTCAACGGGTACTCAATCAAAAAATACTTACAAAATAACGCACAATCCCTCAAATATTTACTATCGCATTAAAAAATAAGAAGCTAATTAACAAATCCATAACTCTCTAATTTACCGACGTTTAATTATTCGTTTTATTGGCAGCAACAAAAATAATTTCAAGCAACAACCGGCCGATCGCTTCGGTTTTTCAGCATCAATCGAAGTGTAAACTTTGTATTCAAGTAATCTACTTTTAGACTGTAAAATAAACATCAGAGTTACATGCACACAAATATATTTATTGTTTCTTCAAAAAAGTGCTGCACAAATGTATTATTCAAATTATGATTCGGCTTTAAAATGAATGCGCAGAAACTGAATTATTATGAGCTTTAATTTCGTCTTTTAGGTAAAATGGACGAGGACAAAAATTGTAAATGGACCAACCTGAAAGATATCGAAATGCAAGCAGAAACCACCAGCGAAATCAGCGACGACGATAGGAGCTCAGAGTACGAAACGGAGCAAGAAATAGCGAGGAATCGACCGTTTTTAGAAATATGGAACTCCGAATCAATATGGGAAAGTCTCATGGTAAGACCTCCCAATCACCTACAAACATTCCTTCCAACCTCTCAATTTGCAGAGCCTCCCAAACGCCGAGGAAATCCAAGACCTCGTTGCAAAAGACGACGAGGAAGCTGTAGCAACTTTAAACAAAAACACCGGCTTATTAATATCCACGTGGATGGATAAACCGCGCGTACTAAACGCTTGCATACAAGCCAAACCGGATCTCGAGCAAAGCGACGAAAGCGGTAGGTAAGTACCGTCTAATCCGCCATTAGCTACGCTTCATCTTAAACCGCATCGTGTTCCAGAAGAGCCGTACACTTGGCCGCATACGCCGGCAAAATCGAATGCCTGAAGATCCTCATTCAAGCCGGTTGCAACGTAAACGCCTGGGACGCTTGGGAGCAAATCACCCCGCTGCATTGCGCCGCCGGCGGCGGTTTCTTAGAGTCCGTCAGGATGCTGGTCAACCACGGAGCGGACGTCAACGCCGGCCTGAACAGCGCCAGCGGCAGAAGCCCCCTCTATTTCGCCGTACAAAGCACCGCCGTCGATTGCGTGAAGGAGCTGTTGACGAACAACGCCGTTCCCAATCCGAGCCAGGTAAATACCAAGTACATGGTGGTCCTCTAAGAACGGCTCTCGGCCATCATATCTCGCAAACTAATTGTCGTAGAGACGTGCGGTAAAAAATCTTATGACTAAATCGGTCAAAAGAAAATGCTGGAAATAATTTTTAGGTCTCTAAAATGGCCGCTAGGGGGAGTATCCGCCATCTTGATTTTTAAAAGTAATTTTTTTCAAAATTTTCCTAAATAAAGGTATCAAAAATGGGTTTTATTTTGATAGTTAAGATATTTTCGATTATTTTTTGTTATATATTTTTGACTATATCTTTTAAAATAAAGTGGTGGGGGTGGTTTGAATATTTTGACTAATAAATGTTAATAACTTTTAAACGATTGAACCGATTTTCAAAAAAATGAAATTGTTGAAAAGGGCTTTAATTGGTCTATAATTTACACTATATAAGATATTATTTTAATTGCTTGCTTGGCCGCAAGATGGCGTTTTCCGACATTACTTCAAAAAACACCGATTTTCTCAAAAAATTTAAATGCAACGATATAACTTTTTCTTTGTAGAAAAATAGTCAAATAATTGCCAAACAAGCCTGTGAAAACCGCATCTCGATATCCCCTTCCTAACCTAAAATATATCTAAGAAAAGAAAAAAATCAAGAAAATGAGTAATTTTTGGTGCACTACCAATATAAAAGCCTCTAATTAGCGTTGTTCCATTCACAAAAATAATCAATTTGTTAATAATTTTCAAGTATGATATTTAGAAACACCAAGCTAAGTAATATTCATTCAATAATTATTGGATTTCCCTTCTATATTCCCATTTTTGATACCTTTATTTAGGAAAATTTTGAAAAAAATGACTTTTAAAAATCAAGATGGCGGATACTCCCCCTAGCGGCCATTTTAGAGACCTAAAAATTATATCCAGCATTTTCTTTTGACCGATTTAGTCATAAGATTTTTTACCGCAAGTCTCTACGACAATTAGTTTGCGAGATATGGCCGAGAGCCATTCTTAGAGGACCACCCTGTACCAAATACATCATCCGACGCTAAAATCGCGCGATTCCTCCAGGTGTTCACCGAAACCCCGCTACACGTAGCCGCCGCCCTCGGCGACGCCGAAATAATGAAGCTGCTGCTCCAGCACGGCGCCGCCGTCAACGTCAAATACGGCCCGTGCAAGATGACGCCGCTGCATCTGGCCGCCGAGGACGGCGACGCCGAGTGCCTCGGCATGCTGCTCGACGCCGGCGCCCACATCGGCATGAAGAACGACAAGCGACAGACGCCGTTGCACCTGGCCGCTCTGTCCCAAAGCTCCGAAACGGTGGCGTTGCTGCTGAGGAAAGGCGCCGATCCGAACGCCGAGGACTCCGACGGACGGACGCCGTTGCATTCGTCGATCGTGAAGGCGTCGAGGTCGTGCGAGTGCGTCAGGACGCTGCTGGCGGCCCGGCCGGACGTCAACAAGCCGGACATATTCGGCTACACGCCGTTGCATTTGGCCGCTTTGAACGAATACTCCCATTGCGTCATGTTGTTGATCAATCACGGCGGCGACGTGACGGCGCGCACGAACGGCGGCATATCGGTGTTGACGTTCATCACGCGAAAGACGCCGGACGTCATAAGGAAGTACAAGATGAAATTCGACAATGCCATCAAGCTGACCGATCACGAGCTGGGCGACATCGATTGCGAGCTGAAATTGGACTTCAGAGTGCTCGTACCGACGATGGGCAACAAAGAGACCGAGCTGCTGTTGAATTTCATCGAAGTGGGCCACAAGGAGATACTGAAACATCCTCTATCCGAGACGTTCTTGTTTCTGAAATGGAAGACGATCCGGAAGTTTTTCATCTTCAGCCTGTTCTATCACTCGCTGTTCGTTTGCCTGTTCACTTGCTACATCATCGGGGTGTTTCTGAGGAATTGCAAATCGTCGAAGAGCCTGCACGATCCCTGCTGGGTGTCCGACAGCACCAAATTGATCGGCTACGTTCTCCTCATACTGAACTTGTTGTTGTTGAGCAAAGAGTTGTTCCAAATAGCGCATTCGTGGACCACGTACCTCAGGCAATGGGAGAACGGTCTACAATGGTTGATCATCTTGGGGGTTTTCTGTTGCGTTCAACCGACGCGAAACATGAACATTCAACAAGACGTCGATTCGTGGCAACACCACGTGGCCGCCGTATCGATATTCATCACGTGGGTGGAACTGATGATCATAGTGGGGAGGTTTCCTACGTTCGGTTTGTACATTCAAATGTTCACAACGGTCGCCATAAATTTCGCCAAAATCATGCTGGCCTTCTTCTGCCTGTTTCTGGCGTACGCCCTCAGTTTCGGCGTGATATTCACCAACTACCCGGCGTTCATCGATTTGAAATGGGTGCTACTGAAGGTCATCATCATGATGTCGGGAGAGTTGGAGTACGAGGACGTGTTCTTCCCCGAAGAGGAACAATATAAAATTAGGTACCCGTACACGGCTCATATAATGTACCTCTCTTTCGTTATATTCGTCACCATCATATTGACGAATTTAATTGTCGGTTTGGCTGTTAGTGATATACAGGAGCTGCAACAGACGGCGGGGCTCGATAGATTGGTGCGCCAGGCGGAGTTAGTGGCCCATTTAGAGAGCATGCTGTTTTCCAAACTATTGACTTGTATTCCGGACAAAGTCATGAAATTCCTCCACAACAAAGCCCTGCTGTTGAAGTCCAGATACTACTGGGCCTTGTACATACGACCTAACGATCCGAGGGAAGCCAAAATACCCAGGGACCTAGTGAAGAGTTGCTATCAAATAGTCGTAGCTAGAAAAGATAAACCGAAGAAGAATCTGAAAGGTTCGAAACGCGACTATTACTACGATATGATATCGCCCTCGCTTTCACGATTGAGTTCTTACAACAGCGACGGATTCAAATTCGGAAGCAAAAGCCAATTGGCGTCTCTCAAAAATCAAGTCGATCAAATATCGCGGGAATTCAGCGAAAACAGGAGAAACGTGAGGCAGAGGATCGAGAAACTGTACCAAGCTTTAAATACTTCAAAAACCCGGTCTAACGATTAAAAATGTTCCTTTACTAATTATTAATTTAGTAAATAAGTAAATAAAAGTAAATAATAATAACTGGTGTTTGGTTATTCCCTATTAATCTGCTCGAAAATACTGGAAATTGTTTCCACATTAGTGCTCAACACTTAGCTCTTTTGTAACTGTTAGATAACTTTAACTGTCAGATAATACTTACCAATAAATCACAAGTGTATTCCGACCCGTCTTCTAGACAAATTTTGGCCATTTCACCACTTTCTTTGGGCAAATTATAGCTTTTTATTCTTTGATTATATTGTACCTCGACATTTTTGGCTTGTTCCATTTCTGTTTTGACTGCATGTATCAACAGGTCATTTTCAACGATGTAAGATATATCTTTAGATGAAGTTTCTTCTCCGAATGTTATAGAAGTGTCAGATATTGCATCCATGACCTAAGGAATAATTTATTTTTATATGCAATAAGATAAAAGTTATGTATTGAAGAAACATGTTAGAATAAGAATATTCAGGTTTATATCCATCTCTTGCTTGAGATCTGTTTAGTAAGTACCGCAATACTGTTATATTTTATATTAGTTTGTGAGAAATTACTATTGTTCCTACAAGAGAACCTATTATGAAGTTAAAAAACTAAAGATTTATACATTTTATCGGGTTATAGTTGACTAACCTGTAGTCTTTTAACTGTAGCATATTTATTAGATTCTATATGCTTCCAAGCACCGATATTATCTAATAATTTTTTATTGCCTGGGTTTATGGATACAACTCGATTACTATACTTTTCGGATGGGATATACTGTTTGTTTTTGGACGATTCCAAAAGCAGGATTCTCTTATTAGACAATTTTTGATTTGCTCCTGAAAATGAAATCCGAATTATCTAGTTGAATTGTCTTTAAATTCCACGATATCTGTACCTAATGTACATGCAAGAGAGCACCCGATCATTCCGCCTCCTGCAATTACTATGTCATAATATTTGGAGGAATTGGCTTCTAAACCGGACGAACTAAAACTTCTTTTTGTGAAAAACTTGGTATTTGTCGCAATGGCTTGTTTACAAATTGCTAAACGAGTCATATTTTTAAATTTATTTTATTATTGTTAACCAAGTTTCAAAAATGTCAATAACGTCAATGTCAATTTGTTAGGTTATATTTCTTCTTTTTAGTGTAGAAAATCTTCTTGTAAGTGGCCTGTACATTATACGTTTTAACCCATTATTGTAAAGAACTCGTTATCGTACAATTTATTTTCTTTAGTTCTTGCTATTTCCTATTTGTTTCATATTTTCAAAGAATTCTGTTATCTTATTGTTTAAAATAATTATTACTTTCCTTACTTATTACTAAATTGTTACCATTATTAAAGGGGAAAATATGTGACAATAGTCACAATACAAAACAATTTAATTCAAAATAAGTAAAATTTAAATGCATATAACGTATATTTATATTTACATTTGTAGAAAAATAGAAAATAAATAAGTATTTTTCTGTCTCATTTATCTTTCTTCATTTATCAATTACATTAGAAAATAACAAGTACTATAATCATTTCAAGACTAATTTAATAAGTAACTCATCAATAAAAAAGTATTAGATAATTTTTGTACATTCTTTCAACACTTCTCATTCGTTCATTCATTATCAATTAACATCAATTGTATAAAAGTAATCAGTAAAATAACCTACTTGCAATTCTGTAGGAGTTTACTATAATTATATCTAAACTATTTTGGTACTTGCTTCAGGGTGCAGTGAATGGGACAATTTTACCGCTTTCAAACGGCTCTAATAACCACAGTCTTACATAGAAGTCTGGAAACTAGCCCAATTTTTGCGGTGCAGGGGATGTCCCGCTAAACGAAGACGTTCGAAATAGTTCACTTGGGTGAATCTTGGGATATCTGCGTAGGTATAAGAGATTATACAGAAAAATAATATCCTTTCCAACATCACCGCCTACCGGTCGTTTAAGGAACTACGTACTTTCGCTTCAAATAACGCGACACCCCTTTCACCGGAGTTCCCAGACCTGCATATAGAACCGCGTGCTAAAGACAATTTATTACTCTACCGGAATCAGCCAAAACCTCTAAACCTGAACAGCGTCCCCATCGTTCCTGATTTCATTCACGTAATGCACGTCACTTTTCTTACAATCCGACAACGCCAGCTTGCTGTCTTTGAGCAAGTTCTTGTTCTGCGGCATGTTCACGTAATTATCGGCCGACTTCACGATTTCCGCGCCGGTCTCCTCGACGGCGCCGCCCTCTATCGCCGGCGGTATGTGGTAGCTCGGATTGGACACGGCGTTGGGCGACGCCGCCGGCGTCGCGGCGTCCCCGTCGGCCTTGCCCTGCAGCATCGGCAACAGCTCGTGGCCGCTTCCGTACTCGCTGGTCAGCCTCCTGTTGCCCGACGACGCGAAGTCGAAAACCTCCTCTAAAAACGATTCTAACATCAACGTAACATCCACGTTTGGTCGATGTAGACGTTAAGGGCGCTGTTGTCGATAGCGCGGCTTACCGTTGGATAAACGCGGGCTGAATATAGCGCTGGAATTCATGCTCATGTATCCCTCTTCGACGGATTGAGGTGTCACCATGCCGTTGACGTAATGGGGACTCAGCACGGCTTCGTAACTTGGCGGGCTTAACATCGACAAATAGTCGTTTGTGGTCTCCAGCATTTTCGTGTTCATGGCCAGGTACGGGTCGTTCAGGTCGATGTAATGCTGAAACGTGGATGAATTACATTCGATGTTACGTGCATTCATTAAAACCAAGTACCTTTCTTAAGGTATCCTCGAGCAGAGTACCGATTTTTTCGGTTAACTTAGTAAAGGAAGGTCTTGTGGTGGGTTTAACAGACCAACATTTTGTCATTATGTCGTACCTGAAACGAAAAATAGCAGCGAAACGAGGCGAGATATTGAGTACATACATATCGTTAGGCGCGTATTGCGGAGATTCCAATCTATAACCGTCCACCAACTTGTGATAGAGCCTTTCGTCCGCCTCCATTCCGGGATAGGGAGTCCTGCCCAAGGAGAAGAGCTCCCACAGGACTATGCCGAAGGACCAGACGTCGCTTTGAGTCGAAAATACTCTATCTCTGATAGACTCGATGGCCATCCACTTGATGGGCAGCGGGCACTGGAAATGCAACGGGAGCGAATAAAAGTTGAAACCGAATGAAATCGAATCTTATTACATCACCGCGTTTCTTGTAATTGTCGTTTTTGTACATGCTCTTGGCCAGGCCGAAATCGCAAATTTTCACCACGTTTTCCTCGCTTAGAAGGACGTTCCGCGCAGCCAGATCGCCGTGAAGTACCTGGAATACAGTGGATGTTTTCATACGATTATTATAAATATCTTTATTTACCTTTCTGGATGCGAGATATTCCATGCCCCTGGCTATTTGGAACGCCCATGCAATGAGATCTTTGGTGCTTATGGGATTGACTTTTCCTTTATAATCCCCTTTATAGTTCGACCTCCATTCCGGTTGAATACTATTGTTGCTTAGCACCACGCCATCTTCGCCTGAAAAATAAAGAATTTAACTTCGAATTAGTTTTTTTTATTATCTAATCTACCTTGTGTTAAGGTGGTAACATCAGTATTCCCGGTAACGAGATTATTTGTTCTGTAATCTCCCATTGCGTTGGGCGGTGGAAGAACTGAATTCTCGCTGTTCTCAGGAGAAAACATCAACGCCGCGTACTTCAGCATAGGAGATTGAGTATGACTGAAAATAATTATGATAATGAAGTGAATTGTTAAAAATATGCATCTATACCTTCTGTTACTAGAAACAGAATAGGTCCTGTCCATTAACTCTTCTTGGCCTATAAGGTAATTGATTTTACCGGTGTGAGGATCGATTTGGTTTATGAAATGTTCGCGTTGCCTCAGAAGGTAATTTTGAAGATTACCGAATCGACAATATTCGACTATAACTAATAATTCTCCTGAAAATAAAATAGGTCGTTAACATCGAATAATCTAAAGATTGTATCGTTAATACTTTTGGCCACATTTTTAGTACAGGCTCCCAGTAAATTAACAACGTTTAAATGTTTCCCAAGGTGCACCATTATTTTTAATTCCGACGCCAAAGCCTTTATGTAAGTGTTATCGGCGTTCTTTTTCACCATTTTCACTGCTACTGTCGTAACTGGTTCAGTGTCTACGATGTTCTTTGCTTCTCCTTTCAACACCACTCCAAATGCACCGGATCCTAATTGTTTACCTGAAATATTTGTTATGATTTGTTAATGATTTTACAGAGCATATAAACATCCCAAATCCGTACCTAACTTCAACTGATCGATGGGAAACTCCCATTTTTTGTCGTAAGGAAGGAGCTCCGCCTGATCGTCGATTCCTAATTCGGGGTTGATGTTTTCTACGGCTCCCTTTTCGAAATTGGCTAAACCCAGTAGCCTCATTTCACGCTTCAATCGCTAAACAAGAAATAATCATTTAATAAGTTCAATTGTGAATAGCTAATTATACGCCTACCCTTTCTGTTCTAACCCTGATGAACAGGTAAATTCCCAAAGCTACCAAGGCGAGAAAGAGTATCGCTATGATGTAGTACAACCACGGTTGCATCGTTGCCGGAGCATCTGAAGCAATTGATTAAAAGATGATTTGAAAAAAATTGATTTGTACAGGTGGATTAAATTTACTTCTGAATTTCAGCTTGACTTCCCTGAAGTCTGATGTGCGTTTGTAAAAGGCGGAACATTTGTATTTTCCTTGATCCTTTATTTTCGTTTCGTTGAATACTAACTTTTGAAAGTCGTCTTCGAAGAAAATGCGCGGCTCTTTCGGTATAAAAACATTATCATCCTGAAACATGTTAATATTAAGCAATAAATAAAAAATACAAAGGTAAACCTACTTTGTACCAAAGGATTTTTGGTTTAGGTATCCCTTCAACATAACAATGTAGTGATACTTTCTTAGGAAAATCCTCAAAGATCTCTCCCTTCATATTGGATTTCACTATTCTAGTTTTTAGAGGATCTGTAAAAGAAACAAGGTAACATATCTTGCAGAAATAAAATTCCCAATTTTTCACCTTTAACAGAGATCTCAATGTGTTTCGAAACTTTTCCACCGGCTTTGTTGGTTACTTGACAACGGTAAATTCCGCTGTCGTTGTACTGGACATCGCTCATCTCCAATGTTAGATTATCCGAGAAGCGGGACGAAGTTTTTATTGATTTGTGGCCTAAATTAACAAATACGCGGTACTTATTGAACATCCTTTGAGCACAAAGTACTTACGGCCATCGTTTTTGATGGAATTGTTGCCAACCAGCCAGTCGATATCGCTGTATTCGTAACTAGAAGTGCTACAAGACATGTATATTTTTTCGCCTACTGCGTAAATGGCCGTTTGGTTGTTGTTTTTCGTTACCACTGTGTCGTCGAATCCGGAAATATAAAATCCATCGGGAACATCTAAAAATACATAAGGGTTTAGTAATTTTTTTAATTGCGTTATCAATAAAATTCACCTGTTACAACATAGTCCATTTGCTCGGTTTCAGAACCGACTGAATTTGTTGCTGTACATTTAACAATTCCGATTTCCGTTGCGTTTATAATCACATGAGAGGAAATTGTTAGGCCTTCTGGGGGATTTATGGTGCTTTCAAGCTGGAAAATTTGTACATGTTATCGCGATCTCTCATTGTGATTGTATTAACAAATATAGTATGGTACTTACAGGTTTAAAAGGACACTCTGGTTTTAAACATTTTTTATATTGCCATTCGAAAGTAGGCACCGGATGAGCAGCTGCTAGGCATTCCACTTTTCCAGGACTTCCAATCATATGAAAAGGGTCAGAGCGCAATATAACCGTTGGTTTATCTAGAATATATTTGTTAAGGATATTCAAAAATTATATTGTATTTTTTTCATAATAAAATTATTTTTTTTTGTCTACTTACCGGTAATATTCAAGAAAAATGTCTTGCTCTTTTCTACATATTTGTTCCGCCCGATCAGCGTGTAATAGCCGTAATCTTGGATCAAGTCGATGTTTTTTATTTTCAAAGTAATGACTCCAGGTTGTGAGTGAGAAACTTCGTATTTTTTCCCAATTTCATCGGCGATGGATTCGTTTCTGTTGTTCAACCTGAAGAGAACATACGGTTTAACATCCATGTTCAACGAGCAATCAAAAATACTAAAGATACTTTATAGGAAAATTCCAGTTAAACGAAAAAATACACTGAATAAGTACCAGATGTAAGTAGGTTCTGGATGTCCCCATACTTGAACGCTCCAAATTACGGATTCTTGGCCCGCTTTAGCTTGTAAATAATAAGTACCCGTCGGTTCTCTAATGGTAATATTATGTTCTTCTTTATCTACAAACGCGAAACGAATTTATTGCGAATGTGAATGGAAATTTTATCCACTCACCAAATATTTTAATACTGATGTTTTTGGATACGTGGTGGTTTTGGTGATCCCTCACATGACAAATATATGTGCCATTGTCCTCCAAAGTGGTGTTATAGATGGTCAATAATGATTCCGTTTCTTTACTTTTACTGTTCATTCGAGAAAACTGTAAATTGAAATGAAAATCGTTTTTAATAGGGCGAAATAGATGTAGAGAAATGAATGAAATACGTACCTACCTAAAAAATTGTATTGTTTTGTTTTGTTAGCTATGCCTTATATTTCAATAACAGACACCAATAGTTAAATTACAATTATTTTTTAGTGTATATGTCCTTGCTAAATCTCGACCATACAATTAGTTTCAACAGTAAATATTACACAATGTTAGCATCTGGACACTTAATAAATTTATTTTATAATATTCGTTTCATTTATCGGTTACCGAATTGTTTACAAACTTAAAATGATGCAGAAAATTAATTAAATACTTACATCAACAGGCCCTTTTGGTGTCGTCCATGAAAACAGTACCTCGGCATTTATAAATTGTAAATAGCATTTCAATGTAAGGTTATCACCTACATTCGTATGCCCTCTATTTTCATCAACTATAATAGGAGCTGGTATGTAAGACGTCGGCGCTATGAATCGAAAAATTAAATTAATTACAAAAGGCATTTACAGCAAGAAAAATAGCACGAAAGCAACCATTAATAAATGCAGCACAAGTAAAGCAAACACAATTTTTGGAAAATTAGAAGCAAAAAATTATATAGCGTATAAAATATGAGTACTATACAAAGTGAAGTAGTGAAAAAATTATTTAGAAGAATTTAACATTACAACGACTTCTACACAAGAATTATCACAGTAACAAAAACATGAGCAATGCACATACATAGAATCATGGGTGTAAGATAAAAAGAAACAAGAATGAAGAAGATTGAGTAATGGGAGAAGAAAATGCAGTTAAAACAAACGAATATACAGAGGAAAATGCAACACAAAATATTTTATGAAGACACCGACACCGAAATACGTTCCATTCTACTTACAATCGGTCAATTCAATGTTAACTAAAATTTCCAAACTTTTATTTCCTCGAGAAAATAAACATGTATGATAACCGATTTCGTTCGGGTCTGAGATCACATGGGAAAATCCGATTTTGCTGTCGAAAGAGTATTCAAGTGCCTAGAACAAACAAATCAAATTTTCTAATCGAGTAAATTGCAACAGGAGAATTTACAGGAACCTGTGAATTTGTTAAGTACCTAACTACTATAACATAGAGAAAACATGTATGTACATAAGTCGCTTTCAGTAGGATAATAATGAAATTTAAAGATGATTTTTTTATAGAATACTGTAAGAATATCCGGAAATGCTCTAAAATTGCTGCTTTTAGTATTATGCAATACCTTCTTGCAATATAAACAGCAGAAAAAATTGGCATTGGAAACGAGCAAATATGACGACAGGGTTTGGACTGCTCGATAAATATTTACGATAATACTTATTCGAGTTCCCTATAATTTGCATAAAAATCTTCAAGCATGCATAAAACTGATAAAAAAAAAACATTTACGTTATTAGTACATACTTTCCACTTTTAATTGAATAAAATGCGACTGACTCTTGTTCTCTCTCGAGTATTCGCAGGTAAACATGGGCTCTCCTGCCTCAATGGTATTATTAGTTATGAACCCGTAAAACGGATTGTATCTGTAGACCGTGTTATCGGCTGCGTTAAGAACGCCAATATCTACCTTGGGAACAAGTTAATAGAGCTCGAATATCGACAGGGAAAAGCTGAGTTAATAACTTACTGCTGATGGTTCTCCTGCTAAGGAAAGCTTCACTTCCACCGTAGGAGACGTCGGTCTGCAGTCTATGGTAACCGTGTGATGTTGTACGGCGAACACGTTCAAAATATCGTCGGCAAACACCGACAGATGATCCTCATCTGCAACGCGATTAACTCGATGAAAAGTCCTGTAGGGTGGAAATTCCGAAACTCACCGTTTACGTATAAGTAAATTAGATCGGTTTCCTCGTTCTTTTCGGAAATGTCTCGAGCGTTTTCGTAGTGACACCGGTAGAAACCCACGTAAGGGTAGGTCATGTTGGTGATGTAGAGACGGAGTCCGTAACGAAAACTCGCGCTCGTCGGTTTTTCTTCGACTACAGTGAATTTTGTATCAAACGTTTTCTTTACTTCATACTAAATTTTGAAATAAAACATGGTAAAGTTAGGTAAATGAGGAATGCCGAGCAAGGAATTTTACTACTTGTACATAAATTAATTATATTAGTATAATATTGGCGAATACATGCTTACTGATACATTAGGTAGCGTCCATTTCAGAGGTTTATTTCCTTGACAAAATACGGTGTAATTGTCGTAAGCTTCTATTATATCCTCGGTTCCATTTAATAGTATATGAGGTTTCGTATAATAATTACCTGGTAAAAAATCATATTTTTATTTAAACAAAAATAATGTAATTTGTATCTACATGATTAGCCTAATTGTAGATGTATCATTTAAGCAAATTATAAACATTTTTCAGAGCACATAAAATATTTATAACGTAACATGATCTCTAAAGAAAACAATGATATAACCGATAAACATAGATCTGAAACATTTAACTTGTTTAAATTGGTTTTTTAAATTTTTTTTATTATAAACTTATCAATGGTTTATGTCCACTTAAATGACGTTAGACTTTTGAGTAGTATTGGAAACCCATTATAGTTTAAAAATAAACATCAATTTAATGTTTTCTCGTGAATTGAATGAATAGGTCAATGTTAAGATATTTGCTGAAAACTAAATTATTTGTAATTTATTTAGGTATACATATGTACCAGAGAATAGCGAGAATAGTGTTCGCTATTCTCTGATATGTACTTTAGCAAACACATTTTTGGGAAATCCACATCATGCACCATTATTCCTTTTAGTTTTTATAAATTGTTTCATTATTGGATTATACATCTCATGCGTATTAATTAAATGTTAATGTGTAATCAAATAAAACAATATGATTCATCTGTTTGCATTACATTTTTAGAACAGTTTTAAATGTGAATTTGTAATAGAATAAATGTTACAGGTAGGTATAAAAAAGTATAGCATTAAGTATAAAAATAAATTTAATGTGTAATACTTGGGACTTCTAAAAAAGTTGTAGTAGTAAATACATATTTCCTTCAAAACAATTGTGACCATGTGTTGTGGAAGATAAATCGTTATTGTTCTATCAAGATTATGATGCTCGATGAACTTTGTGTCAGTTTGTTTACAGGATTTTCAAAATGAAAGAAGGAAGCTTGAAAAAAATATCAAAACGAGTGGGACGCTTCCTGTCATAATCTCTTCTTTGTGTTTTTAGAATACCTCTTGTAATCTACTTTTTTCTATCGCTCGGTTCAAATTCGTCTTTTGACTTGTACTAAGCGATAATTTAATCGTTTTCTGAATAAGTTTTCAAATTCCGAAAAAGTCTAATTACTTTTCGATTTTTTAGAAATAATAGGACTTTATTAAGTTTTGATGGAAACAATAAAAAAATGCATATTTTGTCATATTATGATTAAAAATTTAATGTGCCCTAAAAAATGAAAGAATCTATTTTGTCTTATTTCATGACCCAAACAAATGTATACATTTGTATATTTGGAAATACCCATGATATAATTAATGCATTAATATTAGTACTATCTTAAAAACATATTCCGCAGAACTTCGCTAACCGTCAGTGGTTATCATGCTATATCCTGGAAACCATGGTTGATATACTACCATTATCAGTATAAATTGTAACTTGAGGAACACATTTATGGTTTTCCTAGTAAATGCTCTAACGTAAAACATTTCAAAACCATTGACCACATCAGTATTTAATTTAAAATCGTACATTTTCACAATAAAAATATCTCAGTTTACGAATTTGGTTAGCTTCGTTATTTAGTTTTTTAACGATTTCTAAATCGCATTTTAATTTTGTGTTGTTTTAAAACGCTTGTAGTATTTGTTAATTAGGTCCTACATTGATTGATAATTTATTATTAGTTTCAAATCAATTGGAAATAACACTTGGGTATTCACCGGAGGATGTGCTTACCTAAATGAAATAGGATGTCATTTAAATGGGAATTCCGTATCCAGCTAATTAAGGAACATGGATGATATGAAACTTCGAAATAAATTCAAATATAAACTGTTATATTTAAATGCTTTTTATCTTCCTAAAGGATTCACAAAAACGATTCAATAACTATTATACGAAAAGCAATTTTTAACAATTTTTATACCCACCTGCCTTTTAACTTTATCTCGATATAAATTTTAATCGCATTGAAATATGATAAAAATGTATTACCCACCAATGTTGATTAAATATTGTACGAAATCGTAGCTGCTAAATCATGTTTTGTTGAGAAACGAAAATAAATCTCCCCAATCATTCGGAAATGATTTTATAAACGTCCGTTTTGCGCAATTATTCGGTGCTAAGAAACTATTTAATTACATATTTGCGATGCATTGTTTTGCGCACTGCAGAAAAATTAAAAAATACAAAGTTAATTTTGCTGAGCAAAAGCGAATAAATTAATGACGCATTTATATTCTTCTTTAGTCACAAATCGCTCCGGGCGACGCATTTACCGAAGGCACCGAGACGTTATCCTTGAGAGTAAAAAAATCCAAAAATTAACCTAATCTAATACCTACAAATCCTTAATTAAACTCGCCTATTTCGTCTGGGTTATTTTTTATCGACCACGGGTTACTTATGTGTGCATGTTTTAAAAAACCAATAAACTCTTCCATTTTTCAAAATTCTAAACTATATTGCTCAGTAAAACACTCACCTAAAGAAATATCGAATTGATGGCACAAAAGTATGAAAATCGCGACTTTAAAAGCCATTGTTGCACATTATTTTAAGAAATAATCACTTTACATGATTTACAATACATATTTCGCGCGACATGTAATATGGCACTGATTATACAAACACTAGAAGGCGTGATACATACTACGAAAATTTTAGAAAGTGAAGATAAAACTAAACTTTACTGAGAACGGGCTCCTAATAAGTTGGCAACTCTTGTTACAATAAAACTGTGTATGACACAATCGGTATTTCCATGTTGTTATGTTATGAGACATTAGACAAATAAAACGAACAATTTTAACAAATTTATTTGATCGCATCAATGAGTTTATTGATTATTGGTAATTATTATAAATTGTCGGGGTTTTTTAAATTAAAATTTTGGTCATCGTATTTTGCAAATGAAATGAATCTATTTAAAGTTACACCCTTATATAAGATTTTGTTTATCTACTATTTGCTTCCTATTTAAAAATATAAAAACATTCTCATCGCGATTTACAGATAAAACTTTGAACTTCTGTTAATATTTTACCTATCTAATTAATTACTAAAAAATATATAAAAATATATCTTAAAGTGACTGCATAGATAGTACTATATTAATTCACTCGAAAAATATAAAATCAGACGCTTTAGCAATATTTTCATTATTAGAAAAGTTTACACATCTAAAAAGCTTAGAATTTTTCGTCAAACCAGGTATGTGAAGAATATTTTACCTAATAATTACATTAGGTATTTAATATTTTTTTGAAACATCGGTTGAAATTTATTAAATGGAAATTTTACAAATCTTCCAATAATTATTAAATGCAATTAAATGTCTTAATTATTTTTATATATTATAAATGTAGTTTTCTGAGTTACGGTAGCACTTTTTTTAATATATTTATTTCGTTAATTGTTAAATACACAGAGACATCACTAATATAATCAATATCAATAATACGTAGGCTATTTAATTTTTTATCTGTAATTAGATTTAAGTACACTCTTATCAATAATTTACGTAAATAAAGGTTTTTTTTTAATTTACTGTTTATAAGTAGCATGAAAATTTTCGTGTTCCTTTTATTGGGCGTAGCAGCTGTCAGCTCTCTCGAAGCTGAGAGACTCTGGAACAAATTCAAGGTAAAATCGCCGCAATAACGAAAGTAATTGGCATATAGAATGAAATTTTTAGGTCGATTTTCAAAAAAATTACCAAAATGTTGAAGAAGAAACCAATCGTTTCCAAATCTTCCAAGACAAATTACGCGAAATCGAAGAACACAACGCCAGATACGACAGGGGAGAGGTGAGCTATTACTTGGGCATAAACCAGTTTTCGGATTACACTCACGAAGAGTACCTAGCCATGCTCAATTTGCACAAAAAAGGTCCCTCTCCGCCGCCTACGAGCCTTTTCACAATTCCCGAAGGAGTCACCCTTCCCGACTCAATCGACTGGAGAGAGAAAAACGTAGTAGCCGAAGTCAAGAACCAAGGAGCATGCGGATCTTGTTGGGCTTTCAGCTCAGTAAGTCACACAATTTGTCACTGTAGATTTGTTCCAGCAATCATAAGCTAAACTTCTGGTTCGGAATATATTTAGGAACAGGTTTCTGGAACAAACCCTAGCGGCTTTCGATTAATTTTAGTTCGCTTTCTTGATCGTTTAGACCGGCGGACTCGAAGGACAATACGCCCTGAAACGCGGCAAATTAGTGTCGTTGAGCGAACAAAACTTGCTGGATTGCTCCGACGCTTACGGCAACGGAAACTGCTCAGTCGGTGGACTCATGACCTACGCCTTCAACTACGTCAAGGACAACGGCATCAACTCCGAGGCGGCTTATCCTTACGAAGCCAAGCAAGGACCATGTCGGTACAATGCTCAAGAATCGATCGTCCACATCAGTGGATACGAAGCCATACCCAAAGACGAGATATCTTTGAAATATGCCGTTGGTGAGTTCTACGGTCTGGAAACCTAGGTCGAAAAAGTGTCCCGTTATTAGAGGATAAAACAGGGTTCCTAAAACGGCCGCTATGAGGCCATGTTGTAAAGGACAGTGATATACAGGTTGCTCCATTTTTTATCGCAACACAGGTTATATAGGCTATAGGTGCGATACAGACAACTTCCATTAGACACTTATAAAGGAAAAGGAAAGAGTGACATTTGTGTCATTGCAACTTTTCACTCTGACAACTGTTATTTTATTAATCTTTCTTTGTTCCACTCATAGAAATGACCATGTTGCAATCGGAAATGGAGCAAACGATATAATTAGCATTAAAAAAAGGTTTGATTCAAACTAAAAGTATATACAAAATAGAAAAATATACTTAAATCAGCGATAATTTTGTTGATAACATCACGCCTCACGTATCTTCGGTAAATGTATTTCTCCATTTTCTCCTCGAAATGCCAAAAAATAATTTTTGAAGTTTTGACAGCTCGAACTGTCATTTCACACCACCGCGATTTATATGTAGCGCGACGCTGATTGGCTGAGATAAGTTGGTCACAGGACACATTCTCTAATTCATAAGCATATGCAGTTTCCAGAAATATAGGGCCGTGGTTCAGTGCAACAATGTATTCTTCTTCTTTTTCCATTTTTTACCTACCAAGGTTTATTAATTTTTGCTTCCATAAAACTCTATATTTTTCCTCTATTATTCGATCTCCTTCATCACCAAGTTGGTGGGTCTCTTCTTCTTCTTTACCCGGTCCATTTCTACGTGCCCATGCCATTGGAGTTTTCAGACAAATGTACTTAAAATAACTAATACTCTAATATATTAAAACGTTGTTTTAGGTCTCAACGGTCCGATATCAGTAGCAGTAGATTTTTCTCATGCTGGCGGCTACGCCGGGGGAATTTACAGCGATTCCAGTTGCAGCAACAAGCGCGATGATCTGAACCACGGTGTATTGGTGGTCGGGTACGGCAGCGAAAACGGGATGGATTATTGGATTATTAAAAATTCGTGGAGCGCGAATTTCGGCGAAAATGGCTACATCAGATGGCAGAGAAACGCAAACAATTTGTGCGGTATCGTCGATGATGCTTCTCGACCATTAGTAATTTGATTCTCGTAATATAATTACGTTTGCATTAATTAACAGAATAGTTTGTTTATACCTAAATTTTACCCTTCTATAACCCACAATGGAAATTTAATTAAACGCAAATATGTAGTTGCTCATTTAATCCTTCTATTTTTAAGAACTATAAATATAATTCAGTTTTCTGGTAGTTCCATTTGGACACAAATAACTAAGTACGATATTACACCTGTGAACACCTGAAATAAGTGCTGTTTAGTTTCCATTAACATCGTTAAATTTTAACATTTACTTCGAAAATAGTGGATGAATCCAAATGAAACATGCTGCATACCATTACTCCTTTCGGGATTTGAGCGAAATAATTTGAAATGAAATCCAACTGAAATTCAATCAAAAATTTATGAAAGTGTGCGTTAATAATTATTTTCGAGTAGGTACTTTTGCCTTGTTTTGCTTCTGTCGAAGTACTTACATTTTCTATTAGCATTGCAGATTCGGTTTTAATTGTATGGAGAATATTTGTTGTTTTTTTCTCCTGCGGTTAAAAAAAGCATCATGAAATCTACCTTACATGTTTACCAACGTTATCGAAGCTTTAGAAACTAATCAATTGATTTTTTATATAATATTAAATATAATAATCAAAAAAATATATTGAAGTAGGCTAAAGATGAAAAGAAAAGTGGTTCAGTGACTTCAAATTTCGAATCTATCCTAACACTTAGTAAATTAATTGCATAAACCTCATTTGCATAAATTGCCTACCTCATTGCATAAATGATTACTGGAGAGGCATAACAAACACAGTAACAAAACGTCCATTAATACCATCAAAGAAATTGTAAACAAATGCACTGGTGTTTGGTTCTTCACGAACGTGCTGTCATTTTGTTTCGCGAAAATTAAAATTTTCGTTATAAGAGAAATCGAAATTTTTAGTAAAATAAAAAGGATTCTTGTAGAATATACCGTGTTGAGGTCTTCTTTTACATCTGATAAAAAAGAATATTTCAATTTGATGTCCTCAAGTTTGCGGATAATATAACCAGAATCACTAAAAGAGATGATAATTTTTTTTATTAAGTGAGCAGAATGTAGAATAATGCATATTTTAAATTCTGTTAAAATTAATTTAGAAATATACGAACTTGCTATAAAATTCGGATGTTCCCATTTCAAATTTATATTTCACCAGCAATAGTTCTTTATTGATCTCATTTAATCTTTGTTTTATTATCCAAAAGAAAGTCGTTAATTGCGTTACCAATAAGCAAAACGAAAATAAATGTATAGCACGACATATTAGATCGTTTATTTTCAGAAGATTGTTCACTTTAACTTTAATCGTTGAAAATACCGCAATTTCGAGAAATATTACACAAAATGCGTATACTAATACAGTAAAGCATAATAGCGTAATGGATTTTCTCATTTCTTTATTCCACAAACTAGATCTTTGTATCTTGCTATCGAATGAGTATATTTTTTTTATTATTTTCATTACCTAAAAATTATTATTCATTCAACCGCCATATATAAATTTTATTTAACTTACTCTCTTCCGATAAAGAATGTCCATTATAATCAAATTCGCCGTATTTACAAAGGATACATTAAAATTGACTATTTCCACTATATTAAAAATTTTATATTTTCGAAAGATGGGCCTAAAATGCAAACTAAAATACGAAGCAGTTATTGAGAAAATCAGAAATACAGCTGGCAAAATCATCCCCGCTTTGGTTATTTTTCGATGCTTACAACTAAAATTTAAGGAAGTGAAACCGAAAATTCTACTCAAAAAAATTACAGGAAAAATGGCGTAGAAAATGTTTGCTTCGTCCATAGTTCAATGCCGAAAAAATTAGAATGAATTTTCAAGAAGAATAATCAATGAATTAATCTGTAATTTATGTGTCAAAGCAATACAAGAAATTCATAATATTGTATGTAATTTTCTCTTACTTAAATATACATTCCTGTAATATACAGAAATAATGAATACCTACTGAAATTATAAATGTGTATTACAGGTAAAATAATCAAACAATTTCTTCCAAGCAAATTATTTTTTATATTTATTACTTTAAATATTCGTAAAATTAACTATTACTAATCTTATTCATAAATATCATTTCATTCCAGCACTTCATAATTCTCACATGCCACCACTACCTTATTAATTCAATTCCCAAATAATTTCTGCATTGAATGAACAGCCTTGGAGAAAATGTGTAGGGAAAACACCGTAAGGTTATTGATTAAACAATAAGCTCGGTTTCAAAGCTTCTAAATCTAAACACTTTCGCAATAAAAAATACTATACTTTTACAACGTAACACAAAAGGCAATGGTGCTTTAATAAAAAGAGTTTTTGTGATATGACAGACGGTAATTCCGAAAGTGATTGGGAGATATTTAAAGTGCTTTGTAAAGGAAACGAGGTAATTGATTCACGATGTTTACTTATATAGCGCCAAAATAAGAACATATGTTGATTTACACAACTTAATTTAAGTACAGTGCAATTAATTTTGGATAAGATTCCAAGAATAAAAAATGTAGTTAGTTTTAAGTTGTTATTGCATTTTTTAGTATTTAGTTTTATTGCTTGATTTTTGTTTATTTTATATGGTTTCATATGTGCCTACATAAATATGTTTATTTTCGGTCTGAATTGATTTCATTTTAATATTCCTTAAATTAATTCAATAGCATCTGAACAAATTGGGACTCTCCCATACCACCCATTATTCAAACAATAGCATTTTCGCGCAGAAATTTCAATAGCAATGGTAAATAAATCTATTTTCGAATTCCTCCGTATGCAAAGCCCTGAAACTAGAACAAGGTTGGATGGCAATCATTCATTCGTTCCGTTTGTTTTCAGTACCAGGTTAAAAAGGGCTGAATGTATCGATTTTCCTTGCAGAAATTTTGTCATTGTAACTATGCGTTATCCATAAACTATTAGCTTTTTAAATCCGTTACCTTACGTTCCTTATAGACTATACCATGAAAAATTTGTAAGTAAACTATTAATTGTTAAATAATTAGTTTACAAATTACACTTAATTGTTATATTCGTAATCAAGCACAGTAATTAGATTAATTACACGTTATGTAATGCGCTAAAATTTTCTAAGATTTGCCTTGTAATATATAAAGGCACACAGATGATAGTTTTATACATTAACTACATATTAATTTGTTAGTTTACTATGCAGTACAGATAATTATAACTATTATAACTATTCTCACCACCTTTTTATAAAAAAAACTGATTATAAACACCAAATTATTTCTTTGTGTATCTACTAAAATTCTTCTCGAAACCTTATCTTCAACTTACCTTCTGCCCCGTTGGATTGAACCATTTTACAAGCGATTTGTGAAGGATCCCATCGAACTAATCAGTTATATTAACCTTTTGGAATTACAGATGGACCATGGAGACGATCTGGATCTAGCGACGACGCTTCGAAGCGAAATAGCAGCGCTGCAATTCACCAGAGACCGTCTGCAAAATGAGCTGGATGAGATGAGAAGCACGATGGCGTTGAGGGACCAGAGGTGCCTGGAGCTGAAAGTGGAAGCCGACCAGTTGCGCGAGCAAGTGGCCCGGCAAAATTCCACGTTGAGCTCGTTGAGGAAGAGAATCTGCGATTTGGAAGAACGAGAAAGGAACCTGTTGATATCGCAAACTCGCTACGAGGCCACCGTTGAGTCGGCACAGAAGGACATAAGGTACCTAATCTCTACATACAGAGTGTACGAATTCTTCCGCTGCAAGCGTTAGAATTAGAATCTCAATCAATACTATAAGATAGTAAAGAACAGAAACTTGTTTATCGGTTGCCGGCCGATATTAGAATTCGTCAATTCGCTTCGCTTCGTTCACTAGCGAATAGCGGGGATAGCGGGCGTGACTATTTCGTATGTTCTCTTTATTCCTTACATAGCAAAAGTTAATTTAGCTATCTCATTATTCTCATTATATGCTTGCAGCGGATCAGTTCGTACATACTGTATATTCTTGTAAATTACTGATTAGTTCATTGTTAAAACCGATTTCAGGTATAGCGAGGAGAAGAACTTGGAGCTGGACTCGAAAATCAGGAGGCTCGAATTCGAGGTGAATTCCAGCGAGCAAAAAAGGGACGCTTTGAAGATTCAATTTCAGGATTTCGTGAGGCGATTATCGATAGCTTTGGGCGCGGATTTCGCGGACTGCGCCCACGTCTCCCTCGAGATGCTAATACAAAAAGCGTCCGAGCTAATACAAGTACCCGCTAGCTTCCGATCGCCTCGCGTAATTCTAATACCCGAATTTCCAGGAAACTGCCAGACTAAAAAACCAAGCGCTCGGCATGAGAGAAACTATAAACTCCATGGAGTCGGATCTGAAGGCGTCCAGGGACAATTTCGAACGATGCCTGGCCGAGAAAGAGTGCTTTCAACGCCAATCCACCGCTCAGAATTTCGACATCGACAAACTGAGGCAGGAGAAAGAAACCGCGGAAATCGAGAACCGGGTGATCGAAAGGGAATTGAACGAACTCAGGAATAAATTCGCTCTGTCTTCGAGAAACCTAGATAACGCCTCGGAAAATATTATTCAGCAAGAAAATTTAATAAGCAAAATTCGAGGCGAGTTAATACTCGATAACAATTCTAACTGTAAGTGTAAATTATCTGGCATTTTTATTATTTCAGATGAAGTGAAATCGAAAGATGAGAAACTGCAACGCTTAGCGATAGACCACAAGCACGCATTAGAAACGATAGCGATCGTGTTGAGCACACCATCGAGATACGTGGACTCGTCGGAAACAACTATTAAAGATAGAATACACGAAATACTACACGAAAACAACGAAAAAACCGCGGTAAATAAATAATTTGCGTTTCCTTAACAATCCATTTGAAAACTAACGTTTTTTGTCGTAGGAACTGGAGAGGCTCAGGGAGAAACTAAGCTCGGAAAGCCAACAAATGTCGCGACAAAGTTCACTCTACGACCAAGCTGCCGCTAAAATAAGATGTCTGGAAGATGAGAAAAACCGGTTGGAAATGATGTTGCGAAAAGCAGACGCTGATATAAATTCTTGTGATATTACCAGAGAAGCCCTAACAAGAGATAAAACTATAGTAAGCATTGATACAGTTGAATATAAAATACATTTACAGGGCATTATTCTTAGATGCTAAATTTCTTGGATCGCTTAGCGAAAGCTTTGAACATGGACGAAATATCGAATGATGTCGGTGTAGATTTGCAAACGGAGACTTTGCTGTTAAGAGCAGAGCAGTTAGCTAGATTAGAAAACGAAAAACTAGCCGATAAGGTACTAGATTTTATACTGCAACTGAACAGTTCATTTCACAGCATCCATTATTTTAATCGGTATCATTTCACGAACAAATTTAACTCCATCATTGATGCAACTATAAAAATACAACGAGTGTATTAACGTAGGTATTTCTTTTGAACAGCTACTGTGTTGTGGATATGGAACAATACCGAGACTTTGTCGGATAAGACGAGAACGAACTTTTCATGATTTGCCACTATGCAATGTAAGAATTCACAATGTAGTTAAAAGAATTAATCACCAGTATGTAGATTTGTTATTGCAAAAACTCGTCAATTCGTGCACTTTGAACATTCGAAACGATACACTTATGGAACAATTTCTGAATGATCTATTAACTTACGTACATCAGAATTAATATAAACAATCACTGTTTATATTCCGCTTTTATTCACTTTACTATTTTATTAAACTTTGCGAATATGGAAGCTGTGAAAACTACGAAACCTATACTTCTCTTTAATTCACATCTGGATAAAAAGTTTCAAAATTTTTTGGTGAGAAATTTCCGAATTTTAGACATCTATGGTGTACCAACTCCAGCGAAGGATACGAAATTTGAGAGAGCAGGTTCAAAGGAAGGACCTCCATTTGGATCTACTTCGAAGAAAATTGACCATACAAGAAGACAACAACCGTGTGAAATGCATGCTGCAGAATGAAAGAGACGAGGCCAACGAGAGGATAAAGAAGCTAATCAAGCAAAACGACCGCCTCCAGCTGCAACTATCCGAAGCTAAAACCCAGATAAGAAACTTAAATTCCCAACTAGCCGAAGCAACCGATTTTAAAGTTACCCATTACAAACTTAAATTAAACAGCCTCTGATGGTCTTTCTTCGCAGATAATGTCGCTGGAGAGGGGCCGAAAAATCGAAGATTTACAGAAGCGCCTCATCGAATCCGAATCTCTCAGGAACAAATACAACCGGAAGATCTCCCTGCTGAAGGAACAAGTGCGCACCACGGGGGAAACCATCGACACCGAGAGGAACATCAACGAGCAATCCATGCAATTTTTAAGAGACGAACTGGCGAAATTCAAGCACAATTTATCCGACGCCCAGCGCAAAGAGGCCCAATTGCACAACTTCAAGCAATCCATCGCGAAAATCCTGGGCGTATCTTCGCTTATACCGGATTACGAGCTCATTTCGAGGTTCGCCTTTCGTAGTACAATAAACAAACCAATTAATTTTGTTGTTTTTAGGCTTCAGAAGTTAGTCGACGCTCATCACGATTTCACTTTAGTTTCCAAGAGATACGATGATCCCGTGTTGCGGTTGGCTTCCAGAAGTCCTACGGGAGGGAGCAGGTGTACAAGGACTCCAGATAGATCCAGATACGATGATTCTGGATACATCGATGGAGTCGACATCGATGTTTGATCGCCTCGTGGAGTTCAGTACAAAAGTTTAATGTACAAATCTAGTCGAGTTAAAAATGTATCCGTGCAATGTGTTCTGGTAGTCTTAATTATATGAGGAATATATTTTGCTTTGGTTATTTGTGGAGATACGAAGTGAAAAATGGGGTTAAAAGTTTGTAAATGTTGGGAAGATATTTAGACAGTATTGTGAATTTTTTTTGTAGATTTTAAACGAATTTCTGCAATGTTTTTATACTATTTATGACAAAAATTATCTAAACAAAAATCTAATAGGTCGTAGATGTTTCTATTAAGACTCTATTAATCATTCTATAGGAATTCTCTTTTGCTTGTCTTGTAAAATTTTAATTTTTGCAGTTGTGTCATTATACTTTGGGAGCAGCAAATATGACAAAATCATTAAAAATTAAACAACTCTTCATAAAATGTACAGAATTTCAAGAACACCGAAAATAGTTTAATACTTATATTTATAATTATATTTATAAAATATACATTTTTTACATTGGAAATCGAAATATGAGAAATCATAAGAAGTCCATGTCGAGTGCATTGTACAACGCAGCAATTTCGCTGTGGCTAGTTATTCTCCAAAAAGGAAAATTTAGCGCTTTGGCTGCCGCTTCCTCGTCCTGCCCATCGCCTATTACCACGTAAGTACATTTTCTTCCGAACCTCGTTACTATCCTTTCGAAGCAGCTCTCTTTACCTAAAATTAATAACAAAATATTATCTCTAATAACTCTATATAACAAATATCTTTACCAATTTTAGTCGCCGAATAAATATTATCAATGGGAAACACGCCGCCCAAACCAAAGAGCAAAACTTTCGCGAGAGCCGGAATGAGTTGCGTAGTCGTTACCAAAACATTTACGCAATTACTTCTCGAATTGATGAGAGTCAAACATTTATTCGCCAATGTCAACCAATTGTCCGTTACGGATTCTATCTCGGCTCTTAATTGGAGCCATTGCTCTCTCTTCGTTGTTCCCAGCAGACCGCCGACGCTAAAAACATAATTTTTTATATCACTCGCACTATTTATTATCAGAGTAGGTATATCAACTTACCTATTCCTGTAATTGTTGTAAGTTTCCTTAATCTTTCTGTATCTAAAAGCTAGTTTTCTCATCCAGTCTACGCCTCCTCTGACGCCGGTTGCTAAACACAAATTGCCACTTCCCGTTGTACTAGTCGACTGGAACCCGTCCGTACTAAAATTGTAACTGGATAAATCTTGCCCGTTGTCATCTGATGACACATCGTCTATATGTACTTGATCACATTCCTGTAATACAAACCCAATAAATCACATTACGAAACCCTAGCATTGTGCCGTACTCACTTCAATATCGTTAAAAAAGAAATGATTATCGGCTAAATTAAACACCATTTCCTCCATCTTAAACCCGAGCTGCACAACGTTCTGCGGGTCTTTCTGATATTTGGCTGCATAGCTACCGGTGAGTAGGCTGTGGAAGATTATAATGGTCTCGTCGAGGTCCCAAATGAATACTCGATCGGTGGTGGATTCGGGTGTAGTGGGTGATACTGTGTTCGTCCGCCTTCCTCTACCTCGAGCTCTGGACTCGGAATTTACGCTACCCGAAGACTCTCTGGACCGTCTGGCATTGTCGGGCTTCAGTGGCGACGTCGGGCCTTCGTTTAAAGTAACGCCGTTCGGTGAATTATCTGGAAGAATTATAATGCTTGAAACGCTCGAATAAACAATCGGACGCGCTAAAAATAGTGTACCTAAGTAGTCACACTCGTTTTCCGACTCGCTGGTATCACTGTAAGGACACAGCAACATGTAGAATAAATTTAATGCGCCTTTTTGTATACACTTTACACTACATTTTATTTATGTAAACAGTTAGTTAGGTTAGAAAAACGATGACATTTGGCAGTGATGACAATTGACTTGAAAAATTTTGACAACTTTGACATTACGACGCGGGAATATTTGAATTATTGATTTATTATTTGTAAATAGCTTATTTTATTGCTTTAATAGAATTTTATATGTATTAACAAGATACAAATGCATTTAGCATCTGTAATAACATCTAACAATTGTGACAAATAAAGTATTTCTTTCTACATTTCTTCTTATTTGTTAGTAATAAAATGTCGCCTACTTAAAAAAAGCATTCTAGATTTGAGGAAAATATAAGTTTTTTTTACCTAATATCGAAGGAGACGTTAAGTGGTAGGAAGTCGTGCCCAAACTTCCACTAGAGCTGGGAGAACTTACGTAGGGAGAATAGCTTTGAGCGTAATAACTGGAAGCGAATTGCGATGTCTGAGTATCGGGATAAGTCGTCCCGTACGAGCTGTAATCCTATAAAGAAACAGACCCAATTTTTTCGTTAGTTTCACTCAACTTTTAGTTATACAGGTTGCTCCATTTTTGATCGCAACATAGGTTATATAGGCCATGGGTGCGATAAAGACAACTTCCATTAGACACTTATAAAGGAAAAGGAAAGAGTGACATTTGTGTCATTGCAACTTTTCGCTCTGACAACTGTCATTTTAATAATCTTTCTTTGTTCCACTCATAGAAATGACCATGTTGCAATCGGAAATGGAGCAAGGTTACTCACCTGCGATGAGAATCCTTGGGTGAAGCTCGACGCTCCGGGCGCAGTATAAGCAGTATAGGAAGAATACTGTCCGGTTTGTCCTGTGGCATTGAATGGAGAAGCCGGAGATGAATACGAGGGTGCAATGTAGCCGGCGCTAACTTTGCAAGCGGGGTTCAGGGATCTCGGGGAATTCAAACCGGAGTACGGATAGGAGGAAGTATTATAGAACGACGAAGCTGAATTAATGTAAGGTGCATTGGAACTGGTAGAACCATAACTCGGTTGTAAACTGAAAATTTCCAATTAAAAAACCGTTCTAAACGAGCTCACAATGCAGTAGAATTACCTGTTGTAGTACGAATGTGCCGCCGAGTAGGTCTGGTGATAGTCCTTGTAGTCTTTATCGTAAATGTTGCCCAGGTCTATAGGGGAACTGTAAAACGAAGCGGAATCCTGGGAGGTTGCTACGCAATCGGTTTCGGCCAGTCCGGGACTTCGTATTTCGGATTTAACACCTGAAAAAAGCGAATAGTTCTTAGCGAAAGCCTTTCGAATGTGCCGGGAGCTCACCTTGGGTGTCCAGTAGCGACCAGGCCGGAGTAAAATTCGCCGTGGGGATGTTCGTTGACGGCGAGGAAGAAAGGGGGTCGGGCGATGCGTGGAGAACCGTCGAAGCTGCTGCAGGAGGCGGTGATTCGCATGTGGATGAAGAGTGGCCACTCTGTGGGCTGCAAGCCGTGTCTGATATTCTGCAAAAATATTATATCAGTCGATTAATCCAGTTGCATTTTCTATACGATATAACTTAAGAGTTCTTGTCTGTGGATAGATGCCATAACTTAAATTTGTATGGTCTATATTGGTGCAACAAAGACAATTTCCTAGTCTCGTATAAAGGAAAAAGAAAGAGTGTTATAGTGGGATTGCAACATTCTCACGCTGTAATAATCTTTCTTTGTTCAACTCATAGAAGTGACCAGATTGCAAAGTAATTTGCACTTTACATAGAGTCGATTTTTTTGTTTGAAAATTAGTTTATTTAGATCAATAGGTTAAAAATGAAATGCACAAATGGCTTGGGCATATTTAAATGCCTTTCTCACAAGTGATGAACGCTTTTAGTTCCAAAAATAGATTGTCATAGGGCGACAGGTGTCTCAAACAACAACTTAAGTAGGATAAAAAAGCGTAATAAGGAAATAATCGCTGAAATTGATGGCATCTAAATTGAAAACGCCATAAAAAGAAAACTAAATCTGTCAACTAACTAAGAAAATAATCATTATTCTTATTTGTACGGCCGTCTTTTTTTACCTAAAAACCGTCTGAATGGGATATATTATAAAGAGCGTTATTAGTTCTTAAACATGTGTGAACCAAATGGGTCGCCTCCGTCTCTGTCAGCCTGTCGGCCTTTTTGTTCCGCCTCTTTGTCTTATTCAGTGCATTTCGCCGAGCAGTTGACACTTGTTTCTCTACACGATGTCCAATTGTTGATGTGTTATTTCGAAAAATATTTCTTCTATTTCAAGAAAAGGAAAAATCAACATTCTCCAACTAAGACAGGGATGCATTCGACTACTATCGACTCTTATTAACTCTCGATGTTAATAGACACTATCAATTTTATATAAAAATTTCGTTCACACGGGCAATAAATTATCGATTTTTACGATGACACCGAACCAGCAGGGGCAAAGCGACGAACTCCTCGATTTCGAGTCCCACTCGACTGTACCTGAAGAGCCTATCAATTATATAGACAAGATATTTCACACAGATTTTGGAACGTGTGTCTATTTGTTCAAACATCAGCAGGCATCAAGAGCATTAACAGACATTAGTATTGTAATAGTGAATAAGGGTCCTTTTGGGGGCCCTTTGTGCCTTCCATAATAATAGCCCAGCATCACGTCCACTGCGCTGCGGTAATTGTCCTTTTTCCGACGGAACTGTAAACGGTATAAAAGACCTGCATTCGCTCTGTTATAAACACGCTGTACCAGTATTATAAAATAAAGGGTTTGCTTTAAGGCTCCTGTTAATTAGGAGTAGGCAGCAAAAGATATGCAACTTTAATTGGTGCATTGCAATTGCGAGAAATGGGAGTTTAAATTTATGAAATTAATAGCAAATGAAAACCATTAAGTGTTTAATTAAAATAGTAGGTATAAAATTTCGTTATGACGATCTTGGTTCTAGTTTTAATTAGTACAAATGCGAAAACTTGTGCCTTGTGGAAAAATTCGAACAAAATGTTTGCATTATACCAAGAAACAAAGAACTTTTAATTAGTAATATAAATACGTGTGCTAAGTTTACATGAACTTTTTCTTCAGTTTTACAACCAGCCTGGAAGCAGCTTGAATGACTGCGATTTTATTACTTTTCTTTAGCAAAATGTAATTAAGCGTTCTGAGATCTGTTAAAATAGATAATTGAAAAGCGTAGGTAAACAATTGATGCTTTCCAGAAAGTTTATTTGTAGAATCGAGTCAATAATGCCTGTTTTTCTTATCGAAAACCAACGAAAATACAATATGGAATAATCAATAAAACTTTCAACATCTTAGTAGCAAATTTAGTATTACTAGAGGAGTGAGTACATTTGAAGTATATGGAGGATTCGAGGACAGATAAAAGTAATTAGGAAAAAACTAAAAATAAGGAGTGTTTGGTAAAAATTCAAGAAGAATTTTTCTCTTAACAAGTGATAAATTAAATACTAGAAGAAATTGAAAGAGAATTAAAAAAATGTAATGAAAGCAATGATCTAATCAGATCATTTCAAGAACCCACCAACATGATCCATCAAATCCCGGCATTTTCCACAAGCAACAATCCATTTCAAACCAACCGATGATTCCCCCGAATCACCACCTTCAACAATTACAACCTTAAACGCCCCGAAAGTCCAATTTGTTAATTAATTCTTCAAGGATGCGAGGCGAACTCTTCGAGAATCGACCAGAGAAAAAAAAAATACACGAACCGTTCAAGTCGGTTAGATCTCTCGGCTGATGGGTTGTTTTCTTTTTCCTACCTCCATTAGACTCCGTCCGGCGTTAGAACGAAACAGTTGAAATATGGTGAATTCGCCTTGACAAGTTGTTGGTCCTGACACGAACAAGTGACACATGTCTTTGCGGGTATATAGGCATAAATTTTGTTACGCGCCGCGACCATACAACCGACGAACAGATCCGTAACGAGATCACCAGCTTCTATACTTAGCCTCTGAACTCCATCCCTCCGCATAAATCAGCTATAGGCGAAAATGGAAGAGGATAAATTTGTGTGATAAATTAATAATGAATAGTAGAAATAATGAGTCGTTAAATTGGATACAAACTTTGCCTGCAGGAATTTTGTTTAATGCTTTATCAAAACTCGAGCCCTGCTCTGATCATTTTGGAATCGGAATACAAAACGAAGTTCGACACGTTGAATACAGTTGACACAGTTATATTACGAGTGGATAAAAACAACAAAAATATACGAAGAATCACATTTAATCTAAAACTTTAAAACACCCATTAGACACGGTATTATATCGCAAAGTTTCATCAAAAATGCTGATTGTTTTTTAACACCTACATCAAAATAATCGAAGTAGCAAATCATATACTAAGTAAAGATCTCTTGTACCTTCCTTTTGACATCCGGCACCGACCACAAAGCGGCCGGAATAAAGAAACACAGGCTCAAAATCAACAGCAGCAAAGACCATTCGGACAGCAAACTGGCCGAGGAAATGATCAAAACGGGCAGCAGCACGGATAGTGCTATCGATAGCATTAAAATCGTCAAAATCGCTTGTTCTTTACCGGCGTCGTCGCCGGTTAGTTCTTCGTTGCAAGAAGAATCAGCGGAAGGAGCCCGGGGGCCCAGCGAGAGGGACTTGGACGCTGCCGATGTCATATCGAAGATAAATCCTTTCACGGGAATTTTGATAGATTTTTGACTGACGTAAATTCGCTGGTGAAATTAAACGAATCGGATTTATTTTATATCGATTGAATGCCTGGAATTGTTTACGTTAAAATTTTATAAACCCATTCGAATGGGCTAATCGAGTGCATTTAAAATATAAACAGAGTACATTTAAATGCGAACGCGTTGGCGTGTTGTAGGTAATTTAAATATGTAAAATAAGTGATGGGTGAAAAATATTTAGAGGAAAAGTTTGGTTTTAAAAAAAGCGCATTCGTTAAAAATAATTTCTATACTTTTCTCAATATCGGATGTTAGGAGCGCAATAATAAATGTGTGAAATGCGATCTTGTAATTCAATTTGCAATATCAAGTTTCTGTTTGTTATTTTTCTACGCTTGTTTGGCGTAAATAAATAAACAAATATAACAAGTTTTCATTCATGAAAGGGGGTTTTGCATTGTTGATTAACAATTATAACAAAAATACATTTTTTATGCACGAGAATCAAACGAGCGCAAATAAAACAAGAATTCGATATTTTTTTTTTGAAATTTTGAACATAAAAAATTTAAGAAACACTCGAGTGAACACCTGGTGAACTGTCAAAACTGACAAGACTGTGCATGCGGTCGATAAAGGATCAGTTAACTGGAAGTTAAAAATTACTCATGCATCGCCGAGAATCGGTAAATGTATTAATATCGGAACAATAAAACCGATGACAATGCCATGCGTCAGGTAGAAAATAAAAAAAAATGAGGCCGTATACCTAAAAAAATCCGGGCATAATTTCTTCGGAAAAATCAGTCTGGTGGACAATTAAAAAAGCGGAGCTCAATCTTGATCAATTCCTCATGGTCATTTTGTCACATGAAGTGCCAGACCTCCTGGGCGCAGCGTGCCCTGCCAGCCCACCTACCTTCACATGTTTTATTATCGTTCACTTGTTCCTTTTATTTCACACAATCTCGGCGACCGCTAGGGAATTAATAACTTTACAACTTTATATCAAGTGGGCTTATCTGAGAAAAATGATAATTGCTTGTAGCACACCTGAAAACTACAAGAATCGTTTAGATTTTTACAGGCCGTTTGTCAAGCCATGGAACACGCCTTACGCCAAATCGCTAAAGACAAACTACCGACACTTTTATGTAATAATGAAATTTATACCCACATACATACTGTTTATGATCATAAATATCTTCTATTCTATACTATAGATACATGAATGGATAGAGTATATACCTTACTAACTTCTATTCCTGATGTAAAATAGGATTTACATCATGGATTCTCAATCAAAAATTGAAATTTTTGTACTCCACTCAAAATAATTGACTAAAATCGAATATATGTTCTACAGGATGGTCCTCAAGTTCACCAGATTTGTATCCTCTGTAGACATTAACAAATTAACAAATTTTATTAATACCTATAATCCAGGCGGATTATAATTTAATCTACTTTTCACCCTCATTCTGTGTAAAATCTATGTAGATACTAAAAACTTATTCTTTTTATTAATGAATTAAACAGATTTATATATCAAATAGATGTTATCTAGGAAATTCGTTTTTCAAAATAACTACCGTTTCGTTGTGTAAGTAATATTTCATCAGATAATATCGAGTTTTTAATCCTCTCTATTCGAACAATGGCTCAGATGACGCCTAAAGAATTTAATAGGTCCTCTACTTAACATCCCCTTCGCCTTTGCGCTCGTGTTTTTGGGGACCGGAGCTGAAGGGTGTGTGTCGATAATAACGAAGAGCAAACGTAGCATAATAAATTTCATTATGTTCGTAAACTA